CGTGTACTTTCCCTCAAGTAAGTTCTTGGTATGGTAGTCTCGCAGTGTCATTGATGGCTCCTTCTTCTTCTCATCTGTGCCATTTTCGCCCTCTTCAAGTTCGCGGTAGAACTTGACTTCCTTGTTGTAGATACGGGGGTCTTTTGCGCGCAGAGCCTGGAGAGTGGCATTGACCTGTTGGTCGAGATCTTCGTCGAGTAGCTCGGCTGCATCGTCCTCCTCTACGCCCTCTTCGGAGTCTTCCGACTCGTCGCCGCCGTTTTGGAACGCCTTGTCCTTGCCGTACTTTTCTTCTACTACGGGAAGTTAGTACTTGAATGTGGCTACAGTCTGACTAAGCCTACATCGAAACTGCTCGGCGCGCTTCTTGTTGTGCTCGAACTTGCGGGCATATTCCTCGTTGACCTTGAGCGAGACTCCGCCGCCGTCGCTGTCGGAGCCTTCATCGTCGGTGTTGTCGAGCAGCTTCGCCTTTTTTGCGGGAGGCTCGTTGGCGGCGTTGAGATCGCGCTTGACGCCGTTGCTGCGCTTCTTCTCCTTGGTGCCTGCCATGGTGGATGTTGAGGTTGGTGCAGGAGCGTCTCGCGCCGGGCCTTTACAAAATTTTGGTGGAGTAGGCGCTAGCGCGTGAACTGACGTTCGCCGCGGCGGTGACGATGGACCCGCCGCAACACCAATCGAGCGGTGCATGGGCGAGGAGGTGCACCACGCGACACGCCCACCCACGCCTCCGACCATGTATAATAGCCTGCCCGTCTAGTCTCTTTCTGCTTGCTTCTGAGATACCCATTCCTATAGCGTTTGTTCGCGAGAGTCGGCAGCATGGCGGAGGAGAAGCCGCCGCAGCTCAGCATAGAGCCCGTGTCACGGCCGCTGGATCTGATGTAGGCCGAGAGGATATGACCGGATACACGGGCATGCTGACGATTGCATACAGACCCGTCGTAATCAAAGAAGCCGCCCTCGATTCACCCACCTTCCGCGCGACTGCTGTCCACTACGGCGACCAGATCGAACTGATAGAACGATGGCTCGACTCCTTCATCCGCGCAACCTCGACGCTTGCCGCAGAGTGCACCAAGATGCAGGGGCTCGTAGACACGTACATACAAACTTCGCATCCGCCCCTGCAGCTCTCCGAAGCCGTCGTCGACCATGATTACACCGTCCTGGCCCTGAAGCGATTCGGCGAGGGCGCCCGCGAGTTCTGGAACGGCACACTGCGCAGCATGAAGAGGGCCGAGGCGACCATGTGCGAACCCATGCGGGCATTTGTGTCCAACGACCTGCGCATGCTGAAGGAGGCGCGCAAGAACCTCGACTCCACACAGCGCACCTTTGACGGAGCCATTGCACGGTACGCGGGCCAGGTCAAGACAAAGGAGGCGTCCTCGCTGAGAGAAGACGCCTTCCAATTGCACGAGGCGCGACGGGCATACCTCCAGGCCAGCATGAACTTCTGTGTCATGGCTCCCCAAGTGCGACTGACACTGGACAAGATACTCGTCAAGGTCGTCAACGAGCAGTGGCGCGATATGAAGGCGGCCACAGAGGCGTCGAACAAAGGCTTCAACATGTGGACTTCAGATGTCGAGCGCGTACGGGGCTGGAGCAAGGAGATGGAGAATGGCGAGCGTGTCTTCAAGAGGGAACTCCATCTAGCACGGCAGCAGATCGAGGGCGCAGCCGAAGTCAGCGCAAGACCATCGCGAGACCTGGACACCTACGCCGCCTCGACCGTCCCATACCTCGGCACCGCGCCTTCGTCCGCGAACCTACAATCCCCAGCGAAGCCTGAGTTTGGCATCGAGAAGGCTGAAAAACAGGGCTGGCTGTTCCAGCGCACAATCACCGGTAAGCCGGCCAGGACCTACTGGGTAAGACGCTGGTTCTTCGTCAAGAACGGCATCTTTGGCTGGCTGACACAGGGCACGCGGTCCGGCGCCGTTGAAGAATCAGAGAAGATTGGTGTTCTACTCTGCGGTATACGACCAGCCTTTGCAGAAGAGCGACGTTTCTGTTTCGAAGTCAAGACGAAAGACACCACAATCCTCCTTCAGGCCGAGACGCAAAACGACATCACCGAATGGATCTCTTCCTTTGAGGTCGCCAAGCGCAAAGCACTGGAAGATACATCAAAGGATCTATCGGGAGCTGCCTCTGTCGACGCCGCTTTCTCTATAAGCCCGCCCGTAGCCCCTGAGTTCGCTGCCAAGACCTCAGAAGGACAAGCTGGCCAGCCTGGTGAAGATACCGTCAGCATGGACCGTACCGACGCGCTCGGCATCCCCGGCGCTGACAACAATGCGACACGCGGTAGTTTCGATGTGTCGGCTCGGCGTGGCACTACGACTGAAGGCGATAGCAGCCGCCGTGATCACACTGCCAGAATTATGGAGAAGCTCGACTTGACAAGGAAATCTACAGTAAGCCCTCAGCTGAGTGGAAGCAACCCCTCTTCCGCCAGTGGTGGCATTGCTAGTCTTATCTCCGCAAGTCTTGCTTCAGCTAGTCATAACATTGTACAGGTTGGACAGATTGCTGCGCCTGCACCTGGCCTCCCTGATACTCGGCTTGTCATGGGCCAGACACTTCCATATACCAGTCTCGCGCCTTCCACCCTTGCGAGCCCGCCGGCTCCGACCAACCTTAGCAAAGCCGCTGTCGCCGTAAGCGGAGAGCGAGGTCTCGGGACAGGTCGCTCAGGTAACATGCCTGGTGGGCTCATGGCTAACCTCTGGGGCTCGGTCAACTGGGGATATGTCAATGTCCTTGGGCGCGAAGATGAGACCAGCACGCGCGACCGCAGTCAATCTGGACCTCCGAGCCCTGTCAACCCGTCTCCAGTCCTTGGACCCAATGATGAGAAGAATGGCACACCTCCCGTCCCTACTGGCACTGTTCATCGCAAGTCGAGTAGTATGGGCGGCCCCATTCCGACACTCACCAAGACCACCAACGACGAGGTCGACTTCCCAAATTACTACCCTCTCGCTCTCCGGATGCAAGACGCTCAATTCCGGATACTGTTTCCTACAGTGCCACGCTCAGAGAAAGTCGTGCTGGTGTTCCGCGCCGTATGGAATCCGACAGATCAGCAGGAGTTCCCAGGGCGCGTGTACGTTACAACTAAAAACATCTACTTTTACAGCAACCACCTTGGTCTTGTACTCATCACGGGAATAAGCATGTCTTCTATTGACGAAGTCACTGCTGCTCCCGGCAAGGACTGCGACTTCCTTTTCCTCCATTTCAAGTCAGGCGCAAGGGAGGATGGCGCCACTAGGCTTACTGTGAAGACATTCCTTGAGCCTCTGAAATTGCTCTTGCGTCGACTGAATTTCCTCGTACGCAATACTGCCACTGGAGAACACAACCTCGAAGAAACGATGAAGCGAATGATCAGGATGGAGACGGATGAAAGCCTCAATGCCCCTGGTGAGGAGGGTTGGGAGGAAATCTCTCCAGATACACCTGTTGATACAGGCTATGGCGGGAAGAACATCAAGACAAGCCTTCGCATTGATGGTAATCTATTTGGACCATCCGGTGCAAGTGCCGCAAAGAACGCAACCAAGTTCAAACTACCGTCGCAAGCTGTGGTCTTCGCTCCAGCTGGCATGACGCAGGTTGCCGTGGAGAAGGAGTATGATATCAGCGCGAAAGGATTGTTTCATATACTCTTCGGTGACAAGAGTGCAGTGTTCCAGCTACTATATCGGGAACGGAGAGCATCCCGCATCGTCCAAGGGCCATGGATCACGAGCGATAAAAACCTTCAGCGAAGAGATTTCGAGTACGAAATTGCACAGCCTGGTAAGAACGGAGCTGTTGTCATAAACGACTACCAGGTCATCGAAGTCCTCAATGACCATCTTTGTTACGTGGTCTCAGATCGCAAGACACCCTGGTACCTGCCAGGCCACGATCGATTTGTACTTCTCAGCAAGACAGTTATTACACATGTGTCAAAAGCGCGATGTAAGCTTGCTATCCACACAAAGGTGGACTGGAAGCGCAACCCACGTTTTGCGAGGAAACTCATCGAACGCCAAGCCCTGCAAGACCTGGAGCTTGAGGCGCAAGATCTTGTTGATGTCGTCAATGATCAAGTCGCTAGGCTCGGCCACAACAGAAGCACCAATAAGGTCACCAACATCTTTGGCCAGATTGGATCTCAGACACAAGCTGTACAGCTCGATGCGCAGGACATACCACCCCCGAACCGACCTCGGAAGTTCAAGTTACGACCGCAGACGACCGCATCCTTTGTCGCGCAATACATAGGCAACATCGTTATCAGTGTGGTATCAACAGTCATGAGCTGGATATTGGCGATTGTAGCCGGGCTTGGCAAAGTCATCTCGGCACACACGTTGCTCTTTGGCCTTCTGCTAGTCAGCGGTGGAGCCAACTTCTTCTATAGTTCCAGGGACAGTTGGAGCTGGTGGCACGAGCGAAATGCCGCTAACTACATGTCGCGATTGGGTGTTAAGCCATCGACTACGATGACCCGCTCGATCTACATTCGCGACATTGAGGAGTCGTTCCTGAACCAGAACAACACCAGTCTTGAGCTTTCAGTGCCAGTCACGGCCAGCACTGATAACAAATGGTGCGCTCTTTTTGCTTCAAGACGCCAACTTAGCTAATTGTATACAGCCATCAAACGTTCACCACCCTCCTCCACGATCCCTCATCTACCATTCCTGGCCAGTCCTTCTTCAGACCCACTACGCATAGCACCCAGCGCCTCCATCGCACGCGACAAAATCTCGGATTGCATCGTCACGACTTACTCGTTGCTTTACGAGTAGTCAATCGCGTCGAGAAGGAGGTGGTGGAAGCAGAATACGAGAACTGGCTGCTGGATGAGACACACAAATGTAGCAAGGTTGGAAAGCTCTTAGAAAGCGCAGCCAAGAAGGGCAAAGAGAAGCAGGTAGAGGATTGGGTCAAAGGGTACTGCGGGGACTGTCAAAAAAGTTTGCAGATGGTTGAGGAGAGCCGAAAGGGCCTGGTATGAGCCCTACTTCGACTAGCCACTGAGCACAAGAATGTGTAATGTGGCAGTCAATCGGATAACATGGTAATGCCATCGTACAACCAGCGAAGCGAACCTAAATTTATCGAATTTAATAATGAAATAGACCCTCAATTTCGTCACTCAGGGCGACCTTGGCGCTCTTGACTCCGTACCTTGGGTCCCTGCTACACTTACCTTGATTATCGCTCACCTCACTACCCGGCTCGCTCTCACCCTCACACTCACTTAAAACTCTGGGGTTTGTGCGCGCAGACCTAACCAGCTCGCACTGCTAACCTGTTTGGCTGAACAGCCGCAGCCATGTCTGAGCTCGAGTCCGGAATGTCGTGCACGCTGAAAGAGGATACCATTACGGTAAATGGCGACCTCAAGATCTCCTTTCGCCGTACAGTCCGTGTGCCAGACACTTCCGAGTCGAACTACCTCCCCCCTAACCTCGGCGCCTTCCCACTCGAAGCAGTGTCACGGCACAGCGACAACCTGCCCAAGGTGATGGTCGTAAAGAGCGGCGTTTTCTTCCCGATGTATCGTAAGTACCGTCAAAATCAATAAGAAACTTGAACCTCGAACTAACGCATGTGCAGAATCCGAGGCCATGTGGATCAACTTCAGCCCTGTCCAAGAACACATGCATCCCTACAAGATCAAAATCTACGTTGGCGGCGTAAACGTCGTCTCCGCCGAGCCTGCCCTTGAGACCAAGGCCACTGCTGTCCGCCGACAAGTCCGCCTAGGAAAGGCTCCTGCAGATGCCACAGCCGCATCTCCTCTGCAAGACTACATCGTCGTCCCACAGCAGAAGTGGATCGATGGCGTCGCCAACGGAGACGGCACAGTCCGCCAGTTCATCGCCATGCCCAGCAACAGCGGGACTTCAGTCGAAGCGCAGATCACAGGCCAGGAGGCTACAGCCGGTATCCAGATCGAAGTCACTCCGTACAAACTCTCCAGTCCACGACCCTTTCCCGGTGAGCCCATACAGATCTTCCTCAAGCAGCTCAACGGCACAACCAAGACGTTCAACGTCACCCGCCTGGAACCCATCGCCAACTTCAAGCTGCGTATCCGCGAGGCAACGGGCATACCCACACAGGATATGCGTTTGATCTACGCCGGGAAGCAGCTCGAAGGTAAGCCCAGCACCCACCCACCCCACCACACATCCATGGATCCCTCCAACGTATACTAACCCTCGTACCAGACGCCCGCGACTTCGACGACTACCGCATCTACAAAGAATCCACCATCCACATGGTCCTCCGCCTGCGCGGCGCTGGCCCCCCAGACCCCAGCACAACCGCGCAGATGAACCTCGCAGCCGGCGGCCTCATCCACCAGGTCGTCCACGCCGACACCTTGCGCCCCAACTGGGACGTTGCCAAAACCACTGTGTTCAATGCGCAGATTCTGAATGCAAGTCTGTACGAAGCTGTTACGGGGATGAGGCCGATTACCCGTCCTATAAGCCATGAGGAGTATGCGGAACATGGGTTTCCTTATTTCAAGATTTATGAGGAGAAGAGTGGGGTTTATGGCACGTTTGGGGTGGTTAAGAGTTTGGGGGAGGGAAAGGGGAAGGGCGTGGTTAGCGCGGTTAGGGTTGTGGATGCGGGGTGTGGGAGTGGGATCGAGGTTATGAATCCGCTTGGGCCGTATCAGGTTTCTGAGTCTGTGGCGGAGATTGGGGAGAAGTTGGAGGGGTATCATATTGCTGAGTTTTAGGCTGGTGATGTGTACGGTGGCTCGGGCGTTGAGTGTGGGATGTCATGGGTTTGGTAGAGAAATTTGAGGGGATGGCTGAGGGCATAAGGTCTTCTTAATTGGGATGCACACCTGAGCGCAAGGATGAACATGGGACGAGTCTTCGGTTCCGCTCAATTGGGAAAATTGGGAATAGTGTCGTAGCATGGTAGCTACAGACCAGGAAACCGATGCATAATCTCTTCCTTCCGTCTTCCACATCCACCCAAGTGCGTGATCGAGTTCTTGCTACTTAGATGTAGTGCTCTCATGTGTTCTTTCCCTGAAACTCTCTCATCACGATTTTCACCCATCGCGGGCGCGTTTAGCGATACTGTCTCCTAGTCAGCCTCTATCCCATCATTCCCGCTTTTCCTTTCTCTTCCCCTCGTTTCGTTGCGAAACACCACTCTCCGCATCTGACCACGTACCTTGACGAACCCAATATCCTGCGCCTTCTCCCGAAAAGCCTGACGACTCATGTTGATTCCGTACTTGCGAATGATACCAGCCTTCTTCTTGTCACCAGTGACAACACTTTGTTTCCTCGTTAGCCCAGCATAATTCGTCTTCTTTCATCCCTCGTTCCCTTTCCTTAAATACTTTCGAAGACATACCATCCAATAGACGCTTTACCGTACTTGCGCGGGCGCGAGTACCAGACTGATTCGTGTGACATGTTGGCGGTTTTGCTTGTCGATAAAGTGAGGTTCTTGCGAAAGAGCAGCGGAAATTCTAGGTAAGAGAATTTCAAATTTGTGTGTGGCGCGGATTGGCGAGGTTGAGGAAGTGCTGCGTGGGTTGGTTGGTGTGTGGTAGTACCTTGTTGGACAGTCTGTCCGGGGTTGCGTATCACGGTACTCGCGCGAAGGTAGAGGTAACGTGATTTTGAACGTCACCTCTTGGAATTTTGTTATGGTGTTATTGGTATGGGTGATTGAGTTCGTGGCTAGGGGTTGTGGTAAGCAGATGCATGCCAAGGCCTGGATGATGGGGCTGAAGTACACTTTGCTAGAAGGATCTCAACACATGTGAAAGAGCACTTGTATACACCTAATGGCTGATGAATGATGAAATTGTTTACGAAAGAAGTATTGATGCTGATGTCTGTCTACCCGAGCCTGCTCAAAGCTATCTGAACATGTACCGAAACATCATACCATCACCACCTTTGCCGTTAGTACGCCATTAACAGCCAATGTAAATAAGAGATACCCAGTACAACAAGCCCAAATTGTAAGCGCCAGCCTGATCTAGTTAATGTCAATCAATTGCTTTTGCGGCCGTGATTGCGTTAAGCTTGCAGTGTCAAGGTCGGAAGTCCTGCTTCATCAACCCCGGTATCGTTGTGCGACGGCTAGCCCACCATCAATATCCATATAAAGTGATCAGTCATGCACTGTTCTTACTCGTCCGTATCGCCGTTCATGATGCAGTTTTGGCTGAGGGCAAAGAATCTGAGAGATGCGCTTGGCCTTACCCTCTCTGAACCTGACTGGATTTGCCATGTGGCGTCAACCACAGTTGGCAGTGTTCTGTGATCGCAAATGCCGACCAAGCATCATGTTGAACGTGGGAGAAGATGAGGTGAGTGAGACACACAGCCCACGATTCCTAAGAAAATACAGTCTTGAATCGCCTCTTCTCAAATGTCGTCGATGTCGTAGTAGTCGTCAAAGCCGTATGGTGGACGCCGGATCTGAGGTCTCGCCCAGCCGTTGCCAACATCATCGTCGTCCTTCTCCGCATCTAGCGGCGTCCAAACAATGACTTTCTTTCGCACCCTCCAACTTCTCTTGTGAAATCTCGCCTTCATGTCCCGCTCTTTTCCGTAACCAGGCGATTTCTGAGTGACATCCACGTTGTCGCCGCGCTTCACCAAGACAAGCAACGCCTTTCGGGCGCCAGCACCCTTTGTCAAATCCTCATCGTCAACCCTGCCGAATCCCTGGAGTTGGTGTTCTTCTGGGGTTTGTTCGAATGACTCTCGTCTGTTTGGGTCAAGTACGGACGTGCAGTCATTCTCCTCTGTCGATCTGAAGACCTGGACGATTGAACCTGAGCCCTCTCCATCTCTATTCCACAATCTCTTGTTCCAAAACCTCGGCTGGGGCTGGCGGCATATGTCACCGGTCTCGCGAGATCCGTGGCTTCTGGAGGGGCTGAAGCCGAGCATGCGTGAACTACGAGTGACGTAGCGAAGCTCTTTCCAACCGTTCCCGCGGTTGATCAAGTTCGTGATAGCGTCATACTCCGGTGCTGCAGCAGCCACTGCAAACACGGTCAAGCAATCTAGTCGGAGCGCAGGGAGAAGCTGAAAGATCGATTCGTGACGGTACATGAGGTCGTCGAAGCCTTTGAGATAACGCATCATTGGGGAGCCGATCAGCCGAAGGTGGCGGATTTTGGACACGGTAGATTCAGGTAATTCGGAGAGTCTGTTTAGCATGGTCTGAGGATCCTCAAAGTTGAATGTAACACGCTGAAGCCATATGTCGCGTGTTTCGATGTGTATCTGGCGGGACACGCGCAATAGCGCGAGGGAATGTGGGGCAGGCTTGAGATACCTCTCGCCATAGCGGGGTGTGTATCGCAGGCCGAACGTCAGCCTCGTCGAGTTGAAAGCCAGCTCCCAAATCTCATCGCGCAGTTCTCGAGGCAGTTGCAGCAAGGGGCTCGAATCGTTCATGGCAGTGTTGTCCTCAGTCATTCTTATCGACCTGATGGAGGTTTGGCGGGGTTCATTGTACCAGCGGTACCGGCCGCTCTTGGGCGGGATAAAGTAGTCTTCGTCCTGGATCATCATCTTGGAGAAGGTTTGCCCTGCATTGGAATCGAAGGCTGTGGATGGCACCGAGACATGGGGATTGGCCAGCTGATAAGCCCTTGGTGGTGTTCAGCGCCAAGCAGGTTCCCGACTTGCCGTCACGCGACACTCGATTAGTCGCCTGGCAATCTCGACTCAGCCACCTTCCATCTCCACTCAGTTGGGACGATTACTCCACTCTTATATCTCGACTTTCCCAATACTGCCAAAATGCCTCGCGCCCGCCGAATATCCCGCAGCCGTTCCTTGTTCCTGGTTGTGAGTCTCCCGGCCGACGCCTAGCCCCGCACCTTGCGTAATTCCGGATGTCCAGACAATAAGCAACGCGTTAGGTTTTGGCCATTACATCAAGCTTCTATCTAGGACGCGTCTTGCATAGACTCTCGCACGGACAAGATTCCAAAAAATCGCGCTTCGAAGCTAACAATACGCAGTGTTACGCACTTCCGAAGACCACATATGGAGCCGATACCCAGCCCAAGCACACCAAGGACGACACAATCCTGTCAGACCGCAGAGTCTAGATACCGAAGTCCTGCCAAGCATCTCCACATTCACCGAGTGCGCTGTTTACCACCAAACGCTATGCCACATTGATGTCGATATCCCGTCTCTGGTTGCCATTACCGAGGCGTATGGCTAAGATGCATACAAGCGAGCCTGCCACCGGAACATCTCGGGCGCCACTTTTGGTCCATTGCCCTCCGAGCGGCATGGTGGGACGCGTCCCAACAATTGGATGAGGCTGACAAGTACACCATGCCATAGGAGCTTGCTACTCTTGGCCAACTCTCCTAAGCTTGAGCTTGATACGATGGCTACTTATGACGTATGGGCAGCTGGAAGATCGACGAGCTCGTAACAGTCTCATCATGCTTGCTATGAGTACATGAAAGCCCGAGTCAGCTTATCCCGCAGGAATGCAATTGTGGATCGGATGGCGCATCGAGGTCGTGGGATTCCATTCCAATGTAACCTGCTTGAGGCCTGCGCGTGGGGCTCCGCAATACCTTTTTAGCGCGGCACTCGCCATACCGGTACATCGTTCACGAAGCCATACATGAAGCACACCAACGGCTACCGGAGAGAGTCCGATTGTAGTACATATATCTCAACAGAACTACTTGGCACGAGACGTCTGCTGGATGTTGCACCAAGAATCACCAAGCGCAAGCTCACGATGATGTAGTGGGACTGGTACCGGCATACCGCTCTGGGATATACGAGAGTGGATCTTGGGCCCATGTTGGAGGAAGCCTCGCCATGTTAGCTTCTAGACAGGTAAGACTGTGCAAAGATTGCGGGTACATGACTGCGCTGCAAAGGCGGATCAAGAGCTGGGTGCTCCTCTTAAATCCATCTTAGGGTATAGCGCCTTCGTGGCTCTTACTGGAGATTCATGAATTGGCGCCATCCTTTAATCGCCGTTCATGGAAGCGCAAGTGAGGTGAGCGATCGGTGTGAGCACGGCGGAGCGGTAGCACGACTTACTTGCACAAATCTTCGGCCAACAATTGCGATATCTTCAAGCTCGTTCTTCGGTAGCGTCTATCACTACTATCAGCTGCTAGAGATCATCAATGTCCTTTGCATGACGATGAGCTTTCTCACCTTACCAGAGGGTCTCTCTATCTCCTCCAGCGCTACTGACATGATTGCGACCGACCTGTCATCATCAACAATATGACGACGTATCAAGGCTTATGCTTGTATCACTTGACACCTTGCAGGAACATGCTGTCGTTGCGCTGTCGCATGCTGTCCTTGTCACTTGCCCGCCATGATCTCGTTCTTGCGTTCTGGCACTTGACCGTTCATTCTCCCTCCCCATCATCTCGTCTCACAAGACACTCAACTTTGCGCAACACCGACATGTTCTTCTCTCTATTACTACTTGTTATTATGACCGGCGCGATGCGCTGCAAGTTGCAATCTCACTCTAGTCACTCCTCTCCAGTATCACAAAGTAGATTTTCTTCCTCAAGCAATGCCACCAGGGCGAAGACTCAATGAAAAAAGAAGGGCTCCTATTGATCCACACCACCTGGATGAAGTTCGAATGATTAAACAAGGTTCTCAGCAAGCTGAAGCTTGTGAGATCATAGCCGCGTCGGTTGTCGATATTGCCGGTGGGTGTTGTTGGTCGGTATATTCATGTCGTCCATCACATTCGCCTACCTCAGTGAGAAGAGCGGCCCATCGTTCACCAGTACAGAAAAGAGCGTACGCGATTCAGCTGCAGCGAGCTTTAAGTTGTTCGTCGGAGCCACAGTCAAGGCTGGCATAGTCACGGAGCCCACGTCGCTTTCTGTATCGTCGCTGAAGGCGAGCGTCGTATGGTACACAACACTGAAGGAGGACGGTGACTTTCTGCGACTCCTCGGGAGGGGTGTAGAGGATGCTCAGCTTGTGCTGATGCTGGCTCTATTACCCAACCTGGAGGTCCTCCGTATCGATGGACTGAGCCCCTTTCCGCTCCTTGATCGGTAAGTCAAAACACTTTGTGGTCCATGTGAAACATGTACTGACCTGGTGCACTAAAATATAGGTATCAATTCCTCTCTTGTTCGAGCACAGCGCTTCAGAAGCTGTCGGCGCTACAGATCAACGGCTCAAACACAAACTCGAAAGAGCCAGTTGTCAAGAACAGTTTACAGTTTCTCGATATTACACCAAACTCGATGAAGATCTACCTTATTGCCATTGCCGCCGGTGGCCATAAATTCACAACCAAAGCGCTTCCTTCGACCAAACTCGAGCATGTCCTCTTTCTCGGGTGTGGAATTAACGTTCGCCTCTTGCGTAAGATCATGCTCGGTCAGAAGCTGCATAGTATAGCCTACCGGCCTGGTCCAGCCCAGGTCAGTGAAATTACAGGATCCGAAATCTCGGTACTAGACCTTTTGGCTTCATTCGCGCATTCCAAGCTTTCCCTGAAGACTTTGACGCTCTTCTCTGCTGGGGTGAACTGTGGGAAAACTTCCCTCAAGATTTTTGAGAACCTTGAAACATTGGGAGTGCCTCTTGGGGATGTCCTGGACATCCCATACGATGAGGTAGAGCCTGAGAACATCTACGCGCGCCTCAAAGGCCAGCTTCCTGCTACTCTGAATCACATCATCCTCCGCTATATGAACAACAACCTTCAGAACAAAATCGTCATAGAGCAATTGGCTGTGTTGAAGATGCAAGGCATGTTGCCGCGGCTCGACCAAGCAACCTTCAACTTCACTACCGCTGTGCCTACGTCATACATCTCCGCGGCGGTCGTCAACATCGGTGGTCCTACAGCGGAAGTTACCGCATGTTCTTCTTGGGATTATCTGCCAAAAATGGAGACGAGAATCCAGGAAGATTTCGGCAAGCTGTACAAGGACGCAGGCATCTGCATGGTGGTACAACAGACAGACTGGTAGGAAGCTGGCTGGTCCGAGGCGCACATAGGGGACCTATCAGAAGAGAAGTGAGGGATGCTGGAATACGTTTATGGAATTCCAAGGCCTGGTGTATTTTACCATTAAAGAATGATCGTTTGCTTGAGAATGTTGGGGCATCATCGCCAATACCCAGTTGGGACTAGCCCGCTTCATGTGTGTTCGCCTTCCAGGTCTCCAATGACATCACTCTCATAGAACACCGTTCAATATCCACCATTCCTGACCAAAACGTCGTGCACTATCTACGGAACCACGGCATATCTTCCAAGAGAACTAGTAATTCTGTGGCGCAATGTGGCTCAGCAGGCACGTGGCGCTTTATTCGTTCGCCACGATGACGCGCACTCGACTGGAGCTCCCGTTCGAGCGTAATGCCCTGGGTTATTAGCCCACCACCCCGCAGCTTACATTGCGACATTACCTGTTATACGTGATATACATACGGTTTTTTTATCCTTTGGTCTTCTTTCTACCCATTCGACACTCAGCTCTCTCATATCGACCACACACCATGGCAGACTTCGCACCACCACCGGTATGTACATCGCAATCGCAGCTGTGGTGTCGTATGGCATCGCTAACAGGATTCATAGGGCCCTCCCCCGCCAAAGGTACCTGAAGGCTGGAAGGCCGTCTGGAACCCGCAATACAACGAGTGGTTCTACGTCAACACCTATACAAAGCAGTCGCAATGGGATAAGCCAACCGAGGCAGTCTATCCTCCCGGCGAAGCCCCGCCTGCTGGCGCACCCCCCGGATATGCGCCTCCAGCAAGTGGTGCGGTAGGCGGATACCCCAGCGAGAAGGGAGGCTTCGGCAGCAACAACCCATACGCGAACACGAGCGAGGATGAGGCGCTTGCCAGGAGGCTACAAGAAGAAGAACAAGCGCGCGCCAGCGGACACTCGAGCGACACGCGCGGACATGCGAACGACTACTACCAGCAGCCTGGCCAGTCGCAACCACCACAGTACGGCGGCTATGGACAGCAGACCGGCTCGTACCCGCAAGAGCAACAACACGACTCGAGTACACAAGACAAGGGAAGCAAGGGCAAAGGACTGCTAGGCAAGATCCTCGGAAAGGCCACTGGCTCGTCTCATTCATCGTCATCGCACGGTTACCCACAACAACAGCATGGTTACGGCCAGCCAGCATACGGCCAGGCAGGTTACGGTGGAGGCTACGGAGGCGGAGGCTACGGCCGGCCCATGGGCGGCGGTATGCCTATGGGAGGCGGCATGGGTGGCGGCAGGCGTCCGGGAGGCGGCGGCATGGGTGGCATGGCCCTTGGAGCCGGAGGAGGTCTGCTGGCAGGTGGGCTCATCGGATCAGCAATGGCGGGAGACGGTGGTGACACCTATGTCGAGAATAACTACGGTGACGATGATATGGGTGGAGGAGATATGGGCGGTGGTGATGACATGGGCGACATGGGCGGAGACTTCTAAGGCGACGCGGTGCATCCTAGTAGTTCTACGGTTTTCTTACCTATTTAGATTTTTAGGTCGCCCTTTCTATGCTATCATAGCAAAATAATATCTTCATCTTTGTTTAAGTGCACATTTCCAAGGGTGGTTCTGAGAACATTCGCGCACATGTCAACTATGACGTACCCCAGTGGTCGGTTTAAATCTCACCGAAAAGTGCAACACCAACAACGCCACTCTCGCAACTCGACAATATCTTCATGCTAAGAGCAACTTCGCGCCTAACAAACATCATGGCAGCCGAACAGCAGAAGCGTAACATTGTCATCATTGGTAAGACTTGCCAAAAGTCTCTTGTTTTCGATGACTTTTCTTACTAACGACTTCAGGTGGCGGCATCATTGGCTCAACTACAGCGTATTTCCTTTCGCATCATCCAAACTTCAACAAAGAAAGAGACAGCATCACACTTTTAGAAGCAACCAAGATTGCTGGCGGTGCCTCAGGAAAAGCAGGTGGTCTTTTGGCACTATGGGCGTACCCCAACTGTATTGTACCGCTAAGTTACAAACTGCATCAGGAGCTAGCTGAGAAGCATGGCGGCGCTGAACGTTGGGGCTATCGAGCTGTGCACTGTGGACAGGTCGATATGTATGGTGTTCTAGCTAAGAACAAGGCTGGTAAAGACAATGCGAACGGCAAGAGTAAAGAAGATTCGGTCAGTCTACAGAAACGAACGCAGAAGGCAATTGGGCTACTACGTGCTGCTGGTGTACCTAAAGATCTGGACTGGATAGCTGCAGATGGCATGAAGTCTTACGAAGAGATGGGTACACCACTCACAACAGCCCAAGTACATCCATACCACTTCACAACAAGCATGGCGCAGCTCGCCGAAGAGAAAGGTGTAAAGATCGTCTACGGCTCCGCCACGAACATCGAGCAAGAAGCCGGCGCCGTAAAATCCGTCTCATACAAGAGCAAAGACTCGGGCGAAGAACACAACCTCCCCGCCGACACCGTCATCCTCACCGCAGGCCCCTGGACAAAAACAGTCTGGAAGCCATCACCCATCTCCGCCCTGCGCGCCCACAGCGTCACCATCCGCCCCTCGCGACCCGTCTCCGCCTACGCCCTCTTCACCTCAATAGACATGCCTCGCGGCAACAACAAACGCGGGGAAACCGTAACACCAGAAATCTACGCCCGGCCCAACCAGGAAGTCTACGCCTGCGGCGAGGGCGACCACCTCGTTCCCTTGCCCACATCTACGGATCTCGTGCAGTGCGATGAGAGTAAGTGTCAAGAGATTTTCGACCAGGTCGCGGCTATTTCCGAAGAGCTGAGGGATGGAGAGGTTACGGCGAGACAAGCGTGCTATTTGCCTAATGTTAGTAGGGGGAGTGGGCCGCTTATAGGCAAGACGAGTGTAAGGGGGTTGTTGATGGGTGCGGGGCATACTTGTTGGGGGATTCAGAATGGGCCTGCGACGGGGAAGCTGCTGAGTGAGTTTGTGTTTGAGGGGGAGGGGAAGAGTGCGCAGATTGGGAGTTTGGATCCGAGGAAGTTTGGGGTTTAGATGGGTGGTTTGAGTGGGATATAATTTGAGCGATCGAATCTATGATGAACTCCTTCAATGGGCTGAGCCGTGCCATCCACCCGTGTGATGTGTCATTTGAACGCTAGATTGTACTACGCACAATCTCATCCTTCACATTCATCAGATTCTCATCGCTCTTTGTGTACATTCATACAGGCGTGCACAATTCTCTTGTTGGTCCGCAGGTAACACATGTGTTCTCTTCCTGAGGTTTTTCGTACCCCACACCTAGTCCATGATCTTTGTGGTTTTGGTATTTGGAGCACAAAGCAACACCATGTGTAATCTTGTTTATCGTTTTGAAAAGAACGTGCAATGCGATAATCGAGAAGAGAATTTGTTTATATCGGAGGACAGATATTTATACGATCGAGACCAGCACTACCCACAGCAACGGCATAGACAGGCTGCGTCTGTATTTCTGGCAGCCGTCCCGCACATGCGTTGTCTTAATCGACGTTTTGGAGGCCAGCCCCAAGCATAAGCAAATGCCACGGAATCTTTTCGCAGCTGCTTCCAGAGGAGAACATGTCTTGGTTCATGTAGAGTTTAGATCGACTAGCCCTCTCTTTCAACCGAACGTCATATCTCTTTATTGATGTCTTTTTTGAGAAATTTAAGAAGCAGAAACAGTCTCATGAATTGTTTACATCACCGCTTTGGCGCTATTAGGTTGGAGAGACGATTTTAGTACTGGATGAGGAGTACGGAAAGGAGAGGATATATAGATCCAGGAGTGTACTATTCGGGTGGTAGATGAGAAAGGTGGCTGACAACGCTCATGCGAGGCTTGCATGGTCTTTTCTGGTTTCGCAAGTCGCTGGACAAGACATCAATGGAGCTGCTTAAGCTTTGAGGTTAAGTTCCGGATAATTGGGTAGTCTGCACATACCGATACTGGAAATTCTTCCGATCACTCAGTCATGGTTCGTTATGGGTTGCTTTTTGAAATTGGAGGAGATACCATGAAATGTGGTATGATGGGTTTTGTAGACTTCTGGGAGAGAGCAGTTGGATGGCGAGTAAGTCGAGGAACAGAATCGACAGCTTTATAGTAACGACCCAGCGAAGGCTCACACACTCATGAGAAGCGGATCCGACCGTTTTGGAGTGACTAAACAGCATAGACTAGTCTCGCTGTACTATGCTGAGTCGACACCATGAGTGAGGTGGCATGGTTTTGATCTACCACGCACTTGACGGAACCACGTTTCGACAGGAACATGAACGAGCTGACTTCGCTCCCGTACGACGACCAGAACATGCGTCTTTTGGTTGAATACTTTTCAGTCCGCAGAAAGACATGCTCGGCAATCTCTGGAGTTTTGGAAAGATAGGGTTTGAAGAGAGATGTTGGAGAGGAAAGGCGATCCAGGTACAAGCTTCTTATATAGCAGACTCGTAGCCCGAATATCGGCCATATACCCTAGAAGACTGCGGTAAGTCTTTTCGTCTCGCATGTGGAAAAGCACAGAGCGGCCCAACTCGGTATTTTTAGTCTGCTCAACTATGCCAGCCCACGAATGAATGTTGGCGGTGAAGGTTTTGTAAAAACATGTTACTATCAGAAATGGAAGCAGGCGCCGTTACATTTCGAGTATTCAGATCCGATAGAATAGCATATTCCCTGCTTCATGAATACCGACGCGCCCGCAAGATCATGAGTAGCTTTGTTTGCTGTTTTTGTGTTCTCTCCTCTCCCATAGCATGGTTGTAGGTGAATTTCGATAATTATGGCTGATCAAGTATGTGTAAAGAGATGTCATTCGTCGTTGAGAAGTCTCTCAAATTCCGTTATCAGAGGGGTTTCCAACGAGAGCAAAGTCATAGTCTGTGAACAGCCATGTTTCAGCTCACTCTCGAGCGTTCTCGTCCTCGTTTCAGAAAAAGATCATGAAACTATTGTTCTTTACTTTGGAAGCTTTCTTCTTGCTCAAAGAGACATGAATTGGTGCTTTTCGACTTATGATAATCGGGAAGAGATGTTGTTGAGCGAGAGAAGGTAAGGTGATCAAGCTAGAGAACAGCACTTATAGGGACTAAGAACACTAGCTAGCCAAGAGTATAGTCTTCAGGGCTTTGTTTGTTGTAACAGGACATGCCGGGGTATATCGCGATGTTAATCGCTATGTCGGTATTTTCCCAAGTCCGGGAGAAGGGAGAAGCGGACTGCCACAACATGCAGTATTATCCATGTAGTTTCCAAGAACAGTTTCTTGGCTGACCGCAGAGACAACACATGAATTCCATTCTACTGGCTTTTGGTCTATGGTGCAGAAGTCTGGATAGCTTGAAGCGAGCCATGAATGTAGTTTCGGGGTATTTGAGCCCAGGCAACGCGGCTCCATCAAAGTTCTCGTCCATTGTTTTGAACTGGAAAAGAGGGAAGATGATTTCAGAATTCCTGGAAGAAAGCAGGGATATTTATATCGGTATCCGCAACCAGCCGAGTGCCGGATATATCGCGCATGTCTTTTATCTTGAATGAATGATGCAATTGCTACATCTCGTCGACATGAGTGTTGGGTCAACTCTTTTTGGTAGGCTTTGTGACTTATGATACCACTCGAGTAGTTTTACTTCCTCCGCTAGCTCGATTCCATCGGTCGCATATCGAACATGTTCTGGTGTTGAGCCCATGGACGAGGCGAGACGACAGCACCCATAGGCATATTGGTTGACTTATTTTGTATGAGGCCACATCATCGTAACTGCGAAATGTAAGGAAGCAGGGAGGCGCCACGATCATTCCTTTCTTTGCTGGTGACTTTAGAAAAGCTCCATGCTGTTGCAAGGGTGCAGTTTTGATATCCTTGCCGGAAAGTAGATGGACGAGTAATCAACAGATCCAGCAGTCGCCGGAAGCGTTTAAGTATTTGTTGCACTAGTTCGCGAGGCGAGGGTGATAGATACCGTAGAACCGGTATTGGTTGCTCATGTCTCGATGCCTTGGGTGTTTTGAATCCGAAGTCCCAAACGCCAACAGCAGCACATGCGAGCGGCGGCTCTATATTTCGAAGCCTCGATATGTCCTGTTTGGACGGAATTTTGGGACAGCGCAGGCCAAAGTCGACATGTTAGCGGCGATGGTGTATTTAGGTAGATGTTCGTCGCTCGCGCTGGAGAAGTAGAGGCCAACCACATAGCTCATGACGGTGTTCATTTTCAATGATGGTGTGATCTTGAACCAAAACAGAGGCCCAGAGAACATCAGGCACTGCCACCTCTTTTTCTTTTGTGTAGCAAAGAATGGACCGAAATTTGGGCAGGAGAAGACATGTGTGAGAGGTATGCTGTTTTTGGAATAGGTGACTAGAGTTGGTCTCCGAGTCCACATCAATTGCCATTGGCGATATTTTGGTAATAAAAGATGGAGGCTTTTAGAAAGTATGAGGAGAAGAGAGCACGACCAGAAAGATGGTTTATATACACCAGTAGCGCGGACACGGAATCGCGGAACCGCTTGTACTGCTGACGATCGTCATCACCATCAATGCAGCATTCACATACCCAATCGCGCGCATGAAAATACACCATGCGACTCACTTATTCAGCTCCTCATTCAGCTCCTCATTCCGACGAAGCCGTCCCAACAACTAGGATTCTATCAACAGAGTGCTCAAACACACTTTATCAAAGGCATACAATCCCTTTTCCGTATCCTACCCTATCCAGTATCTACCCAAAAGAGCCAGCCAATCGCAGTGGCATGTACTCAAATATCATCGAGGTCCTCTTCCTCAGCCCTGCTCTTCTTGCCATCGCCATTGAGCCTATCCATCCTGACATCCTCGTGCCTCCTAGTCTCATTCATACCGCCGCTCATAGCCATAGCCTGGCGGCCAGTATCCGAGCTCTCGAGGAAAGTGCGGAGACGCTCCTTGCCGACTTCAAGACCTTGTGCGGAGGCGGCGTTGGCCATGCGTGCCATGGGGCCCCATAGGTTGAGGGTGTAGGTTACGTAGGCGCCGACGGCGAGGAGGATGAGGAAGATGAAGTATACTGGGTTGCGGAGGACTGAGAAGGGTTAGTATATAGGTAACGGAAAGCAGAGACGACTTTGAGACTTACCAGCTACGATCTCGTTCCAACCCAGCGCGAGGAGGAGACCGTAGAAGTACAACGGCACTTGTGTGATACCGCCAATCGCGCTACGCTTGGCTTCCACGTACACACCGTCTGCGGTCTTCTTGAAGCGGATCAGGAGATCGGCTTGCTTGGCGTCGGAAAGAATCGTCATCTCTTCTTCTAGGGTCTTGCCCTCTTCGTCGTCTAAGCCACCGATGGGTGTCAAATCGTCTTCATCCGCAGCGGTCGCTGAGGCTGGAGCCTCGCCGATCCAGGCGTCGAGCGGTGGAGGACTTGATGTTTTCGCCAGCTTGAAACGGGCGAGAAGTGGGATGACGGTAATCGTCGACTCGCGGGCCTTGGTGTAGACACCCTCGATGTCGTCTGTAGGTCGCCATATTCTCGGGACACCGTGCTCATCGTAGCGGAACTTGTCCTCGAAGTTCTCTCTCAGCTTCAATAGAATGTTGCCCTCCATGACTTCCTCGTCAATCTTTGCGCGGAGCACAGCCCACGACTTCCGTCGTAACCTCCAAAGACCGACCTCAACTTCTTCGGAGCTAGCATCGAAGCTGGATGCGCGGTCGGTGAAACGCTTCTCGGCGCTCGAGACAGTTTCGGTGAAGATAGTCCAGACACGGTCCCAGAGATCCTTCTCTGTTGGTGGTCGCTCGCCATGCTCGGGCGCGCCAGAACCGCCTCGACCAGATCCGAGCTTGTTGAATTCCAGACCGACAGACTCATCTAATCTTGATCGTACCCAGCGCTCGATTCGTGTGGCCAGACGCCTCATCTCCTCCTTGCGCAGACGGCCAGAGACGTCATCAAGGTCCTTCTTGTAGATCTTCAGCTCGTTCTCATGACTGCTCCAGGCCGCGCCTTCGATGGCCATGGCCTTCGCATCCTCTTCAAACTTAGCAAGCGCCTGCTTCTTTTCTGAATCGACAATCTGTGCGAAGTCGTATGTGCCCTTCTTCTGACCGCTCTTCACCGCCGCGCTGACAGCTTCGCTGAAGGACTCCACTCCGGACTTGTGAGCAGCTGTGAGTTGCTTCTGGAACAGTGCTTTCAACCGTGTATCCACCTTGGCTTCAAGTTCTGCCTGCTTCCGCTTGTAAACACCCTTGTGGTATCGGCTCGCGTTCGTGTCGAAGTCTTTGAAGACCTTGGTTCGTGCAGCGCTCATCGCAGGGCCGAGGTCGGCAATGACTGAAAGCTGGCCTGTTCGAGCATGGTCGGCTTGTTGGTCCTCCAGTGGTGTGATCTTCTCATCGAAAGCAACAAGGACCTCCCGCGAGATCTCGTCACAGCGGAACTGGGCCAACAGCTCTTGCTGTGTAGGTAGATCCAAGTCCTTGTTGTTGACAATCTGATCCCACACACCCTCCGCGTATGCCGAGAAACCGTCTGCGGGAATCCGTCGGTGGTATTGGGGCAGGAAGATGGGCGCCGATGCCTCGTCGATGAGTCCGCTCTTCCTCGGGTCATTGTACCCTTCCTTGAACCGCCTGCTAAGCTGTGTGACTGCCTCCTCAAACTTCTCTGGTTGTAGGATCTTGTGTGGGAGGGCGACGAAGGCGAAGTCGAAGTAGTCTTCTATCCGCGAGTTCTCTAGGCCGTTGGGTTTTGAGATGGTTGACCACAGTTTGGAGAGGTCTTGTATTAAGGTGTTCTGAAGGTTCTTGAGGGGTGTCGTGCCGAGGTGATCGCGGATGACGAAGAATAAGAGGGATCTGGGAGTTGATCTACGTAATCGTCAGCATGTGAGAGATCCAGGACAATCGAAACACTTACTGGCTGTCCTTGACGAAGAGTTGTAGGTTGACTTCGAACACAGTCTTGAGCAGGCCCATGTTGGCACCCTGGTACAGTCCAACTTGGTGCTCCCAGATGTTGACAATGAGGACCTCGCTCGTGGCAAGCGCGAAGAGGGCGCTCTTGCGCTCAAAGTCCTGGTCCTCGCCTCGCTCTCTACCATCCGTACCCTCAACATCCATGACGAGGATGTTCTCAGCCATGTTGGAGCCGCCCTCCTCGCGCTTGTTCTTGCTCATCCAGATTCCCTTTGTTGTCTGGCGGCGCTCCTGCTCGGACATGACGCCGAACTGGGTGCCGAAGAGGTAGTTGAGGAGCGTCGACTTTCCGGTAGACTGCGAGCCAAAGACGGATATGAGGTGGTAGTTGAAGCCGGCGGGGATAACCTTCTCAATGTTGAGATATGTAGATACGTTTGTGCTACATGGCGAGAACCCATTAGCCTACTGCCCCGCTGCCCAATTGCCTGCACGTTCAGAAGACATACTTGAACATCTTGTCCTCGTCAATGACCTGGATGCCATGTTCGTAGGCACTTTTGTCGACGTTGTCGCCGACGCCGGCAAAGTGGGCGTTCATCATGAGCGAGGGTGACGTGTGGTGTTTGACGTTGCTGGGACGGCCCTGGCCATTCACTTTGAGGGAATCATCGGCCATGATTGCTTGGTGTACAGTCCAGCCGAGAGCTGCACGTGGTGCGGGAAGAATAATGGCGTTGTTAGGGGTGAAAGCTGGCCGTTGATGTCACAGGCCGACCGCTTCTGGAGCGTCGACGCCCATTCGCCGCTGCACCCTGGCACTGATCCTCGCTTAGGCCCAGGCGGTGGTTGCTGCCGTACAGATGACGGTCGCCTGCATCATGCTCTCTGTTTGTATACAGGCTTTGAGACACTCATTCCTGCTGCCTCTCTCACGTGCTGTTGCCCCGAGGATGGCGATCTGAACCATGGTTGAGCGCGGTAGTGGGGATGCACGTTGCGATCGTGGGCAGGAACAAATCATCACGTCTTGGCATCGCTTTCACGATACTATCACTGGGTCGCTTGACAGGACGTTCCTGGAGATAAACGTGTCCTTAGAACAGGTGCCGACAAGCTACCGAAATCTGGGAGATCGCCGTAAGGATTGCTCTAGATGTCTTCGCTCAACAGCGTTCTAGCAACAGGAATAATTCAACCCCCACTACGCGTGCTATGACACCGCCAACGCCATCTCTAGTCTCAGAATTCCCTATGTCCCTTACCACCACTAACCATATCCCCACTGATCTTGCTAATCTCCTCACTATTCTTGACCCAAGCCTTCGTCGCATCCTCCCACACCCCATCCCCAAACTTATTCTTACACCACTCCAGCACCTTCTCCGCCTCGTCTCTTATCCTCTTCTCGATTCCCTCCTCGTCACCCGTCCTCTCAATCTTCTTCTTGCTTCGAAATTGCTCAACGGCGTCGATCAAACTCTTAGGCTCCTCATCGCCATAGACGAATTTGATCAAGGAAGACGAAATAGAAGAGTTGCTACCAACTTGTTTCGCAACTTCAGCCTCCAGTTCCTGCCCATCTTCTTTGTGCTTAGGTTGGTAGCCTTCACATGCATCTGCGACGTCACTTATCCATGCTCTTGCGTTGTTGAAGTCTCCCTCCGCGCGGTGCAAGATACCGTGTAGTAGCATCCCCTCCACAGCTGGCGGAGCCTGCATGTGCCGGACTAGGAAGTGCGCAGAATTCAAGTCATGGTTTGCGATATGCAACAGTGCTTCGATGGTAGGATGGACGTGTAGGTCTGCGATTGTCGCGGTAAGCTGCGAATCTTGAGCTTTCTTGGGTGGCTGGACGAGATTGGTCTTGGGGATGAGCGTTTGCGATATTGTTTGCAGCTTTCGTGGCACGTCTGATTGACTCATGTCTTCGTTTTGCTGAGTGGAATCGGAGCTGGTGGTGGGAGTTGTACGCGAAGAGACAATTTCTCAATTCTGGCCAAGACGCGATTGTTCAGAGAAGATGTAGGTAGTAGCCAAATCGAAGACACCATCATAAAACAGAATGTCTCACAACATGTATGCACCAGCTAGCTTCGTCGCGAAAGCATGTGACGTGCTTGATGCCCCAACTCAGCAACGCAGACGTCATGACGGACCCTGAGAATCATACAGCCGACATGTGCAGGGTTGGGGGGCTCACAAAAAGGAATCCTCTATAATTCTGAGGGATAAACGCAGCATTAGGCAACATCTTCAGATAGTCGAATGTTGTAGCATAAGAATATAGTTTCCATAGACGCGCTAAAGCGCGCTCATATGTACATACAACGCATTATCATCCAATCCCCTGAGCACAACCTAGTCGTACAGATATAACAGGTACAATGTCAGGGTCGTAGAGTATTTTGCATCCAAACGCCAGTAAATGAAGTCGAAGATGTTGGAAAGACAACGCAAAGGCCGAATCGGACACGAATTGGGTGGTTGGAGGTAGGGTGGTGGGCGGTATTCGAGGTCGTAGTAGGATAGTGTGGAACATCAAATCGACCCAAGCTTAAGCCTTGTTCTTGTTCTGCTCTTCCTCCTTCTCAGCCTTCTTCTCCTTCTTGTTAGCCGCATCAGCATGCTGCTTAGCCTTGTGCTCCTTGTCCGCAGCAGCAGCCTTGCGCTCCTTCTCGCGTTGCTCCTCAGCCTCTACCATTTCTGCATCAACAAGTTAGCTATCTATTCCCCATATACAACCAATAGTTAGACACATACCTCTCCACTGGTCCTCTCCAGCATATCTCTCGTGGTGAATCTTCTTCTCGATAACATGCTTATGTTCGGGATCGTTCGGGTCGATAACCCTAATTGTCTCCCACCTTCCCTTGCCCTTGGCAGCGTCCGCGCCTTCAATCGCAAAACTGCCTAGCAGCGCTGCCAGTGTGCCGCCCTGTGCGTACATACGCGCCTGCACTAGCTTTTGCGATCCGCTCAGGTATGGATTGCGGTTGACCATGTGCCATGAACCAGCCATGGAGGCGACCCAGAAACCAAAGAGAATCGGGTATCGGTTTTCGGTTGCCCAGTCTTTGGCGCGCTCGAGGGCTGTCTTGTTTTGCTCGTAAAGGGCTTCGCGCTCCTTCTCTCGCTCGACTTGGCGCTTCTTCTCGGGTGTGTGTTCGATGTCGTATGCTGCGGAGGCTCGGTCGGCGGCGATGACGGCTGTGGGGTAGCATTGTTAGCAATCGAACTCCGGAGTTTTGCGATAGAGAGATACGTACCGATGAATGTTCCTGTTGAGGCAACAAGGAAAGCCCGGAAAGGAACTGTGAGCGCTCGGAAGGAGTGGTATCTTCTGCTCGCAGCCATGACACCTGCAGCACCTATCGCCGTACCAATGGCACCACCTATCGATCCGCCCTTGATTGTGGCACTTGAAGCTGTCAGTACAAAGTTCCCATCGCCATTCGAGTCCAATACTCACTTGTAATGCGCCGCCTCCTCTTCCTTGGTAAGAACCTTCATCTTGTCTTAGGTAGAAACCGCTCCGATTCGGAATATAGGCGTATGATGGATAGTCGTGAGAATGTGGCGGCTGTTGAGAATCGTGCGTCAGGTATACGCTTAGTGTTAGGAGTTTGGATGAGTCTGTGTGTAGAGTCTGAATGGGTATGTAAAATACTATGGCGCACGCGGCGACTTATTAAAAGATAACGCAATGCTCAAAACTCATGGTGACGTCGCCGAACTTCCGGCGCCGCTAGACCCACGTTGACATGTGCGGGCAGTGATGAGGTAAGGCCCTTTCGGCAGGCCCTGCCTAGCCCTACGTCCTTCCAGGGCTGGGCCGATTATCGTGCGCTGAGAGATCAGGTCACCGATGCATGATCGAATACACTTTGAGAGAACTTCTCTTGCTGTTCGTTTGTTGCAACTCTACGTTGGATGTAGGAATGTTTTATTCGTTTCGGGGTTGTGCTCCCGGCGAACCATCACTCCTTCCTCAAGATGCTATGCCTCGCAGCAGTTCCATCAGAAATGCATCACCCATGCGCATTTACTACCCTGACACCAACATGCAAGCAGCCGCTAAGTAAGGCTCTGTAAGCTCGTGAGCAATACATCCCCGGTTTGTTCCTGCTCGGCAAGTTCTCGCGTGTCGCATGCTCTTCGGATTCTATGCCGAAGCGGCATCTCTTAGTTGCCGCTCGCCGCTCGCACTGTTCAGACTCAGCAAACGTGCGGCCGACCTTCCTTCTCATCTACACGATATTGTTCGAGCCTTTCAGACCGTGATGCTTGATGAAACAGCTCAAACTCTTCGCCAACCCTAAATACCGTCTTACAGGCATGTGCAAGCTCTTTCCGACCATGCCCGAGTTGCCACCGAAGCCCGTACAAACTCCAAGATTCACCGAGCGGCTCCGCACATTGACACCCACGACAAAATGGGTAGCAACGTCTGTCTGTTATGTTCACTCATCAGTTCCCAGCACTATGGTGCAGCCACAAACTCTTCCCAGGACATCACGAGCAATGATGCATGCAATAAGTCATCATGTTTCTTATTTCCACCGAAGAATACATACATCCGATGACAGCATTATCGTAATCGTATTACCTCGTGATTGGTCTGACACTGAAAGAAGGATAAGTATGTAGGTACAATCCAGTTCATTGTTCACCATATCGTCTTCTCCAGCTTTTGCCTCCATAATCCTACTAAGTACCTCAGGGCCGATGAAAGTGTTGGGATAAACAAGAAAGGACATGTCCGTGATAAGGCATGTCCAGGAATCGATGCTATTCCAACTGACTGTAGGAAATGCGTACTTTCGTTTTAAGCCAATGGTCTTCGACAATTTGTTCGACATTGATCTTAGCTTTTGGGCATATCCACGATACCTTCTTCGAGATCGAGCGAGCGGTGCACTGGCTGATAATACCCAACGATACGTATGTGGACGAAGACATGTACACGCGCAAATAACTCCTCAACGGAATGCGCCAAAACTGGGGCGCGGTGCGGGGTTGCCATAGCGGGGAAGCATGCCTGCCGGAGGTCCTGGGCGCGTCGCAAGGGCAGGGTTGCAACAGAGCATGGCGACACGAGAGCCGTACTTAGAACCGCGGAGAGAGACCATGTGCTTACGGATGTGGCCGCCAACGAGTTCGCGATGCTGGGTACCACTGTTGGTCAAGACATACTGGATGAGATAGTTGCCGAACTGATCACCAGCGACTTGAACAAAGTTAGCCATCGTTCACGTGTTAGGGGTGATTCGGACTCACTATCAATAAGAGGCATGCGTGGGCGATCAGGGCGAGCTTCGCATACCCGGTCCAGGTACCGGTCCAGGAACTCGTTGCCACCGATTTTCAGGCACTTCTCGATAACCTTAGAAGCATACTGGTCCATGCTGTACTCTGTACTGAAGCGGAGGATGTGATCGATAGCACGACTACGGTCGGCGGGTGCACCATGCTCACAGATATGCTGGATGCACCAGTTGCCGAATTGGCCGTGGGCAATGACATCGATGCTGGCGAGCACCTCGTTGATGCAGGGACGCTAATGCTAGTTAGTAGGAGTCGAGAAACGATTGACAGCGCCTTCACGTACCTTGTCTTCTTCAAGACAGTTCTCAAAGATGTTCTGTACGACCAGACTACCCGTCTCGCCCAATGCGACTTCATGCCACATGCCTCGTAGAGCTTCGTTGACGTAGCGCATGATCTGAGGCGGAGAGTCACTCCAACGGAGCTCAAAGAGCTTCTGCCAGACGTGGCAAGCGTAGCGGTGGATGACAGTCTCTGGAATTCGGCGAAGCAATTCGTGGACCATGGTCGCTTTGTACTCTTCCGGGACGCAGTCGAAGGCCTTCTGGATGACATGGCAGCCAAATGCATCCATACTCAAGGCGAGGGTATTGCCGCGAATGGCTTGGGCGATTGCGATGACTTGATCGTGCGTACCATGCTCAAAGCAACGCTGTACAAGGAAGTTGCCGAAGCGGTTGACCATCAATGCATAGGCTTGAGAGATGATTGCCTCCACAATCTCATACTTCTGCTCCGGTGTGCCTACCTTGAGCTTCTGCTGAAGAAAGATGGAAGCCTGCTGGTCGTTGTTGCAGATGATCTTATCGACGATGTACTTCCAGTTGCAGCTCATGTTTCGGTCCAGTAGACGACGATAGTTCATGGGCTCAACAGGGGGCACGTACTGTGAAGTACCCGCTTCACTCGGAGCCTATGTCTTGTTAGTAATATTCGAAGTCCTGGATGTAGTAGTGGCGTCTTACCTGAGAGTTCCATGGAGACGGTCCCATGCCATTGGCTACGTTAAACTCGTTCGCATCTGGCGACAATCTGCTGGCCATAGTGCCGATCGGAGCCGGGTGGCCTATCGGATACATGGGTGGCATAGCGTACTGATTGTAACTCGGGTCGAAGGCCGAGCCAGGGCGGCTAGGCGGGTTACTCAGTCCGTTGCCCATGCCCATGCTCATACCGTTGAAGTTGTTGTTCATGGGGTTGGGCATGCCATTACCCATGCCGGCATTGAAGCTGTTGGACATCCCACTGCTGCGGAAGCTCTGGTCGAGAGGGAAGTGAATGGGCTCGTTCAGGAAACCATTGCGACGGTAGCCTGACTGAGTGGGTTGTGGACGGGCCTGAGGCTGGGGCTGAGGCTGCGTCTGGGGCTGGTATGAGTTGCCGAAGCTGTTGTTGCTGGTATAGGCTGGACAAGCAGGCTCATTGCCCCAACCGTAGTTGCTTCGAGTGGAAGCATTGAACTTGTTCTGCAAGCTGGTAAGGGTCTGCTCAGTGACATCACCCGGATAGCTATAATCAGCCTCTGACGATTGGCTCAGGTGCTCCATGGTCGACCGGGCCACATGATGGCTGTGCATCTCCTGGTTGACGCGGTTGACTTCGTTACGGGCCTCTTGTAGCTCTAACTTAAGCTTTTGCAGCTCGCAAGCCTCGACGAGGATGATCGAGCTGTCCAACTCCGTCGATGGAGTAGATGCGAAGTCGTCGGTGGCTGGTGTGATGGGAATTGATCCGTTGGAGGAGCTATATGGGTCGTGCGGAGGGGAGCGTCCATTCAGGCGCTGCAAGAGCGAGTCCATGACCGCTGACTCCTCGTGAGCTCCCATCTTGGGCTTCTGGGTAGGTCAGCTTGGTCGATCTGAGAGGTGATGACGGTGAGCCTGCAGCAAATGCTGGATTGTACTGACCTTATAGCCGTCGAATGAGTCGTGCTGCTGCAGCATAGGCGCTTGATTACCCAGGGTAGAAGAACCGAGTGGTCGCTTCATGCCCTGTGTATTGCATGTCAACGATGAGCCAAACGCACGTTGGAAGGCATATGGGTATTGGTGCAGGCTCATGCTGCCTACCGCCTGACCCAGAACCTCTGGTGAGGTATCAATCCTGAGATCACCGGCCTTAGAGAATCGATTGGGGCCCTTGCGGGGTGTGGGGGACCCGTCGGAAGTTATGTTGAAGCTCATAGTAGCGGAGCTTGGAAAAGTGGGTAGATGGTTTAGATCCGAGAGGCTACCGACGTGTCCAGGCTATATGGTGAAGAGTGCGGTTCTGAAGGCGGCTGGAAACAAACCTGGGGTTATTGGGCAAATGGGCAGATAATATGCAGAACGGAGGCTCGGTGCAGCTGGTTTGGAGACGTAAATGGCCAATGTAGATGCAGAGGCGATGAGGAAACAGCTCAAATGTGCATAAATCAGTAGGTCGCAGAGGGCGTTGCCGTAAGGAAAGGACGACAGTTGTGGGAAGAAGGAAGAGATTGAGGAGAGGGTGAGTAGGAAAGCGGGAGAAGCGGGGTGATGACAATAGAAGCTTCCGAAAGAGACGAGGTGAGCGCGAGTAGGTGCCCAGGTGGAAGGCGCATCGCGTCCGGACGCGTCGCACTCGTCTTCACCTCAGCAAACGGTAAGATTATTGTAGAAAGAGGAATCAAGGATACAGTATGTGCGGACCAGGTGACAAGATCGGTCCGCTCTATATCTCCACTCATTGCATTCATGTCGAAGCTCGTATAGCCTCACTCCCACACTGCAAGTTGATGAGACATACTGAGCCTTTGATATCCGCAGCTACCTACTACCTCTTCAAGCCTGGGCCTGCGCACCGCTCACCCACTCTCTATGACACTGCCGGGAGTAACCTTCCAGTCAGAGTCAAAGAAACCCATCGCTAAGACGCCTTCAATACCCTTCCATTTTGTGCTCTCACCAAAGACAACGAAATCGGGTTGGCCAACGCCTGTCAGCAGAGGAACGACACGGGATGCCTGTCGCAACCCCTCGTCATCAACACCCCACAGGACGAGCTCGAGACGCTCGCCTTCTAGTGGTCGTAAGAATGCTGCACCCCTAGCCTCCTGCCCGTACGTTTGGTCTCTCCCACGATAGTCGCGGATGACGATGCCAGAGTCGCCAAAACGAATTGGGAAGTTGCTTTCACTATCTTTGAGGCTAGCGCCAATAGCTAGAGTGATAATGTTGTTGGTGTATCTAGAAATGGCAGAGTCTGACAGGGAAGAGACGATGTTGGCGTCCGCTTGGAAGTACTGGTGTAAATTGCGTGAAGTCTGCAATGCAATGTACGAAGAATTGGGAGAGCCTGAATGCCTGATCGTGAATGGCCCGTGGGTGCGAAGAATAGCAGTCATGGAGCCCAGTTGCCGGCCGGTCCTTTCAGGTTGCGCAGAATCTGCAGTACGTGAGCCAATCTTCCAGCCTTCGTCTATCTTGTGAACACGAATGACAGAGTCGGTCATTGCTGTTTCCTCTACCAGTCTCGTTTCGTAGCCATCGATAATCACAGAGTCCTTCCAGAGGGCAGTATTGAACTCAAGTTCTCGTACGTTCGACGTCTTGATGATGTGTCCTCGGACACCGACCTTGCCATAGTGTCCTGGGTCTTCTAGTTGTTTGACTTGAATGCCGTTCTTACTCCCCGTGTCTCCAGGGTCGCCAACCATGATGAGAAAATGCTCCATTTTCCGAGGCAGAACATCTTTGTTCCTGGCCTGGGTGTAGTAGAAGTCTACCAATGCTGGCGTCGTCATGACCCCGTCGAACCAGTGGTTTGCCCCCGCTACTTCGTTGTAACTAGCTTTGGCTCCTGTAACTCCCGAACTGACTCCTGTGCGATACAGCTGCTCCGCAAGTAGGCGGCCATTATAAGCCGGAACGTTGTCATCAATCTCACCGTGCTGCTGTTGAACAGGAATTCCATGCGCGTTAGGCATGAGCATTTCATGTCGATAATTGTTTAGTGAGGCACTGATAACTGCGGTACGTCCTGGATCTGCAGGCTGCCATAGATGGTATGGCACATACACCTGAATACTGGCGTAGCCCGAAACTGGTGCTGCAGCAAGTACTTTATCTGGTCGGTGAGTCAGGGCATACCAAGTACCCTGCCCACCGTTGGAGTGCCCCGAGACTATCCAGCGGTCTGTATCGATATCGTATCCGGTCCAGTGATTATTTGTGATCCAGGTTGGAATCGCAGCTATTGCGGCTTCGACGTCGGCGAAGCCCCAGTTGTGCCAGTCATCGCCGGACCACGGCGTGACGCCTGTTGGGAACAGGACCCATGCACAGAGATCGGAAACGGGATCTAGAGCGCCAGTAACCTGGGGATTTTCCGCTTCAAGACCAGCTCCGTGCAGTTGCAGCAATAAAGGCAGCTTCGATTGTCCCGATGGGCATGTTGCGTTCTTGGCTGGAGGCCGAAGCATAGCATAGGAAGCTATGCCGCCCGGGTGGAGATAAGTGACCTTGTGAGGTCTGTAGAGATCTACATGGTTCAGTTCCTGGGACACATGTAGGGTGTTTTGACGTGTTCCACCGACGGACTGGTACGCGATGTCGTAGTCCAAGGATGAGGCGTTGTTGGTAGAGAGAGATGCTTCAAAGACGATGGGCCTTGTTTGACCCGAAACAATGGTGATGGACATGCGCGAGCCTTCGTACGTATCATAGTCGCCCTGGTTAGCAATATCAGTATCTTCGCGTAACAATGACTGAGCGCCTGTTGTCCACCCGGCGAAAGAGACGTGCGAGCTCACATCTGAGGGCTGAATGCTCAGGACCTCGATATCCTCTTCCCCAGTGTTCCTCAAATATACCGATCCAATTGACGAGGCAAGCTGTCCATTGACAACGTCAGACACCAGCATGCCAGGCTTCGCAAGTTCCAGAGACCCTGTGGTCTTTTGTACATCAACGACAACATCAATGGTAGGCTCCAGAATGCCTCCAAAAGCCCTGACATCGCGAGCTAGGCGAAGGTCGATTCTGTGTGAGCCAGGCTTAAGATGCAGAACAGGAGGTGCGTTCCGGTAGCTGTAGTAGTCTCCTCCAAAGTAGTGCTGGTCATCCACCCAGTATTCCAGGATGGCGTCCGTGTGCAGGATTAGATGTTGAGTCTCATTGCCGCCAACGATAAGTTCGCCTCGAGCCCAGGCCTGGTATTGTACAGCAGCCCACCCGTATACGACCTTCAGGAAATCCCAATCAACGTTGGAGTAGGCCACACTCAAGGAGGCGTTGGCCGAGGTAGCATCGTTCAAAGTCCGTACGGCTTGGGTGACGTTCCATGACGCGGTCCCGTTAGTAGGCAATGAGCTTCGAAACGTCGCATTGGGGTCATATGGGAGGTTTCTGAAGCCGCCGTAGTACTCCAGTGGATCGGCACCCCACGTGGCTTCTACACGTTGTTGGCATGTTGTTTCCGCGTCACCACGACCAATGACGTACCTCTTGTTCCAATCTGAAATGGCCCTAAGACGTGCCATGTGTCGTTGAAGGAAATCAAAGAGGCACTCTCCTGCCGGCTCACTAGGTGTAGTGGGGCAATGACCGGCCCATGTTCCGTAGCATGACCCAATTGCAACAGGAGGAAGATAGCACAGAATAAATACGGCAGCGACGGCCGACTCATCGGAACAGACATACTCGGGGTTGCACGAAACCTCGACACATGATGAAGAGCGAAAGAGGTGCTTTTGAAAAGGAACGTCGTTATCGCTGCAGAAGATCTATACCAGACATAGCAGGTGCGGAAGACATGGTAGTTCCCGAAGTCATCAACGGAGCTTGGCTGACGAGGGCTGGTGATTTGCTATCCCTGTCGGCTGCACGACGCCCGGAACGCGTATGTCACTAACCAGACAATTCTCCGCTAATTACGGATCTATTGCGACGCTTGCCTTCAACACCACGCTTCTTGGAATAATCCTTCTCGACGATCCACGGTACCCCACCATCGCTACCGCTGATTGTGCTAACCTCGTGCTCTTGCACGTTACAAAGGAGTGCGCCACTGTTCCGCGCATATAGCACCAAGCCGCCTGCAACATCGCTTCTTCCATCCCCATGGCGTAACGAATAGTTCGACGACACCCCTACCACCTTCCATCCCGCAGTCGCCATGACGCCTCCGTTGGCGCGGGACCCGAGTCCTAACGCTACCTTCAAGTTTCCCGCCTTCCAGCCCGATCTGCTCCCCACGCCCGAGGAAGACAACATCTACGGCCTCAGCTCGTCGCGGTCCGCCAGCCCCAGTCATGCAGCGCAGACAAACGGCAGCACGATACTAGGGGATAGGTGGCATCCGCGCAAAGAGGCTAGGTTCGGGGGCATGAATGGCTCCTCGTCGGGCTCTTCGAACAGACACGGAAGACAGAAGAGCCTCTCCGAAGCCTTCAGGACAATACGGACGCGAAAGGGCAGTGTCAGCCAGAATGCGCATGAACTCGCAGACGCGCTCAAGGCACCGCTGTCGCCCAAGCTCATTGTACGTCGCGCCATGCACGTCTCTGCATGGTCTATGGCTAACAGACGCAGGTGCTCTGCGGCGTGTGGTACATGACCTCCATCTTCACAAACATGTCCTCCAAGGCCATCCTGACCGCCCTACCGAAGCCCATCACCCTCACGACCGTCCAATTCGCCTTCGTATCTGGCTGGTGCTTGATACTCGCCATGTTCGCTAGGAAATTCCCGCGGTTGAAGCAAACAATGCCTTTTCTCAAGTACGGCATTCGCAGCCCATCTAGGGAACTGATCATGGCTACGCTGCCCTTAACGCTCTTCCAGATCGGCGGACACATTCTCAGCGCCGATGCTACGTCGAGGATACCTGTATCGCTGGTGCACACCATCAAAGGACTTTCGCCGCTCTTGACAGTCATGGCCTACAGCATCTTCTTCAAGATTCAATACTCGATACCGACATACCTCTCCCTTATCCCGCTTACTATGGGAGTCATATTGGCATGCTCGGCGGATTTCAACGCAAACCTAATCGGCCTTATGTCCGCATTCGCCAGCGCCATCCTCTTCGTCGTACAGAACATTGTCTCCAAACAGATCTTTAACGACGCCGCAGCCGCTGAGAAAGACGGTCTTCCTCCCAATAAATTTACCAAGCCAGACAAACTAAACCTCCTCTGCTACTCCTCCGGCCTCGCCTTCCTTTTCACACTCCCACTCTGGCTCTGGTCCGAAGGATTCACCCTCATCTTCGACTTTCTCCACGACGCCTCCATCGAACTATCAGACCACCCTGAAGCTCTGGATCACGGGCGGCTAATCCTAGAGTTCCTGTTCAACGGCACTTTCCACTTTGGCCAAAACATTGTAGCTTTCGTGCTACTATCCATGGTCTCACCAGTCACCTACTCCGTGGCCAGTCTAATCAAGCGCGTCTTCGTCATCGTCTTCGCAGTCGTCTGGTTCGGCAAGCCCATGACCAAAGTCCAAGCCTTCGGTTTCGTCCTCACATTCGTGGGTCTCTATCTCTACGACCGCACGCACGACGCCGCCAAAGCAGACAAACGCGCAAAGGCGCTGCAGTCCAAGAACAGCGGCTCGCTACTTCCCTTGGCAACGGACGTCAAGTCGCGGCCTGTTTTCACAGCTAGTCCGTCGTCCATGCAGGATCCAGGAACGTACTCCATGCCGGGCATTCACGAGTCACGAGATGAGAAGAAACATGATGATTCGGGCAGTTCGAACTATCGCAGGACTTCTGAGCAGGGCTCGCAGTACTTGCCTCCTGGGACGAAGGCGGAGGATACTTGGCGGCCTAATGATATGAATGGGAGAAGGGGCATAGGCGTTTCATGAGCATTTACGAATCTATTTGTTGTTCTTAAATGAATTTTGGGGCCGAAATCCGAGTGATGCATTGTTTTCATGAGTGGTCAGGAAGAGATGCTCGGTATGCGGATGGAGATGCGCAAAGGACCGATCTACATGCCGAGTGTCACTGGTCAAGTGCTCGATTTGCCGAGACGACCGACAGAGGGATACTAAGCCGTGGATCTACTTCGTCACATGTGATGCAACCGCCACTCCAGGAGTCTGCTGACGCGTCATCCCATCGTGACATTCCGATTGTACAGTCAACGACCATGGTGACTACGCGAGATAATCTGAACATGAGCTGACATTGCAATCACGCCATACATACAGCCACTATTCGCATTATCGCCTCCAGTCCCGAACCGAACAAAAGAGATGCTTCTCGCAGCATGCAAAACCAAGCAGAGACCCCGACACCTTTAGCCGAACAGACACAAAGCAGACATAAAGTGAGCGACTTCCTGGACGCCGAGTTTGGGCATTTGCATCATCTCATGTTGTTTCCCGCGCGTTAAACGTCAAGCACATTTGTATCGTAGTCCTGCTCGCTATATCCGAGCGTTCTCCCCTCACTGCTCCGCCAAAAAACATGCGTTGTAACCCGGCGCAAACAGTTTTTAGGTGAAGGGTATTTGTGGATTTCGTCGTCGTCTAGCAGCATCCCTTCTTCTGCTCCGCGTCGGCCGACTTGCTGATCTCGAGCACCTTGCGGTCGTTACCGAGGACTGGGCCGCTGCCTTCGCCTTGGTCGAGGGCTTTGCTTGAGACGATGCGGTAGATTTCTGGGTGGTGTTAGCAGCAGATCGTACTGGTGGCACTCGGCGTTGAAGACGCAAAGAAAGTGGCGGTGTAAGCACATGTCTATAAAGGCTATAGACTGTGACGCCAAACTTTGCGCCGACCACTGTATTTGCTGCGGGGTATTGCGTGGTGAGACGGGCGTACCTGTGAGAATGTTCTGGAAAGCAAGCTCGACGTTGCTGGCGTCCAAGGCGGACGTCTCGATGAAGGAGAGGTTGTTGTCGCCTGGAGAGTGTCAGCTTACGTCGTCTGTGAGAGACTATCTGGAAAACTGCCAGTGTCATAGAATGGTGCACGTACTTGCAAACTGCTTGGCCTCCTCTGTTGGCACTGCCCGCAGATGCCTCAAATCGCTCTTGTTACCGACGAGCATGATGACGATGTTGGAGTCGGCATGGTCGCGCAGCTCCTTCAGCCACCTCGTCACGTTCTCGTATGTCTGGTGCTTGCTGATGTCGTAGACAAGCAGAGCGCCGACTGCGCCACGGTAGTATGCGGAGGTGATGGCGCGGTACCGCTCCTGGCCTGCGGTATCCCAGATCTGGGCCTTGATGGTCTTTGCGTCGACTTGGATGGAGCGGGTAGCAAATTCGACGCCGATGGTCGACTTGGAGTCGAGGTTGAACTCGTTGCGCGTAAATCGACTCAACAGGTTGGATTTACCGACACCTGAGTCTCCGATGAGCACCACTGCGGGGGTTAGCGGGCGACGAGACCAGGACGAGTAAGGCGGGGGGAGAGGCGGTACCCTTGAAAAGGAACTACAGGCACCATGGTCAGTATGCAGAGCCCAGAGCTACTGTCGTACAGGGACTCACGTCATATTCGTCGTTCGCCATTGTTGCGGTAGGCAGGTGGGGAAGAGTGGCAGGTGGGCGGCGGTTGCACGTCTCAGTCGCTAATTCGGCGAGAGTCTCGGAAGCAAGGCCTGGATAGCGTTGGGGTATCAGGGCAAGCAGAAAGGCAGAGTCCGGTCGTCGTGGCGGGTGGAAGTGTCAAGTGCGCTATCTCGCTGCCTCGAGGAGTCGCTGCTCCACCAACAAAGCACCAGCCAACACTCAGGGCGAACGAGCCCATACCGCATCAGGTAAGCGAGACGCTACTCTCCGCGCCCTCACCTGCACCGTCACGCCCATGGTTGCCTGCACCACAGCAAACGAGTCGCCTTTCGCCAAATAGCGGCAGTAATCTAGGCTCTCCCTATCGCGTCTTGAACGACCACAGCGATCGGACGCGTGTCGGAAATTCAACTAACGCGTTGTATCAACATCCTTCCGCTGCTCTCAGCCAATCAGGGCCTTGCATCCTCACCCATCTCTACGGCTTTCGCCAGAATGCCATCGCGCCCTGTCGAAGACAATGAGGAAGTAGAGGAGACTTATGATGTGGAATGTATCTTGGCAGAAAAGTGGCAAAGTGAATGGGATATCGAGCCCTGCGAGAAGGGCATAAAGTACTTGACCAAGTGGGAAGGCTATCCACTTTCCGAGTAAGTCTATTTTGTATCATTGTCGAACCAAGCTAATCCGCTTTGAAGGAGTAAGCATTTTATTCCGTCTTTTATATATCTGGGCAATTTCTGGGTCACGCTCGCGACCCATACTCTACAGTCGCTCTACGTGTTTAAACATTCATTGCGTCTTCTTAACATTATGTAGGCACTTGGGAACCAGCAGCAAATTTCGATCTCGCCCAGACGGATCCAAAACTTCCCACAGCTCCAACCGCGCTGCAACTATGGAACCTGAAGAAAGCGAAAATGAGTGGGGTTGAATTCCGGAAGCTATGCGATCAAAATATAAGCAGATTCGAGGCAGCACTTCGAACAGCGGGCGATGAAGTTGTACCGCCCATCGAAGTTACTCTGGCAGAAAGAGAAGCTATAGACTCCAGTCAGCTCAACAACTTGTTCGTCGAAAGTCCCAGAAGACAGCCTCCAAAAGCGCGCAAGCCTCCTGTAGTGCAGTCAGACTCATCTTTGTCTTCTTCTGAAGAAGCAGAGTTGACGGATGACTCATTACTGGATGAGATCACGACGACCTCAAAGAAGACGAAGGACAAGTCAACTAGTGCAGACGGCGCTGGTACTGAGCGCCGGTCACGTCGAAAGTCAGCTCAGTCGTCCAGTACAGCACTGAAACATGCTGCAACCGTTCCGAAGCGGAAGTCAGCTACTAAGCCGAGCCCAGCTAAGCCAGCGCAAAACGAAGAGAAAAGAAAGCCTTCGCCACCGGAGGCAAATCCACGTTCTCGAACCGGACATGTCGACACGGTCCCCCCGCAACAGAGGGCGAGTAACACCAGTGAGCTTGCAAGCGCCGCTACAGGTTCTGCCACTATAACACCGTCCAGCGCAAGTTTCGGTACCGCAAAGAGATCGGTCTCATTTACTACGCAGCTCAGTCCTAGTAATACCACATCCGATACAGAGAAGAATCACGCCATCAAGTTCACGAACCAAGCCAAACCTCCACCCCGTCAGATCTCTGAATCGAACAAGACCCTATTCGGCACACTTCAACGACGAGGGGCGGCGAATAAAAAGTCTGCCAGGGAGGTTACACCTGATCCTTCGGCTCTACAGTTTGTCAATGCCCCACCTGGTACCGCTGTTTCGCTCCCGCGCGCACAACGCGATGATCTATACGGCCGTCGTGAGCCTAGACAAAGGCGACCCACAGAAGGTTCCGTCGATGACGCGCCTCTGAGGCGACAGTCTACTGACGGGAACGTGCCTTTGGAGGACTGGGAACATGACAAAATTCCACTGGTATGCTATTCTTGGAGACTTAGTAACAGTTGCCAAAAGGGTGCGCAAGAATGTCGTTTCATGCATAGACATGAGAATTCGAATGGTCGTGACTATCCCTTAGGGGATATGCAAGGGTTCATACCTGGTAAATATCGCAGGCCACCACTCACTTGTCCCTTTTGGCTGAATGGACCATGGGGGTGCAAAAGGTCTGCCGAACAGTGTAATTACGCTCACCACAACACTGGGTGGATAAAGCACGCCGATCCCAGAGTTCGCGATGTACAGATTGATCCTGAGAAGCGTCCGGAGTTCGATCGTGGAGAAAGTCAGCCTGAAGACAAGCACACCAAGAAGGCGTTGGCACCAAACAAACTTACTTGTTATTACTGGAACAAGGGCAAATGTAAGAAGTCCGACCAGGACTGTGCCTTTCAACACTATGATACAGGTATCGTTGCGGACGGGCCATATGATGCCCATCAGAGGTATGCCCCACCAGTGGATAGATCTGATGGGTCTGTCGATATGGACATCGATGATGTTGTCCAACCGGACGTTGCCGATGAAGTAACACGTTCCCCTTCTCCCATGCCATTCGAACAACCGCAGCAACGTTCATTCCAGCCGCCGCCACTTCCGCCACCTCCACCCATGGAATTTCCTCATGTCGAAATCACATGCACAGAGCTGCAAGCGAGAATAAGCTCATTCAGTAAGCTCGACTTCCAAGACATGTTCGCAACCAACGATAGTGAAACGACCATCGATCCGGTAGAAAAGAGGGCTTTCTTGTTCTTTCACCCTGAGGATCACTTTGTGGAATTGGAAGTCATCGCTCGATGGCTGTTAATGCATCATGTCCAGGTCAGCAGTGCAAGCTATACAGGCGGATGGGCGGATTTCCAGCAACAGGTCCTGAAAGGAGGCACGGGTATCATCATCGTGCGTATCATACACTCCGTGGAACACAAAAATACTAAGCAGAATAGGCACATCCCGACTTTGAGTACTTCACAAGTATCCCAGGATTCGGCCAAGTTCTCCGCAGAGGAGTGCGTCTCTGGTCTATCGGGCTTCAACCAGGTATCGAATACGATTATGCTTCAGATGAAACTCCCGTGCTTCGGCATGATCGTATAGAAATCTTTCCGGTGGGTGGATTCATCTACATCACGGACGAAGTTTTCGAGACGATGCCAAAACATGCTCTGTGCATCATCAAGCTCTTCATGGCGAAAATCAAGAAGCTCAAGGAGCTCGCAGGTCCATCAGCTCAGTTGCCAGAGATTATTGAGAACAGCCTGCTCTGGCGTCTGTGTGTCCGCCCGGAACTGATGGAGCATCTATTTGCCTACTGTGAAGATCAAGCAACAGAGCTCCAAGCTGAGGATACTGATGTACAGAGGTTCGTCCACTACACTTTGAATAACTGAATCTATCGCTGAACATGAGACAGTTGCGCAAAACTCTACTCTCTACTCACAAATCCCAACATCATCGAGCAAGACAGTCCCGACACCCCCCTCAGCCTAAAAGCCGATAAACACCCCATCCTATCCGAGCGCCGCGCCGTCGCCGAATGCGAACCCGTCGACTACTTCAACACACTCAAGCGTAGCCAGGAAGCCGCGAATCTGAACATGATACGCTATTACGCCGGACTGCAGGTCGATATGCGACGCGACTACCGCCACTTCTACGTCGTGCATACCGAGCCAACGGCGTCGTATGTGAAGGAGTGGAAGCAAGAGATCCAGAGTATTGCTGAAGTCATCACACCTGAGCAGTGCATCAAGGAGTTTAAGAAGAGTGGGCAGGATAGCATGTTCAATTTCTTTGAGGATGTGATGGCGGGGGATATGGGCGGGAATGGAGCAGATAAGGACGGTGCCGCGACGCGTGCAGGCTAGGGGCCTACGCATGGTTCTTAACACGTCCAGATGGAGCGTGCTGAGTGGTGGAAAAGAGCTCAACAAATTCTTTCACGAAAGTCGTGTCGGGCGGTATGAAGTCTGGCGTGTCTTACGAGACTAGGTCAAGTCACGTCCCCATATCAGACACGATCTCACGATAGCATTTCCGCTTCGTCCTCCTTGTAATCTGATACCCTATGATAATAGTAAACCACTTAATACATTTGATAAAAACGATCTATGAACTCAAAGATCTTTCAGTCACTACCCAGTCATCAAAATACACAGGACACGGAGAAAACAAGCTGGGTATCATTCAACTGCTTGCAAACCTAGAGCATATATACATCTACTTCTTCTTCCCCTTGGTCTTATCCACAACCTCGACCCAATTCCTCTGCACCCCCCTCTTTTCCAATGCCTTCATAACTGCGTCCTTCTGCGGGCCCTGCACCATAACCTCCATAACCGGTGCCTTGGGACTGGACCCCTGCAACTTATCTACACTCGTACTACCGGCACACGTCTTCCTCAGCTCATCAGCAAGCGGCTGCGGCGAAATGTAATACGGCTCCAGCCCATGCACTTTCGTCACAGTCTTATTGCCGCTGCGCGTCTCAAGCGTGATTTGAATTTTAGGTGGTGCACCGGCTTTAGGCTTCGCGTCAGAAATGTCGGCGTCGTTGCGGATTATGGCGTGGAAGGGGGAGGAAGCGGCGACCATGCGTTCGGCTAGGGCGTCGCGCGGCATAGCTCCTGAGGACAGGGCGGCGTTGTCGGCGGCTGAGGAGCCTAGGAGGGCGTCTGCGAGTTGCGGGTTTATGCGAATGAGGCGCTTGTTCTTGGGGTCGATTAGGTTCTCGGCTTCTATGTAGGCGATGAGGAGTTGCTTTAGCTCTGCGGGCGTGTAGAGACCGCGGGGGTCAGCTTTGGAGGCGTGAAGGATGGGGGCTAGTTTCTCTTTGGGTCGGAGTACAGAGACGAGCTTGAGCTTTTGGCCTACGGAGGACTCGGCGGATAGGGGCGCGGCTGGCTTGCCGTTTACGCTCGCTGCGGTTGGGGCATCTTTCTTCGGTAGCCGGTAGGGAACGAATGATTCGATTTGGCGGTCCTTGAAGTCGATGTCCAATACAACGACCTCATTGCCGTCGCGGTCTTTGCACTTCAGGATCTGTTGCTTGTCGAGGTACCGGACGAACTTTCTCAGGTTCTTCCAACTTGTCTTTTTGATTTGTAGTGAGGCGGTTCGCGCAGGGGTGTAGGTGGGGAGGAAGGGCAGGACGAGCGTAGACATGACATTTGTTTGCGAGATGGGGAAGTCGAGGCCGTAGGAGGGATGGCCCTTGTTGTGATCCATATGGTAGCGGACACCGTACAAGAAGGCATTCTTGAAGGCTTCATCGATTTCTGGAAGTTGTTAGCTAGTGGTCGGTGTGAGTGAGTGTGGGAAGCATACCCTTGGTTGTAAGCTCTTTATCTTCAAGGACATCGATGAAGTCGTTGTTGGATGGCGCATCTTCGCCTTGTACGCCCTGTGCTTTCTCCGCCTCTGATCGTTCAGTCGGGGTGGCATCGAGAGTAATACCGCCTTCCTCGTCGTCCAAATCCACAGCTGCCGTGCGTTCAGCGAGGCTTGCCTCTTCGCCGTTATCGTCATCCCAACCCTGGAGGATATCAGGAGGCTCAGTGCCTGCCTTGCCTGTCGAGCTCCAAGACCATAGTTCATCGCCTGCCCAGTGAAACGTCGACACAGCCATACCCTTGGTACCCTGGACTTTGCCCAACGCGCTTACGTCGATGACGCACTCGCCAATCGCCATGGGTACTGTCGGTGCTTCGAGGCTTGCAATGGCAACGATTGCGCCTTTTGTCGCTTTCTTGGGGAAAGGCGGGCCTCGCTGTAGGCCAGGCGTCATCAGGTCAGCACCACCTTGCATCTTCTCGACTACGACGAGCGGCGTGTATAGCAATGGGACTATCCGTGGGTTGTGCCAGAGGGTATAGACGGTAGGGTACATCTTGTCACCCACCTTCGCCCACAATACCCTCTGTTCCCCGCTGGTACCCTCATGGCTGCCTACGTATATTGTCCCCGACACCTGCTTGAGGTCTGGCCCCGCGGTTGTGGTGAAGCGCGCGGAAAGGGCATTCTCTGGGAGTAGCGACTTTCGCAGTGCTGTGAGGCCGGCGGTCGAAGAAGCTGCCTTATCTTCAGGATTTGCGTCGGCATCTACGGGGATGTCTATGCCAAAGTCGGCGATGATCTGGTCGGCAGTCCTGCGGCGGTCGCTCGACTTGAGGGGGGAGAGGGGCTTGATCTAAGGGGCGTTAGTCAGTGCAGCGTATGTGCGAGATTACAACCTACAGTTGGTTTCTTTTTGAACATGTTGAACTTGTATGCTTCTGCTGCAGTTGTTGGATGTCGTGGGCAAGGCTGGAGCTCTGCGCGCTGGCCGCAAATAATGTTTGACGCGGCGATTCTCTATGACTTCAGCGGGGCAGCTAGCGCGTTTCCCCAGCCTTGCCATGCCCTTGCCATGTGCCTCAAACGGCAGCATCACAATGAGTCGAACATCCTCATGCTGACTACGCAGTGCTACCTTTGCAACACACTCCGTCATATGCGCCGCTTTGTTTCTTCATGTTCTCGCCCTGGTCCATGCAATGAAAGTCTGTGTTGATCATGCATCCAATGTCCACGGATGGCCCAGAGACCCGGTCGTCACTTTAGACTTCTGTTGCCGGCTAGGCAGTTATAGCCGCCAGTATAGCATTTGGACCCGAAGCTACTTTTTCCATGGTTGGGCTTCTGATGACACCTGCGAAATTAATCACATCTGCTGGCGCGTGCTGGCCTCATCTGTCGATCCTGAAATCTAGAGGCTGTCTAGCGGCCAGTCGACCTTCTGCTTTACTTGGTCAGCCGGAAGGCGTCAGTGACGATGGCATGCAATGCCTCATTGTTTACAGACCATTGTCCCGTTTGCGCCTGGTACTGCGTCAGCTGCATCGTCGGGACGCGTCTTCGCACCATAACAAGCTGTTCACAGCCTCCGGATAATACCATCTCACGTCGGGTACTCCATAGCCCTCTGTCGCAAGCTGAAGCGCAATGTTTTCCCTCTTGCGGTCGTTATACTGTCACGTTACAGAGCCGTTCTTTGTCCCATTTGAAACATTGTCCCTTCTGAAACGCACTCTCTGAGATACTGCCACACCGTCATCTACAATCTAGTCGCGCTGCCACCAAAGGTAGACAGCCTCGCACACGAAACACACACCAAAACTGCAAGGAGATGAACAACGTAGATAGACTTCAATCCCAGATTCCAGGACGCTGGCCCAGCCTGTTGGGTCCCATGTCGCTCACCCGCCGCAGCATCCATGCAGCTGGCAGCAATCGACGTCGACGGTAGCCACTTCTGGTCAAGGCGTGCGACTCTTCAATTTTTAGCCGTCCAGGCACCAGAACGCATGCGGCCGTTGCACGGTACACGGTTCCGTGCTGACATTGACCGCATCGGCAACAACTGGTTCTCGCGCAAATTTGCGCATCCAATCCATGCCTCAGTATTCCATTGCGGTAGTCATGCTGCAAACACTGCAGTCGTTCGTGGCGGCGGCGCGTCAGCGAAAGACTTGCTGGGCCGGCCAATGGCTCTAGGCCTCGGTGCAAAGTCGACAACGGCTGGCTTATTCACAGCTTCACCAAACACCTCTTGGCCCGCGTGGTGCCAATTGCCGACTGGGCGCCACCGCCATGATTCAATCACACTATGCCTCCCTTAGGCAAAGCACCATTACGCATGGACTCGGCCCCCGGAGCCTCCAGGATGACCACCGTCCGTAAATGTCAAGGCGAGATGCGGAGAACTGACGCGCCACGAGAAACGCCCAGCTGCGCCCGTTCGTTCTTGTACTCATTCCCCGTCTTCTCCTCATAAACCCATCGTTGTCGCTCCCACTCACGCCTGCCATGGTAAAAGTGTTGAGATCGAATTTGAAGCTTTTCGCGTTGTGACATCACAGCACGCTTCTCGGCATCTGCCCCGGCTTTCGGAACCGACCTTCGAAAATTCTGCGAACACCATGAGTCCCATACCCGACATCCAGCGCAAATGGACGGAGGGTGAGGTCGTACCCAAGCCCAGCGACCCGGAGGAACTCATCTTGGAAGCATGGGCGCAAGGTTATCTCGTGGGTTCGCTCATCATTATGGCGTTCATCACGTTGGCAAACATGAGGCGCGGCGTGCTGTTGCACAAGGTTAGTAGTAGAAACCCTCTTTAAGCAATGACCACCGCTGACAACCATCTAGTTGATTTTACTTGAAGTGAGTCCACATTTACGCATCTGCTTACATCCATACTGATCAAGTCCAGCTCATCCTTGGTATCTGGCAGGGATTCTGGTTATTCTTCCCCAGCCCAGTTCACGCGTGGTGGCTCTCCGTCGCCGCCATCTTCCTGAACGCCTCGTGGTCTCTGCATAATGTCATTGCCTGGATGAAGATCAAGCCCTTCCTCTCAAAGCCCGTCAGCTATATTTTCATCGGCACTGTAGTGCTTGTTCAACCGTACTGGGTTGTGGAGATTTACGCCAACTTCGCTTACTTTCATGGTGTCAACAAGACGTTCCTCCACACACGACCATATGAGGCGCTCTGCCGCGATCCCTGGTGGATCCTTACCACCATCTACCTTTTCTGGGTCATCAAGACACAATACGAACTGAGTCTCAAGGAAATCATACGCATCTCGCCGCGTTTTGGTATCATGCTGTTGTCCATGTTGCTCAGCATAATCTTCATCGTCTTGGACATCTCAACGGTTACCGAGGCTATCAAACTTCCAGGAGCCACAGGCATCAACCCCTTCTGGAAATTTGCATTCGTCTTCAAGTGCCTGACGGACTCTGTCGTTCTCGACGATTTCAAGGTGGCGCTCGACCGCCTGCGAGCTTTCCGGATCAGTCGACTAGGCAGCTTCTCGGGCGACCCGAGCGACAGTCGGAGTCGTAACGACAACAACCTCGTCGCCACATGGGAAGAGATGGAGAGGGAAGCAAACGCGCTCCAGAACGTGCGCAGTCCAGACGGCGACTACATACATCCCAGCAACTTCCCACTGAAGCCAAAACGTGCGCGAAGGCCTCAAAAAGACTCCGTCATGTTCCCCAACCAGCCGGAATACCGAGACTCAAACGCTGGGCTGGATCCAGAGGATATCGTACCCAGCATGTTAGGCGATGGCCCTACGGGAGCGGATGCACAACCCGTGCAGAAGAAACAACATCAATTTATTGACGACATGGTCAATAGTAACAGCAGAGACATGGCTGCGGAGAAAGACTATGCTGAGGCGATGAGAGACATGCAGCGAGATAGTGTCTCAACACCCCAACGAACGAGCGAATCACCCCGTCGACCACCGCCGCCAGGCTGAGTGCACAAGCAACTTTCGAACACTCAACACGATTCCAAACGAACGAGACATCAGTAATCACGAACGGGCTGACGTCCTTACGGTCGGCGCATCTACGGACACATAATACCCCTACCCATGCGATGCACGAGCACGCCTCACGCCCCACGCACGATCCATCCTTGCACATCCCCAAGGTGGTTGTACGCAGCGTACAGGCATGGCCCCACGAGAAGCCCCACGGGTTTGGGGCAGTGATAGAAGGAGCCTGGGGCTCGCAATTGCGGAATTGTGTTAATGACGACCGGCATATTGGAACAAAAAGGCGTTTTGTACATGCTGGCAGGCATTGGGCCGAATCGGCCCTTATCTATATACCCATTTGCTCTTTTCTTTTTTTTTGTTATGGGTGTGCTGTTGCATATGTAGTAGGAATATACATAAATTAACACAACTCCTCATGTGGATTTTTTGAGAAGGATGTGATGCGCTTATTGATTCGCATTATCTCATCGGTATGTTGCGGTAATTCATGCAAACTCATCTTCGTTCTCATGTACTTCTCCTACGAGCCTCCGGTTTGCGAATCCGATATCGACCCTTCTTCCGAGTAAGGACCTTTTCTCCACACCAAGGTAGACACGTTCTCTTTGAATTCCTTCTCGGTGTGGTTTGTCATATACAAGCAACCGTCCTCGCTGGTATTCACATTTTTCAACGGCAAGTAGGGGCTCCAATGCATGTCTTTGGCGAATTGCGGAACGCTTGAACCGATCTTCTCTCCACAACAATGCTCCAAAGCTGTAGCGACATGACGGTCGTTAAGACTACAGAACACTGTTTCCACTGGTACTGCCAAGGCTTTTCCCCATCGAAGAGTAAGTCTTACGACGAACCTGGCGTGCTCATCGTTGGAAAACATCATGTAGAATACAGTGCTGTGCGGCCCAGAGCACATGAGTGCGAGCTCCTTACGGCCGTCGGGAAAACAGACCATAACCGGCGGCCACGAGTCTGAAAACCAGTATCCCGTTTCGCGGGTGAATGGGACATACACTTTGTTCCTGACGTAATGATTCATGTTCAAGCGACTTCTTGGGCTGAGTCCGAAACCCAATAAGAGACTTTTTGGGGCGTTAATATCGTGTGACCGGGAGTAGTGGACTTTCCAGTCGTGATGCGCGACGTATATTTGTTTCCTTTTGCCAGGCCGAGCTAAGCGCTCACTGAAGCTTCTTTCGGAAACCAGAATGGGCGCGCAACCGCTGGCTCTCACAAACAGATCTTCTTTGTATTGTTTGAGTACAATGCCCATGTGTAAAAAGTGGTAGTCTTCATCCATCATAGTTTCTGTGATGCTCACCCAAATCTTTTCTCGAGCATCGATCAGAAACATGAGAAGCTCGATGTGTAGGCCATGCCCTGTCATGGTAGAATGTGTTCTCGGTGCCCGCCGTTGGCGAAAGATGGTTCGATTGGGATACCTAGAGAATGCTGCTGGTGACTTTGCCAGAAGCGTGCCTTGCACACAGGGAAGCTTGTATCCCCAACCCAGCAAACTTATGTCATCCGAACCGCTTAAGACAGCCTCCTGAAGCCGGAAAAAAGCTTTGTATCCCTCTCCGTACAGTAATGGCATGTTGATATCCAGCAGACCCAGTAGACAATATGCCTCATCCTCTACCCGGGTCGTACTACGTCCCGCCATCCATGAGAATTTACATGCCGCTGATGCAGAGCGAAGAGATACCCTGGACTGCAAGTACTTTTCGTCAATTGCTGTAATAACGCTGAGGAGATGAATCCACTCCTCGTCAACTGGATGCATAGGCGAGATCAACATCCAATTGGTGTCGTAAAACAGGACCATTCCTGGAGCAATAAGTTCCTGCAAGGTCCATCCTCTAGTAAACCATCGGCTCTTACGAAAGGCAGAGTCGTTCTCGTAGACATCTGATCCGGATGGCACATCCTGCAAGTAGGCATAGCACACCTTGGAGTGTTCATACCAGCGATACATGGAGTTTATGGCTTCTGAAAGCTCCGCGCTGCTTGTTTTATCAATACAGCACGTGTCGACCCATACCCAGGCTAACCCGTCCTTGATCGCCTGCTGACAACATCCTTCTATCTTGGCGTAGCCTTGCTTCTGTTGGTGCCCTTCTCTTGACAAGTCTTGTAGTATAACTTCTTCATTTCCCCAGGTATGCGATAGGATTGCATACGGAGGAATAGCATCACCGAAGAACTCCTCCAGCTGTCGTGTGTTGACGTTGAGCAGTCGCATACCTAGGTAGCTTAGACGTCGCCCACAATGCCGAGGCTGAGTCGCCTTCAAGCGTGCTGTGTATTCGTGATTGAAATTGGAACAGAAGTGAAGCCACCGCACAGCGATTAGTCGGCAGAAATTGAACAGTGTCTTGAAGCAGAGATGCGCATGTAGGAATCTTAGGGGGGGATTAATGGCTGGATCGGAAGCCCGTAGGAAAGCGCGCTTGTTGCTGCATGGAGGCTGACCCGCAGCCACATGTTCTTGATCGGGGTGCATGCATCGCGCACCTCTACTACCAATAATCAACACACAAAACCGTCAAAGCTGATGATTGTTGGCAAGATGGAATTTGTGATGTTCATGGTGATATCTCAAGACTTGTACGCAGGAGAGCTGCCTGGATGTAGTCCCAAAAGCGGTAATGACGGCTTGGGCTCGGTCAAATGCGCTGTACATTCTCGACACATGTCGCTGAGAAGACAAAGTTTAACTCGCTGAGCTATACCGGCGATGTGGTGAGTATCCTCAAGTAGGTCAAAGTTGCGAATCGAGGATGCGGATCTGCGCAGCTATCCACATGTTCTCAAGTGCGGAACATTCCGTGCCTCGGCTCGCGATTAGGAAGGGCACCTGAACCTTCGCGAAGGGGCAGAGCGTCGTATGCTGACGCTGATTGTATAATAACGTGTCCATCCCTTGCTGTCGCTCAATAGACTGATAGCCATCTTCTGGTATGGTCACAATGGCGCAGACGGCTAGTATCGTCGTTGCGGGCGCGTCAATGGCAGCACTCGTGTCGCAACCTACTATGAGAGGCAACCTGATGGCTACGCTGGCCAAATGGACAGGCTACAACGCGCCTGGTGGTCTATGGAGGATAGCTGCGATACTTCTTGCATTGGCAAATCTCAAGAATCTGCCATTTGTCTGGCATGTACGTATTTGGCAGAGCGACAGGATACGCGACTTCGAGCTGACGATATTCATAGCTACGCTTCATCCGCGCCCTGTTCTATCAATTGTATTTCCAACCGACCCCGATCCCTCCGCATGCGCTCTTCCAACCGATCATAACCTCGACGCGTACCACGTTCCTCGAGACAGATTACAACATGCACAAGTCCAACAGCACATACTTTAGCGACATGGACATATCCCGTACACACCTCTTCACTGCGATCATTCGCAACGGTATAAGAAAGAATAGTCGTCTAGGTGGCGCCAAGAAGAGCGCTGTAGCAGGGGCAGTAGGGGCAACTGAGGGCACACGGGGCAAGCATTACATTGCGCTGGGAGGCATAAGCTGTCTGTTCAAGAAGGAGATCCTTCCATACAAGAAGTACGAGATGTGGACAAGACTTCTCTGTTGGGACAAGAAGTGGTTCTATCTTGTTACACACATGGTCAAGCCTGGCATGGCACAACCAGAGAGCTGGACACTGCAGCCTTGGAAGAAGTCCAAACTAGCCAAGGACGTTGATGCAGAGAAGCTCAAGAGCGCGATATATGCCACTGCGATTGCAAAGTATGTCGTCAAGCGAGGCAGGATCACGGTGCCACCGGAACATGTGCTGGTCGATGCCGAAATGGTGCCCGCAAAGCCAGAAGGCTGGGTCTACCAAGAAGCAGTGACCGAAGAACACCCGTCGAATGGCGATATCCTGCCCAAGGCTGTAGAGGCGAAGGATTGGAACTGGGACGTTATCGAGGCAGAGCGACTAAGGGGCTTGAAAGTCGCTGAGCACTTTGCGGCTATGGACGGCATGCATGACTTCTTCGATGGCGGAAAGGAAGGAGTTTTAGGAGAGTTCGCGGATTTGCTGTACTGATATGGGGTCGATGTGATTAGACCTAGGAGAGCTTGATACCCTAGATTTGAATGTAGATTTGGATCGTAGAATTGCGAGACTACTGCATCGCTGGTCTTATCTTGAATACAAAGATTTAAAAATATATTTCCTTGGCTTAATCATCTCACCCGCATTCACGAGGCAGTGTCGCGGGTAGCGGGCGCTAGCGTCGCGCTAAGCCACTGGGGTACCTGCAGTGCCAGCCAACCTCGAGCGCTGCCTTTGACAATCACCGGTCACCACATGCAGTGGGGGCCGTATTCCGCTCAGGCTCAGCCTTGTGGCTTCCAGCTTTTGATCTCTCCATGCAACTAACCAAATCCACTGATCAGCAGGGCACAGCTCATTACAAGCATTCCACCCAACATATTGTTTCGACCTGTTACAAGCAAGCCTGGTCGGGTTCAGCCTGGCATCCACGACACCCACATTCAGCCCACAATTGACGTTCAGATTCACGATATCCTCATCCAGTCGGCGCTTCAGCAGTCATGGCCGCGACATCAGGCGCTGCTGCATATGGAGGAGGCCCCGATATGATCTATATCGGAGAGCTTTACGAAAGCATATCTCGTGGTCCACCAGGCATAGAAGCCAGGAAGTTGCTGATCGAACATTATATCGCGGTCGGCAATGAATGGCTGGAAGGTGCATTAGATGAGGCCAAGAAGCTGCAGGGATTAGCTCCAACAGACCCAGACGTCGCCAGGTTCTTGAAGATTCTCGAGAAGACAGCAGAGCCTCCAGCGCCCGAGAAGAAGGCAGTCAATTCAGTCCACGCACCCTCTGCGCAATTCGAAGGCGAAAATTTGAAGGACTATCGATTCACGGCGAAACCGATATCGAAACGTGGATCCAAACGGTCGGACTTCATCTTAGGCGAATCAGTAGATGACCTAGATGACGAACAACGAAACCTGGCTACTGGGTACCGTGACATACGTGCCAAAGCAACATATGTGTTCGCGAATCTGCTGCGTCTACAGACCCTCCAGAAGAAGGCCGGTTTGCCCCAATCGAGGAACCTCGCTAAAGTCCATCTTATGGCGGACGGAAGTAACGGGGCCGTGTACAGTGGAATGCGGCCACCTGTAAGTGCTCGATCTGTGGCGCGAAACATCAGGGACAAACCAAAAGAGGCCACGAACCTGGTCATTGCAGATCTGGAAGCCATGATCAAATGGGTGCGCGCACCATATGGCACACCCTCGGGCGCAAGTATCGATACCATTCGTGATACTCTGGTCAAACGCCGAAGCGCGATCGATTCGACACTTCCTGATGGGCTCAAACTTCATTGCGAGCTTGGCTTCATGCACGTCGAACATGAACATCTCGAAAGGAACTACGTCAATGACGAGACTATGCTTGGAGATGCGATCAAAGACATCGCAAGAGAGGACTTCTATGTGACCGAGGACAACTATGCGTGGTCAATGGATGGTATGTGATTTCCATGTACGAATTATGATGAGACCCATACTAACTTTGTGCCAACCTTAGAACTTGTTCAGGCTATACAGGCAAATGGCGGTGTACTCCGCAATCCTCTTAGCAGAGAAATGTTTACTCCGAAAGATGTCAAGGGGATTCTCCTACACCCAACAGGCAAGTCTCTTGCGGCTTTACGAGTCGAGCAGCGTGAGATGTCCAAGGGCGTGCGGATGGAGACAATCATACAAATGGAGAAGCTCTCAGCGATATTGCTAGCAGATCAAAGTAGCGACACGCTGCCCAGTCGCAAAGCAGTAGACGAGTTTCTGCTATACATTGCAACTCGTAAGTCATTCTTCAGCATGATGGCGACCAAGCAGCTCATGTGAAACAGTGCCAGATCTTGAGCAAAAGGCAATCGCAGGTCTCAAGTGTCCTGCCAAAGACTCTCACACCGGACAGTCTTATGACTGGTCTATTGGCGAGGCGGTGAAGGATGCGAAAGGCAACCTTGTATGTTTTCACAAGACAGGCGACTTCATTCAGCAAGCCGCCGCGCATTTACGAAAGAACCGGGGTGTCGCTCCTGACACCGACGAAGGTAACTGTTCACTTATGTAATGGTCAGTAGCAGCTTCATGAGCTCAAGTAAGTCAGGACTCTCTGTGCATCTCGCAATAGCGATCCATCGCATTCCGGAGGTATCAGTGTTCATGTCGATCATAAGTCGTTGCAACGATGTTTGCTACCCTCGGGCAGATTTGCGGCTAAGACCCCTAGATCGTACAATTCACAAGGCATTTTCATACTCCGATCGCTCGATCAACTTTGCCAGATATCTTTCGTCGACTATCCTTTACTTTGAATTGCTATCTCCGTCGCTTCGCTTACCGCTGTCTAGTACCATAGTTAGCCTACAGGGTCGCTACCGCACTAGCCGGTTTAGGAGCCGGTGAATGTGCTTTCGGTATAAGCCACACTGTTCAGCCTTGTGCGCAGCCCAAAGTCTCAGTCTCCGCAGTAAAAGGCCACCCATCACATGTAAGCTATATCCGGCTAGCCATGTATCTTTGCCGTAACATCCATTATGGGCTTTCAAGATTTGATGTTCCTCCTCGCTCATCAGCCGCCGGTCTATTAGCCGCACCTTTTTGAACACTACCAAACCTATGCTACTCTGGGTCCCACTATCGTCGTGCTCTTCCAAGGAAACCGCGATTCTGGTACAAATTCCTATTGTACCAAATTCAACCCCTACAATCTGCTCGAAAGTTCTCGTATTTTATTGCCGGTAACCGATACCCACGATTCTCTTGATACCGACCGTTCGTAACGCGATCCGAACTAGCCGTTCTGCCTGCATCCATCTTATCATCTCACCCTTGACGTAGAGTCATTACTCAAAAACGTGGGACAAACATGGCCACCGCCATCATGCTTCCTACCGCAGTCGAACAGGATACCACCAAACGCTCACATATGTCATGGGCCAAAAGAGCCATACCATTGAAGAGCACGACGCTCTTCAAGAAGGCCGATCACAGTCAAGAATGGTATGCGGAGGTGGGGGCCACTGCTGGGGAACTGCACCCCTCACATCATCGATTCCCATGGGGCTTCATTCGCAATCACACCGATACCTACCTTAAGAAAAAAGGCAAGATCAGTCAAGAAGAGGCGGATAGGAGGCTTTCGATGTTGGTTCAGACACATCCGGCGAGAGATGTCGCTATAGCTTCCGTAGCGCATGCTATGTCGGCGCAGAGCCTGGACCAGTTACTGCTAGCTGAAACGAATGTTATGTGTGGAAGCTATTGGGGCCTCGAAAGTTGGCTACAGAGCGTGATAGCTGCGCATGAAGGCAACCCTGCCTTGACAACACGTCTGCAAGCAGAATGGGCACGCGCACTCCTACCATATGTGACCACCGGCGCCAGCGCAGCCGGTTACTATCTGAAGGGCGTGAAGCGAGCCTTGAAGGATCACAAAACCCAGAATATGGACGTCGATCTCCACAACTTCGCGGTGCTCCTACGACGAGCTATACAAGATTATGCGGAGCAACTGAATGGCCTCCGGTTGACATGTAATTGGGTCGCAGCTAAGAAGGCAGTAGACTGGATGACAGAACTCGACTTGTCGTCGTCTTCGGATTCACCGTGTATCAACATAGAATCGATCTTCGATCGCCACCACTTCTCAGCCTGGAGAATGTGGGCCTCGTGGACACCAGACGTTAATCGCATCACGCGTCTCTCTAAAATAGACAACATCCATATGTCGACTATCCTCGACCTTGTGGCTCTGGAAGGACCTGATATGATCACGGGTACTAAGCATACCTTACGTCAGGGGTTAATAGCGGGCTATGGCGAACAACGGAACTGGGTACACTACCGCGGCCTGATAATCGAAGTTCCTGAGCACACAAAAGCATGTTTAGCGACCATCCTAGAAAGACTCGTGGAGGGGCTTGATACAGTCTTCACTTCACTGCCCCATAGTGAAAGCCTCTTCAATCTGTTCCGAGCGTTGACTATTGGTGGAACAATTACCAAGAGTAGCTTGGATCTTTTTGACGCTTCGTTAGAGATTACATGTACACCGGAGAAAGACTATCATGCATTCATTCGCAAGCTATGGTGCGAGAAGGACCAAATCGGCGGACTCCATGTCCACGCTCTTCAACAAGTCCTCCATCTCCTCGACGCACCGCAAGCGACGACTTTTCGCGAGGTTTTCCTCCAAGATTGGCTATTCAAGGGAATTGAAGAATGCTTTCGCGAGTGCCAATCTGTCATACGGGCTCAAATGAAGACTTCGGCTTGGTTGCGTCTCCTACTAGAGCTACACATATTTTGCACGGCCGTCAAAGCATCTGAACATGTTTTTCCGCGACTAAAGCTTTCTATCCGAGCGGATATGAGCGCATGGCCGAGCGCTAAACGGATGACATCGATCAAGGAGATATACGTTGCCGCCCAGAATGTACATTTGAATAAACTGCAAACCAGGAATTCGTTCGTCTGGGTCGACCCTGATACCTCGACCAAGTCCCTCTTATTAGAAAAAGATCAGAAGTCACGACACGCACTTGAGGTGATCATCGAGAAACACTGTGTCGATCACCTGCTCAGTGCCGAAGTATCTTGCGACCCTACCGAGCAGATATTGCGTGATACCCTAGAAGTCTGGGAGAATACCGGAGAAGGAGTGGATGGTGATGACATGCGCATGCTAGCGATATTGATTTCAAGAGACATCAAAAATCCTGCTGAACACAAGTGCGAATGTATCTATGAGGTCGCTGTAGATCTCAGCCTGGGACGAGCTTCTTCTTTTGTCGGAGACATGGTGCGCATCGTTCGTGTGCAGGAGACCGACTCATGGCAAGCCATAATTGCTTTGACGAACGTTCTGGTCATACGAAAAGGTTGCACAAAGTGTTGGAGAGGGGTTCTACTAAGATGGTTGAATCAAAACGAGAAGCAAGAAGCACGACGGGGCACTGCCATCGTCGACCACTTGATCCAGACCATGGATACTACGATATGGATTTCTTTCATGCAATCTCTGGAGGCTCTCTTCGCCGACGTCATTGCAGACAACACCAAAAAGCACGACTTACCTTCTTTGCTACAACCTGGGCTATTGGGTTGGGTATCAGAAGTAGCAAAGTTCGACCGCACCTTGACGAAGCTTGAAGAAGTTTCCGACAGTCCATTCGCAGTACGTCGCATCTTATCCTATGGTTACGAATCGCGAAGGAAGGAGAATGTCGCCATACTTTCGTATCTCCAGAAAGCGGAAGGAAATTTAGCCGAGACGGTCATGCAAAATGTTGTCATGTGGACATCCGGTCGAAAATCAGACATGCGCGAGGTCATAGACTGTTTGGCTAAACTACTTGACGCACCATATGAGGCTAAAGAAGCTTGCAATGAGATATGGGACGCGAAATGTGGTTTCTTGGACATCCCCGGCCTTCCTACTCACGAGCAAGCTGGTCTTTCTCGGCTGGTCGAGAGAGATCATGTTTACTATGACTGTACATCCAAACGATATGAGACCACACCACAACCAGACTGTTCGAAGTCAAAGACCAGAAAATCTCATCATATCATCGCCAAGCGAAGATACGACATCCCATCAGCTGTCGCCGAGGTCATGGTCGCTGGTTGGATCCAAAACGACGATGTAGCACCAGAGACGAAAACTGTCATCGAACATCTCGCTCGGCTACTTGACTTGGAAGTATACAAGTCGGCTATCCCCAAAAGCAAGCTCTCCGAAGCAATAGAATTCTGGGATGGCATCGAAGCAGAGATCATGCGAGAAGCCGAACGCCTCGAAGGGCTAAAGCGGACACTGAAGGCAAAAGACCCCTTGCAGACAGCCTTGCTGATCAAAGAGTACAGTATACCTGATAGCAATCTGCTGGAAGATGAAATACATGAACTGCCTTCCGGCATCATCGATCTAGTCGAACTGATCGATGATGACAAGATTGAGATGAGCTTCACACTCGCTTCCTACACTGAACTACAACGAAGTGCCATGGGCGTACCTAGCACCGCAAACAACCTTCTCGTACGGCTAACCATCGATCGGTATGGGAGCAAGTCACCCGCATTCTGTGTGCACTACGACAGTGACAAGAATATAGAGACTGATCAACATTTCCCGTGGATCTGTGTTGCAACTTCCAATGCACCACACGGAAACGTGTGTTCTTCCAAGCAAACAGCTTTCGTATGGCAGATGAACAGGCATATCCATCGGTACCTTCGCACGGGCAACGTGTCCATAAGAGGTCTGTACGGCATCGTCCAAACTATGATCGGAGAAATGGGACAAAGATGCATCTCCTGCGGCTCACGCCACAAAAGGAAGAACACGCAACTGCGGAGATCTACACCATGTTGGGCTGTCGCATGTCAACTGCTATGGTAAGTCATCACCGAACAGAAAGCGTTAATAGTACCATCACTAATCACCACCAACACAGGTACGCTCTCCCCCTCGACGTGCGCATCCCCGAAATCCGCACCGACATCTTCGCCGTCGACATGCTCCTCAGCTCCATCTATAGCGCTGCCATGGCCAACAAAGTCGAGCTCCTCCCTAACTGTCCCATCCACCCTATCAGCACCGTCAAAACCATCCTCGATAGTCTCCCCAAACTGTCCATCATTCGTGACGCAGTCCACATCTCCAGCGTACTCTCCAAATACCACGTCGACGCCGAGAAGCTCATTTCGTGGGCTTGTACGCAATATCGTGGCTACATCGCTACGGCGAGCGGGCTGTGTAAGATCAAGAATCTGCCGACAGGGACGCATCAGTTTGTCCTGGCAAATGCGAGTCCGGCGCTAGAAACGGCGTATATGTCAAGACTGCCGAATCCTTCTTCACAGACTACAGTGTTGTTTCATGGGACGTCGCTGGATCGTCTTCCTGCTATACTTGCTAAAGGCCTTATTGTCTGCTCGGGCACAACTCTTCAACGCACGGGCGCCGTGTACGGGAGGGGTATCTATATGGCGGAAGACCCTGCGACGTCGTTTAGTTACGCACCTATCAATTCGACGTGGAAGAACAGTGCGCTGACTAATATGCGTGTTATACTTGGGTGCGAGGTTGTTGGGAATGGAAACAGTGTTGCCACCGGGATTCATGTCATCACCGATGAGACGAGTGTGATGGTGAGATACATCTTTCTATTTCGAAAGAGCGCTCACGCGCCTGTTGCGAATCATGTTGTTACCGCTATGAAGAGTGCGATGGCGGCAATGAGGACGGGTGTGGTGTAGGTGAGGTGGCGATGCGGTAGATTGGTGTAACGTATATTTTGCTTGGAGTGACACCATGTCATTGAACCATATTAATAACCTTTATCTTCCGGGCGGACTTCATTTTGACATTGTGGTATTGCCACGCCGTTGTGAACCTTTTCTGCGTCGAGTCAGGATGCACCTGGTAGCTGCTGACATCAAAGTGTACTTCAGCCCTATCTATTTTTACCGCGTTCAGCGATATCGGTCCTCTCGGAAACGTCGGTAACCCAGTTTTTACGGCTTAATCATTCATTTCCCAGCGTTTGAATGTATTTTGGACAAGATTGGTGGTGTGGTGAATTTTTGTTCTATTTGCTGATGCAAAGTAAATTGTGGTTCGAGTGGGGTGACCAACTTCACCACCCGCTAACAACATCCACCAACACAAATAACCCGACACATCACGCTTAGGAAAATTCCAATATCAACTATTTTTTAAATGCCATCTCCATGGGCATTGGATTTGTTAGAGTATTGATACAAAGTATGTTGTGAGGGTAGTATTTCCACAGTATGGCATAGCACAGCACAACGCAATATATGCATATTTCACCGACAAATCGAAGAGACACGTTACATGATTACATTGCAATATGAACTTCTCTATCATCCCACCGTTAAGAGGTTGACCTAGTACATCGGGAATGATTAGCATACACAGCAGATAAGACGGCACAATGCTTATGCTTGACACATGATCGTGTCCTAGAAGCCACACTCGTGGTAGAGCCAAGTCGGAACCCCTATTTTTCCATGCGTTCCTTTACTGAAGACAGCAAGCACTCAATAGTTTAATGTTGAGCCAAGTTCGTCAGTGACAACACAGAATCACACAGTGGAAGATTACATACTTGGCGCAAATGAAATTTAACACATGCAAGAGTATAAAGGGATGGAGGGTCGAGTAGCGCAAAGTAACACATGATGTAGTCCAATTAAGAAAAGCAACAAGACAAAGTGGCCAAGAGGTTGCACAGACAGGAGATATATGTTGTGTGGTACACGGTCTCCGCCGAGGCTGGTATCCGCACAGAGCTATTTGGCAGCGGAGGACAAAGACGTGCAATCTGCTGACACACTGTTGGGAGAGGAGAAGAACACACGTACTACTGAACGCTTGGCTACCCCACGGAGGTGGGTTGTGTATACTATGGGGTAGCTGCACTACTAGTCATGGAAATTTGCTGGTAGTGGCTCGCGTTGATACCAAGACGACGTTGAGGCGACCACGTGCAGGCTATCATAAAGGATAGTAGACAAATTCGACGATTGTATGTGTTCATCAAGAACGATATTGAGGTTGAGCTGCATCACATCGTGGGAGACCAATTTGGACGTCCGCGGCTCGGATAGTCCCGCTAGGGAGGCCAAGGCAATGTCAGAAATGCCGCAGCCATGTGCAACACTTGGAGAAGCTGGGCATACTTTGTCTAAAGTAAGGTGCGGATGATGAACGATAATGACCCGGGCATGAAGGAATATGCCCAGGCGGAGAAGGAGGAGAGGCGCACGGCGGACACATTGGATCGTCGGAGGTGTGTGTTCCCAGTGCCAAGGGCGATCTACACAGATCCGTTGCTGACGCAAAATTGATCTGCCACTTGGCGGGCCATCAAACCCATCTGGGGGTGCAACGAGCATAGATTACTTGTGCGCTTGCCGAGACGGGAGAACATGTTATGGCCTCGTGACGGTGGTGAAGCTGCAGGCTCTTGGTATGTGATACAGGACCGGTCACGGAAACTCTCTCCACCAGGGGACCGACGCACCGGAGCCAAAACGACACTTGAACTGGTCGCGCATCAAGGTCTCGCAGAGCTGACGCCAGTCAAGCGATAGCTCCTGGGCAGTAACATCGATGGCTGGTGAAGGGAGGCGTACGCTCTTTAATTGGTCATTAAAAAGCACAAAGTGGGCTTGGTTGAGCAAACGGTTGCGTTCGGCGTCTGCGACAGCGCCGGGATGGAAGAAAACCTGAGTGAGGCGGCTCGTCAGGTCTACCGTCCCTGCATATGGCTGGCGCAAGGATGGCGTGTCGTTCACAGCTGCCGGTGAAGATAGTTTCAGAACAAGTCTGGCCTTGGAGCTAGCGGGGACAAAAGACGAGGGCTGGAAGCGAAACGACGGCAATTGCACGCGGAGGGTGTGATTTGGGGATTGTGTATCACAACGAAGATCAGGAGGACTGGCATGGTGAGTGAAAGTTTCCCGAGCAGCGCAGGGTGAAACGCGGCTTACAGCAAGCTCCATAGCGTCTGTCCAGCGAAGCGAAGACTGCAGGTACGCGAGACGTATCGCGCGAAGACATCTTCCGTGACATGAGCCAGAAAGGGAGATATCTGGCGCAGCACGAACCAGGCGAAACACTGATCGTCTATATACATGATGATAATGTGCCATATCTCAACCGGTAAGACTTCAGGCGACATGACACGGGCATGTCGTTGCAATGCGCGTGACGGTCGCGGACCGACAGCGGTATTGGCGGTGGGGGTTGGCGATTCAGGGCTCGGGGCAGACATGGAGAGGTTGGTGTCGGCAGCGGCGACGGAGGGTGATATTTGTGGGTGCGATGATTATTCCCGCACTCGTTCTGGAGGCTGAGGCGGATGCGGTGAGGCTCACTGGTGTACCGGCGAAGCATCGGCAGTCGCGCAGCCAAGGGAGGCGAGAGCGAGCCACAGGCAGGACGTCACGTGGCGCGTCGACGCGGCTTCCCTGTTGGGAAGGCCTTCCTCGGTCTGGAAAGAACTGGGGCGCGTTGGCGCATCCATGCCTGCAGCCTCACGACAGCCAAGTTATCTCGGTCGCGATCCATATTCAACAGACAGGACCCTGCGCACCCGTCGTGTCTGCGTAGCATCGCAACGGCGCCATGGGACGTGTGGAGTCGCAGATAGCATGTATTGTATGACCATAACATGGGTGGTAATTGGGAGCCGTTGGCCAGGCGACGCTGGGCGTTCGGGGGCCTCTGATTCGGCCGATATGGTCGGGTGGTGGACAACTAAGGCTGATTCGAGGCAGGCCCCGAGACGCCCCTTAGCTGCTTGGCACGTGCTTAATCATGGAGTGCGGTCCTTTGTGCAGAAGCGGCGGCGGTCGATTACGCGGGGGGCAGAAAACAATTGCTTCATCTGGGCATGCTGGTCGCGCGCGCTGCATGGGGGGAGTCGGATATTATGGCGCGGCGGCTGCAGTTGAGGGAGTTGGGATAAGTGGCATATCTTGGTTCGTGGGTCTGGAAGGCCGCTAGAAGAAAATTGTGCAAATGCAAAGGCCGGAAAGTCGCGCAGGCAGCGTGGGGAGGGCAGTCTGGATACGCGGCTCTCTCGTACGGGGGGAAAATGCCTCGCACTCTGGCTGAGATGGGCGCCAAGCACTCAAGCTTTCCTGTGTATGAGTGCTGAAGCTTGGTGCGTCCGGAGTGAGCAAGGTGCGTGGAGGAGCTGTTTGCCGGTCGCTCTTGCCAAACGTCATGGGAGCTGATCCCTGCAGCGCTGCACGCTTGTCGCGGACTGTCGCGCTATCTCCAGCTTAATCTCTGCTGCCGCTGGTGGAGAAGCAATGAACCGCGCTGCGAATCGCGACGCCGGCTGCTGACATCCCAATTGATGTCGTGTGGTGCCCGTCGAGGTACCAAAGTCTGCGCAGACAGCAACCGTAGTAGCAGCCGTAGTAAGCACTCCGTCATCAGCGCATCACGCTCGGCCGGGCACTGCGACGGCCAATCTCTGCGCCATGTCGCGCGCCGATGATGTAGCGGCTGGCGCACGGGCCCCTCACAACAAATTCACCCCCGGGACTCTCGGCTCGAGCTAAGCTCCATCCGCGGTTAGCTTTATGACAATCATAAATCCCTCATAGCGGCCAAAGGTCGGTCCTTGCTGAGTTTTTCCCTGGGTTGATACGTGGGTGAGTTTCTGCCGCGCTACTTAACCAGAGCCTCTCCCGCTCCCACTGCACTTTCTTCACAGAGAAGGCCCTGCTTGCAGTTACCCATTTGCACAGCACATTCGACCTGACATTCAACCTCACCGTCAAGTCGCCTCGGAAAGCCTTCTCTGTGCCTAGAGTTACCGGATATAATAATACATACGAGCAACAGCATTCCTTAATTCGACAAGATGGCGCCCAACGACGATGTTGAGCGCCCACGCGCCTCCAGCGCCGCTGAGCGGCAAAAGTCCATTGTCTCCATGACCGAGTTCGAAGGCATGGACGAGTACACGGCGCTCCAGAAGTACATCCTCTTCTACCGCGACACTCGAACCAACCCGCACGCCGAGCAGACCCAGAAGAAGAAGGCCTGGTGGCAGTTCTGGAAGTCGGGCTCTCCCACCGCCGCCAATCCAGTTCAGGACGCCGGCGCTGTCCCTGACGACTGTAAGTTTTACCATCCTCTCCCTCATAGCATCCGCTTGCAGCGTTGCGCCGCGGCGCGTCATCTGCCTCGCCAATTCATCCTTTGTTGAGCTCGAGGGCCGACATTTGGTGGCTGGCGCGGGCCTGGTCCGCGCTCAAGCTGCTCCCTGCTAGCGACGCGATAGCGGCCTCTTTGGTGGAGCCAATCATGCAGACCGGCTCCACCAAACTACCCGCTTCTGCAGCATGCGAGATGAGCAACACGATGAGGAAACAAATTTGCTAATATTGTATCGCAGACCTCAACACTGAGCTTCGCACTGGTCTCACCTCCGCCGATGTCGAGCAGCGTCGCAAGCGTTATGGTTTCAACGAAATCTCTTCCGAGAAGACCAACCTTCTCAAGCAATTCATCGGTTACTTCACTGGTCCCATTCTATACGGTAAGCATCCCTGCACAATTTCGCCTAGCGCAAAACTAACGCATCATAGTCATGGAGCTCGCTGCTCTTCTCGCCGCTGGTCTCCAGGATTGGGTCGATTTCGGTGTCATCTGCGGTATCTTGTTGCTCAACGCCATCGTCGGTTGGTACCAGGAGAAGCAGGCCGCCGATGTCGTCGCTTCGCTCAAGGGTGATATCGCCATGAAGGCCACCGTCGTTCGTGACAACCAGCAACAGACCATTCTCGCCCGCGAGCTTGTTCCCGGTGACATCGTCGTTATCGAGGAGGGCCAGTCCGTCCCCGGTGACGCCCGTCTTATCTGCGGCTACGACCACCCTGAGGACTTCGACTTGTACATGAAGCTCAAGGCTGAGGACAAGTTCCACGACGCTGACCCTGAGGATGAGAAGGATGAAGACGTTGATGAGGAGAAGTTCGACGAGGAGAACCCTATCACCCAGGGCCACCCTCTCGTTGCTTGCGATCAATCGTCCATCACCGGAGAGTCCCTCGCTGTCGACAAGTACATGGGAGAGGTCGCCTACTACACCACTGGTTGCAAGCGCGGCAAGGCCTACGGTATCGTCATCACCACTGCTAAGCACTCTTTCGTCGGTCGCACTGCTACCCTCGTCCAGGGCGCTCAGGATCAGGGTCACTTCAAGGCTATCATGAACTCCATCGGAACGGCGCTTCTCGTCCTCGTCATGTTCTTCATCCTGCTCGCCTGGATTGGTGGTTTCTTCCGTCACATTCCCATTTCTAAGGCCCGTGAGGGAACCGACAAGTCCGTCACCCTTCTCCACTACGCTCTCATCATGTTCATCGTCGGTGTCCCCGTCGGTCTTCCCGTCGTCACCACCACCACCCTCGCTGTCGGTGCTGCCTACCTCGCTGAGCAGAAGGCTATCGTCCAGAAGCTTACCGCTATCGAGTCGCTCGCCGGTGTCGATGTTCTCTGCTCCGACAAGACCGGTACTCTCACCGCTAACCAGCTCTCTCTCCGTGAGCCCTATGTCGCTGAAGGCCAGGACGTTAACTGGATGATGGCTGTCGCTGCTCTTGCCTCTTCCCACAACCTCAAGTCGCTCGACCCCATTGACAAGGTTACCATTCTTACCATCCGTCGCTACCCCAAGGCCCGCGAGATCCTCAACATGGGCTGGAAGACTGAGAAGTTCACTCCCTTCGACCCCGTCTCTAAGCGTATCACTGCCGTCTGCCACATGGGCGGCGACAAGTATGTCTGCGCCAAGGGTGCCCCCAAGGCCATTGTCAACCTTGCCAACTGCGATGAGGTTACCGCTACCCTCTACAAGGAGAAGGCCGCTGAGTTCGCTCGCCGTGGTTTCCGATCTCTCGGTGTCGCTTACCAGAAGAACGACGGTGACTGGATCCTTCTCGGTCTCTTGTCCATGTTCGACCCCCCTCGTGAGGATACCGCCCAGACCATCATTGAGGCTCAGCAGCTCGGTGTTCCCGTCAAGATGTTGACTGGTGACGCTATTGCCATCGCCAAGGAGACCTGCAAGATGCTTGCTCTCGGTACCAAGGTTTACAACTCTTCCAAGCTCATCGGCGGTGGTCTCACTGGTACTACCCAGCACGACCTCGTCGAGCGCGCCGACGGTTTCGCTGAAGTCTTCCCTGAGCACAAGTACCAGGTCGTCGAGATGCTTCAACAGCGTGGTCACTTGACTGCCATGACTGGTGACGGTGTCAACGACGCTCCTTCTCTTAAGAAGTCTGACTGTGGTATTGCCGTCGAGGGTTCCACCGAGGCTGCCCAGGCTGCCGCTGATATCGTCTTCCTTGCCCCCGGTCTCTCCACTATCGTTTTGGCTATCAAGACTTCTCGCCAGATTTTCCAGCGTATGAAGGCCTACATCCAGTACCGTATCGCTCTCTGCCTGCACTTGGAAGTCTACCTCGTCACCTCCATGATCATCCTCAACGAGACCATCCGCGCTGAGCTCATCGTCTTCCTTGCTCTCTTCGCCGATTTGGCCACCGTCGCTGTCGCCTACGACAATGCCCACTCCGAGCAACGTCCTGTCGAATGGCAACTGCCTAAGATCTGGTTCATCTCCGTCATCCTCGGTCTTCTCCTCGCTCTCGGCACCTGGGTCGTCCGTGGTACTCTCTTCATCCCCAGCGGAGGTATCATCCAGAACTTCGGTGCTATCCAGCCCATTCTGTTCCTCGAGGTTGCTCTTACTGAGAACTGGTTGATCTTTGTTACCCGTGGTGGCAAGACCTTCCCCTCATTCCAGTTGATTGTCGCTATTCTCGGTGTCGACGCTCTCGCGACCATCTTCACCCTCTTCGGCTGGATGTCCGGTGCTCCTTACCAAACCAACCCTCCCACCATCAACAGCAGGTTCCGTGACGACGGATGGGTCGACATTGTCACCGTCGTTGTCGTCTGGGCCTACTCTATTGGTGTCACCATCATCATCGCCATTGTCTACTACATGCTCAACCAAATCGAATGGCTCGACACCCTCGGTCGCAAGGACCGCAGCCGCAAGAACCCTGCCATTGAGAACATGATTGCTGCCCTCAGCAAGCTGTCCCTCGAGCACGGCAAGGACAAGCACGGCACAACCCGTTACGTCCTTGCTCCCCGTGCCGTTGAGGAGGAGGATGACGATTAGATTAGGGTCGCTACTCAAACATGACGCGATGTGTATTTGGATATTTGTACGGGATTGATGAACCCACCTAAAGCAAGGTTAATTTTTCATCACTGGCTTGCTAGTCTTCTCATGTATACCAAGAAGCATAATTTCATTGTCTCAAATTAATACCCCAGTTGCCAACATTGCTGTGAACTTCTCCTCGATGCGAACTAACTTCTTCTGCTTCCTCTATTCCTCCCAATCACACATGTGCAATAAACTTCACTCGAAGTACTACGCGTCGCTAGTACGTCGGAAAGATTCACGGCTTTCCAATTGCCGCTAGTCACCCGCCTTACATTCCGTCGAAACAACACCGATAAGAACGACAGCTGGTGATCAAATAGCATGCATACCCAAGTCAAGCCACTTGCGACTTTGCGCAGAGCAAACCATAGCAGCACGCGGGGTAGGTAGCTCGTGGTAGCTCTCCCTCCCTTGCAGTTCCCAAGCGGGGTAAAGCACACAGCTGCACGCCATCGCCTCCCTCTACTAATGCACCAACCAACGGCTGGGCAAGCCCATGCAAGCTATCGCGAACATGACATACTTTGTGCAGCAGCTCGCGCAAGGCATGTAATGCTTAGGCGAACGTGACACGTATGCACGGTGAAGCAATTGATTGATTAGAACGACATTAGCTATCTTGCTCACCCACCCAATAGCATTCTCGAGAGACTGAGAGAGATGGAGAACACAGCTGCTGTACTCCTTTTCCGTATCGCATCGCAATATTCCAAGTATGTCTCGTAAAGCTTGCGAACTAATAGTACCCCCGAAAGGAAAAAAACTACTTCGGAAAGAGAATGGGGCTAGATGGCGATGCGCATTTCCGGCCAACGTTTTCGTCGCGATCCAGTGGTGTATTGGTTATATTGGGTGGCCTTAATAGCGTGCCGAGCCTCCGTGACGGTTGGAACTAAACCTTTTCGCGCGCGCCTGTCTGGGCAAAGTGACATACCCGTGGACATGCCCCCCCATGCTATCGCAGCGCGTCGGCATCGGATCGTTCACGACGACGATGGCTGATGCCATTGTGACGCTTGTCGCATCTTCTTCGCATCGGCAGCACAACGTGTCGCGTCTTGATCACGTCTCCCGATCCTGAGGCGCGCTGCGACAATGGAGAAAAGGCTTGCCAATTGCTTGTCTTGCAGTTTCTGCCCGGGCCAAGACGCGGAGTGTTTCGTCGCCCACATCTTAGCAGCCTTACTTTACTCCTAACATGGATGCTGTTTGTATTGATACACGTTTCAATAAAAACACACTCCCGCGCATCGTTCTCCCGACGCGAACACGGAGGATGTGCACATGCAAGGGAGAAAAAGGAAACTTGAATCGGGAACTGCGTGACTGTGCGACAGTCCCGACTCATGCTCACTCATCACGATGCATGACGTTTGATCGCCGCACGGCACGGAGTCGATGTCTTCCTCACGATACGTATCGCAAGCCGTGCGCGACAGCTGTTTAGCCGCAACTTTTTGCGTCGCAGGACGCAATGTCGATCGCACGGGGTGTGTGTCCGCGGGCGGTTTTGGGGCGCGCTGTCTGGCTGGGCAGAGATTTGCGTGTTTCTGGCTGGGGGTGGTTGGGTGTTGTGTGATCATCCCGCCTTCGATGTCATCACGCCGATGTTCTGGCTGCGACGGGGAAGCGCAGATAAGCGATGCCTGGGGGGCTGGGACTTGGTGCAAAGCAATGCTTGCTTGCTTGCGTAGCCTTATCGTGACTGCACGTGTTTCAGCTTCCGTGGGTTGAAGGACGTCATGGCTCGGGTGGTTGTGGTGGTGCTGTCGGCGCGGGTCGATGACGCCGAGACGGGCCGTTAGAGGTGCTACTTTGCTTCTTGGGGATGACGTGGAGGGTTGCAGTGGTGTTGTGCATCGTTATGGCTCGGGAATTTGCGACAGCCTTGGTGGCTTGGATGATGGGAGGTAGCCCTGGAGATGAGTGATGGACAGATACGCGTTCTCACCTCATACCAGGAAGACACTGAACGGATCTGCAGCCCACTTTAAGATAAAGACTTGCAATAAGCTGCTCCGTTCTAGATGAAGCGAGACTTCTACATCTCATATCCAAGAAAAGTACTCTTTTGTGGAAGATTTGCGTAAATTTTAACTATTCAACTGCACTGTACAGTACCATTTCCAAGTTCCTTCCGTCGCCTATCATATTGTGTCATCTAACAACAGACTTTCAAGTCCAGTGCTGGGGTCTAATTCCTCCGCTGATAGCTCTTCCTTGTTTGTAGATTCATAGCCTATGCGCTTTATGAAATCCCATAGCACTTTCAGCGCGAACGAAATCGCATACAGCCAATTCAGGCCTGGCATATATCGTGAAGAGGGCTCACCATTGTACTCGATGAATATTGCATAACCGGTTAGAAAAACCCACAAAACGACTGGTGAACGAAAATATAGTTCCATACTTTGTCGTCGTAGTAACTTCTCCATCCAATATCGACAGTAAACGAATACGATGGGTGCACCCGTTGTGATCGCTGTGCGTGGGGTTCGATAAAACGGACGCAGTGTAGGCAAGGCCAGTATTGCTATTATTGTATAGAGAGCATGTACCAATGGGTCTTTACTGAGAAGTGACTTGAATGCATTCATCGGAAGCGTGCCCAGTTCATGCACACAATGCCTATCGACTGATGCCAGATTGATCTTCACGGACAATTCGTCTTGGCTCGAATTACGCTTCCACGAGGCCGATGCATGGATTGTTTCTGATAGTTGGGTAGGTATGGAAATGGTTCGAGAGCGCGAATTCGACAGTATCTCTGCGGACGGTATGCTGGCGAAGTCCTCCAAATCTGGAGAGATCTCATTATTGACAACATGGAAGAGTTGGATGCGTACATTTACTTCATATCGCACCTCGAATCCAACGTCCACTCGAATCAGAACCTTCAAATACGATGTGTTCTCACAGTCACTGCTCGTATGGCCCGAGTATGGAGACGGAGGATGAAGAACGACCGCATAGCTGGCTTTCTCTCGTTGATTTGGCACTCGGAAGAATGGAGTTTTCGAACCTTCAGGCTTGCTTAGACAATCCCAAGTCCAAGTCCAAGTATTAAGATTAACGATCTTTGGTTTCCATGATACCAATGATTCGGGTAAGTCATTGACCGAGAGTAACCGGGGAGTCAAAGGCGGTGGTGTTCTGAGTATAAAGCAGTTCGTCAAACGTGCAGCGTCAAACTCGTCAGCCGAGACAGGATGGTGCTCGCCACTTGGTAAGAAAGCAAATGTTTCGGCAGATCTTTCCACAGCACGCAGGGATATGCGAATACGATACTCAGGTTGCGCGTCTGAATAACAGGCGAGAATGGCGAAATACTCCGGACTTCGTATGGCATCGGTACTCCTGTTCTGGAATAGTGGTAGGCGAATTTGCAGCCCTTTGTTGTTCAGAGTGAAGGGAGTAGCGTCATCACTTGCCAGAGATATCCCATTGCACTGTCCAAAGTCTTTGGGATGACTGGCGAGAAGTTCACCATCTGAGACCCTTGGCCCTCCATTACCTGGAGGAAGAAGCCACGCGAGAAACGACTGATCCGGATGGACTTTGAGGTATTCTTCTTGTAATCTTCTAAATGCTTTGACACCTCCTTCCCCGTAAAGCAGCGGCATGTTGACATCGAGGAGACCCATGAGGCAATACGCGATATCTTCATCCCTTGTCGTAGTGCGATTCGCCGCCCAAGCGACTCGTTTGGCAAAGCCCGCTTCATGAATGTTGCTGACAGAACCGCTTAGAAAAGACTTGTGAATCTTAGTAGTTTCCGCAATTTCGTCTGCCAACTTCTCTCGGGTACCAACGTATTGCCATGCGCTATTAAAGAACACGAAGCTTTTGGGCGCAATGAGTTCTTGAAGAGTCCAGCCACGCGTGAACCACTTGGCGCATGCAAGGTCTTTGACGTCTTGAACATCTTCGAGGAAAGCGTAGCATATTTCAGCTTCCTGGTACCAGCGAAACATGGAGTTGATAGACTCCGACAACTCAGCGCTGCTGCTTTTGTCGATGCAGCAAGTATCACACCAGATGTAGTCATGTCCGTCGATCCGAGCTTGATTGCAGGATAGAAGGATCTTTTCCAAACCAGCCTTCCTGGTATCAGGCTGAGATTGCATCTCACTGAAGGTGATCTCCTCGGTACCCCATGTGTGAGACAGGATAGCGTATTTTGGGGGTGGACGACCTGTAAAGTCCTCTAGCTTCTGCGTTATGACATTGATGAGTCTCATGGTCGGAAGAAATGTGGTGGATGGTGTGTAAGCAACGAAGTGTTGAGGCTGGGGATGAGCTACACCTAGGTAGTGTCAGCCCACGCAGGCTTGGCAGCTGCGCCCCCGTAAGCTAAGTTGAGCCCCCAAACCATCGGCTGTGATCTAGATTACAGTCAGAGTATATGCGCCTATTTGATACCCTATGAAGTTGATTACTGTCTCTGTGAAGATCTTCAGTCGACTATCTTTGCCTATTGGAGGTTGAAGGCCTTCGCAGGTTCCAGAAAAGGCAGGTGCAAATCTTACTGTAGTTAGCCCAGGGTGAGATGTTCACTTGAGATGAATGTGCGATCCTTACAGCGCTTGTGAAGATCTTCTGTCTGTTGTCTAGAGTGAGCTTCATACCTGCTTCTTTGTAAGTCTAAGATAATCCTCGTTCTTTAAGTCTTCCTGTGATGCTTCACTGTGGGCAATGTGCTTCCGTCCACGCAAGCGACACTACGACTGGCCCTAGAAACATCCTCTCGATTTAAAGTAGATTCATGGATATATGAGCCTCCTACTTTAATTCGATACCAGTTGGCATAACGACATGCGCAGAAGTAGTGTTTCTATTTATACAGAACCATAAATCAAGCACTGCCGCTGAACAGCTTCGGTTTCACGTCTCCCCTAGCCTTCGCAGGAAGCAGCTTCAACAGCCCAAACAAGCCGAATGACAGAACGAGCTGGCAAAGCCAGAAAAGCTGACCACCCAGAATATGGTACTTGACTCCAATAGCGTATATACTAGTCGCAAGAGCCGGTGCTACGGATCGAATGCCACTCTGGGCCGCAAGTGCGACGGCGTTGAGCGTACCGAGTGTTTCGTGTGAGGGCGATATATCGTTGAGCGCGAGCTGGACGCTGGCTGTCATATACGTTAGCGAAGCAAGATACATGTGTCTCTGGAGACTTACTAAAGGCCATCGACACTCCGCTTGCAAGCACGATGATGGGTGGTCCAGTAACCCAGAAGATGGTAGTATGCCCATGCCGGAGTAGGAAATTGTATACCGGACCGACGACGAACAGAAGCGGCCAGACTGATGCACATAGATAGAGCACATAGCCAGTACCCACGCGCTTGTGTAGCATAGGAAACACAATGAGTAACCAGGCAGCCTGGGAAACTCCGTTCAACGCTGTGCATGCAGCGATAAGCTCTGCGGTGAAGCCGAGGCCACCCAGTTTGACGGGTGTGTACTGGGCGACTGGAAAGACGGCTGTGAAGGTGAACGCCATGAGCATTACGTAGTTGTATACGACGAGTACTCGCATGACGCCGGGACGGTTGATCAGCTCCCAAGTAGACATGGTAGATTTGATCGTTTTCTTGCCGTCGCCTTTGACGTGCAGAGTCTCTTTGACGAAAAGTATCGTCGTGATTGCTGCAGAGATGGCAATGGCCGAGACGACGATGTTGGGTAGTGCGTAAGGGTAGTCATGCCAGAACTGGACCTTGCCGAACGTCGATGTGAACTTGTCTGCTGGGCGTTCTAGGGCACCACCTATATATTTGTACTTAGCTTACAGTCGGCTTATGACATTTGCAAGATACGTACCGATCAGGGGACCGAGGAAGATACCCATGTTGCTGGCGAAAGCAAAGAAGCTGAAAGCTCGTGCTTGAGTGTGCTTTGTGCTATTCTCAGATATCATGGCTCGGACGGTGACAACCGTTCCAGCAAAGACGCCACCCAGACATCTGAACAGTGCCATCTGCCACAGGGTCTGGCTCATTCCAAAGAGAGTAGTGGCGACCGTCAGACCCAACAATGAGATGACGAGCACGGGCTTTCTCCCATATCGATCAGAGGCCTGAATGCTATGTCAGCAATGCTCTTTTCCGCGCAGCATGATAAGAGAAGAGCTGGTCCACAAACTATCCCCTGACTAGCCCTCTGAGAATGCTCACCTTCCCCCAAAGAATCATAACACACATCTGCGTCGCACTAAACAAGCTCTCAATCAAGCCCGAGTAAAACCCAACATCCTCCTTATCCACATTCCCCACCCTCTCAATCATAAAATTGATATAAGGGAAGATGGAGAAGAAGGAAATCGGCGCTACACAGACCGTAAAGCACAGAAGGAAGATCTGGGCTTTAGGTAGCGGCTTATCCTGGTCTTCTTCTTCGATGTCATCTTGCTGAGATGAAGGGTCGATGGATTGGTCCTCTGCTATGGGTGTTGGGTCTACTTGAGTTAGGAGAGGTGTGTTCTCGTCGGTGGTTTTGATAGCTGAGGTGGCGTCGCGTTTGCTAGAGGATGTAGACATCCTGACTGGATAGAGGCCGCTCGGGCGACTTTAGATGCGGATGTCGCGTGACCGGTGTGAGTTCGGGGGAATCGCCCCAGTACGACCAGCGTCGCAGTAACAACGATAGATAGTAGATGAACGTCGTAACAGCTAGGTAAGAGGAAGGGAACCTATATGAGTATTTGAGTCATATCATGCTGTTCCACGTGTGAGATGGAAGGTTGTATGTAAGCATTTTGCAGAGGAACGCGTCGCTTCGTTCCTTCCCGCGGAGGACTCACTTCTGCGCTAGCAGGGATCTCCAACCACTCGTCCCAGTTCTACACGTCGTTACTTTGATCGAAAATGGCAGGCACGTTTGCGACGCGTCGCGACCTCGGAAATGCCCGTGGTTAGCTGTCGTTCGTTCACGTGCATGCGTACCTGGCTGAGGTGTAAAGATGCTCACGAGCTCGCAGCCGCAGATTTCGATCACTCATCACGCAGAGACAGCCAAAGATCGTAAGGGGTATGAAAGTGTCCATAGGCTCTAAGCTACAATCTTAAGATCCTTACTACACTCCCTCCATAACTCAAACACCCAACCATTGGCCCGCTGTGCTATTTTGTGGACAATCGACATGTGTAAAACCCCGGGATAACAAGGCACCAATACGAGGATGCCCCCGCTACTAGGCTTGTCATGATCTCGAGAACCGTACGCAAGAACACGCTAGCAAGAAAACCGTCAGTCGATGGATCGCGTAGACACATGACTTCCAGCACCTTAGAAGCACTTGCGGTGGACGATGGAGGGACCGCTCTCGTCGTACTCCTGCTTTGAGATCCACATCTGCTGGAAGGTGGAGAGCGAGGCGAGAATGGAACCACCGATCCAGACGGAGTACTTGCGCTCCGGGGGAGCGATAATCTTGACCTTCATCGAGGATGGGGCGAGGGCGGTGATTTCCTTCTGCATACGGTCGGAGATACCGGGGTACATGGTAGTTCCACCAGACTGGCTGCTGTTAGCTGTGTTTTGCGAGATTATAGCGTTCAACGTACCATGACAATATTGCCGTACAGGTCTTTCCTGACGTCGACATCGCACTTCATGATGGAGTTGAAAGTGGTGACGTGGATACCACCGCTCTCAAGACCCAAGACGGAAGGCTGGAAGAGAGCCTCAGGAGCACGGAAACGCTCGTTGCCAATGGTGATGACTTGACCGTCGGGAAGCTCGTAGGACTTCTCCAAGCTGGAGGACTGGCTAGCAGTCTGGATCTCCTGCTCGAAGTCGAGGGCGACGTAGCAGAGCTTCTCCTTGATGTCACGGACGATTTCTCGCTCGGCAGTGGTGGAGAAGGTGTAACCGCGCTCAGCCAAGATCTTCATGAGGTAGTCAGTCAGATCACGACCAGCCATGTCGACACGGGAGATGGCGTGGGGAAGAGCGAAACCCTCGTAAATGGGGACAACGTGAGTGACACCGTCACCGGAGTCGAGCACGATACCGGTGGTACGTCCGGAGGCGTACAGGGACAGGACGGCCTGGATGGAGACGTAGAAAGCGGGAGCGTTGAAGGTCTCGAAGACAATCTGTGTCATCTTCTCACGGTTGGACTTGGGGTTGATGGGAGCCTCGGTGAGCAGGACGGGGTGCTCCTCGGGGGCAACACGCAGCTCGTTGTAGAAAGTGTGATGCCAGATCTTCTCCATGTCGTCCCAGTTGGTAACGACACCGTGCTCAATGGGGTATCGCAGGGTCAGGATACCACGCTTCGACTGTGCCTCATCACCGACATATGAGTCCTTCTGGCCCATACCAATCATGATACTGTTTGTTGTTAGACGGCGTAGTGCGTGGGGATTACGGGGGGTTCATCGTACCCATGGTGACGCGGTCGGCCAACGATGGAAGCTGCGAAGCTGTTAGAAGTGCTCTCGAGATGGTGTTGATCCCGCCTCAGCTGGGAGGCGGAGATGGAGGTACTTACGGAAGACTGCTCGGGGCGCATCGTCACCGGCGAAACCGGCCTTGCACATACCCGAACTGGGGATTGTCAGCTCAAGTTCATTTCATCTGCCGACATGGCGCGCTGCCGTGGAGGACGTCGTCGCGGCTCAGATAAGGCTCAGGCGCGGACAGCCCCTCCACAGCAGGGATGGCGGTGTTGGGCTTCGGGGGGTGCCAACTCACCCATTGTCGATGACGAGGGCTGCGACTTCCTCTGTAGTGGGCAATCGAGGTTAGCAGAGCTCATTGAGATAGAGGGCATGGTGGACGGCGATGGTCAGGACACGGGGCGGTCGGGGTGGAGCTGCTTACCCTCCATGTTGATTGATTAGGGTGAGATTAGAGTAGACGTGGAGTTGTAGATGGGTGTCGATGTAAGAGCGCTGGAGCAATTGAGCGTCAGTGGGAATGCTCAGAGATGCAGCTAGCGGTGAAAAAGTAAAAAGGGTACGGAGGTGTTCGGGGAGCTTACAAGTTCGGCGGCGGTGTTGAGGTTGAGGTTCTTGTGCGCAGAGGCAAGAACTGGGTGTGCTAAATAAGCGGGTCGGCCTTGCCCAGATTTAGCGGGGTGGCAGGAGCGCAGGCGCGAAGGAGGCTTTGCACGAACGGGCGGCTCCTAAAGGGGATTATGTATAATTTCAGCGTTGGCGATCTGGCTTCACGACGATAACAGCATCGGGCATCTTATACGTGCTGCCCGAAATGTGCAGCCTAGAATTGGCTCTATCTATCCCGGTGGTACGTACTGGGAGAGTACGCAAGCTCCCCGCCACAGCATCCAGGAAGCTGCTGTCGGCGCACGTCAACTCTACCAGACCGCCAGGCAGCGGTGTTTGATCCTTGGCGTATAGCAATCATCGACACTCCACTAGCACCTACGTGTTCTCGCCGGTGCGCTGTGAATGCACAAGTCAGCGTCGAGCACAAGTCAGTCCCCCAGCCATCCGCGGCTGCTCGCTCACCGCCAACTCGCCATCCCCGCCCATTCCGAATACGATGGTCACGTGTGCGGAGGGGCAGCAGCAGTGCACCTAGCCAAACGAGCATTCGCAGCAACAATTCCATCCTCGATGCCAACATGTCGTGATTATGTCATTGGGAGCCGACATCGACCAGCTTCTGCACCGCGCCATGTTTGTCGTGTTTGTTCGTTTCCCGCCATGTGGTTGATGGTGTTGACAGCTGTGTTGGGCACCATGTGCCATGGAAGGTCCGCGAAGCTGCTGGTCCCCTCGCGAGCGTCGGCGTCATAAGGCCCGCCAAAATTATTCAATGGCTACACACCCCGCGATTACACACATCCTCCACACAACACACCATACATCACACACCTATCCAACATCATGAACGACCCAGGACTAAACAACCTCCTCAAATGGGGTATCCAGAACTCCGAGGCCTCGCGCACCGATGTCGCTGCTGCCGACCAACCGCCGCCACAGATCGACGCCGAGGCGCTGCAACGACTTATGACGGGAATGTCTGGACCTTCGGATGCGCAATTGATGCAGGAGAGCATGCAAGTCATTCAAAATGAAGAGGCCGAACTGGAGCACCGGACGACCGCCTTCGACAACTTTGAACAGCTCATCGAGAACCTCGACAATGCAAACAACATCGAGAGTCTGGGACTGTGGGTGCCCCTTGTCGAACAACTAGAGAACAAGGAGTCTGAACTCCGGTATTACGCTGCATGGTGTTGCGGTACTGCCGTCCAGAACAACATCAGGACACAAGAACGGGTAAGCATTCCCAGATTTCGCGCACACACCCATGAAACATACTAACGATCCTCAGCTCCTCGTAGTCGGCGCTATTCCTACCCTCGTCCGTATGGCCATCTCAGACACCGAGAAGAAGGTCCGCAAAAAGGCAGTTTTCGCCCTGTCGTCCTCCGTCCGCAACTTCCAGGCTGCTCTCGATGCCGCCGTAGAGCATGTGCCCGCCGAGTTCAAGCCGCAACAGAAGCTGGATGCCAACGACATGGAGTCGGTCGATGTTTTGATCAATAAGCTCCGTGAAAGCGTATAAAGGAGTCGGTTATGGATTGCATTGGGTCGGCGTTACGGTACTTGACTAGTCAGCATTGAACGGCGCATAGAGGAACAAAAGTCGACCTTAGAGGACGGATGGACGACATACCCAAGATTCGATGGAGTAACGTTCGGGCGCAGACTCCCACGGTTATCACGTCGAGCATTGCATAGATTAAAGCAATACAAATTCGATCTCATATGACTCCCAGCACAAGTACAACCAGCTCGCTGAATGCTTCTCTTCCGATCATGCTCTTGTCCAGTCCCATACCAACTACGACCATCCTGGTTTCCCTGTCGTCGCGTTGCTTAATGGCGCTAGCAATCTGTGTCGCGAGTGTTGAGCCCAGTGTGTCGAGCTCTGCCATGGTACCGCCAAGTATGGTTGTAGCCGTAAGATGGTGCATGGGAAGAAGGTCTGAGTTAGGGTCTTCTTCGTCGCGTTCGAGGTAGGAATTCGAGGTCATTGAGGCATCGGTCGCGGAGATATCAAGGGGTACATGTACCTAGCAGGTGTTAGCAAAAGATACTACAGACAAACATTTATATTCACACACCCAGTGCGCTAGCCGTCCATTTTGTGTCACGGTGATGAGGATCTTGTCCGCAAAGTTGACCGTCGTTGCTGTAGTCTCTATACTCTTGATCGCCGAAGTGGCCGTACTGGTACGCGCTGGGTATGGGGCGGGCGTCACGACGTAGTCGTCTGAAGTGGTGGGTGCTGCCATGGTGTTGTTCGTGCGATGCGATCTTTATTGCGGAGGGGTAGCTGACATGCGGCGAGCAATGCGAGGAACGGTGAGCTAGTTAACTCAGGCTCTGGGTTTAGTGAAAGTAATTAGGCGCACAGTAGATTGCTGATGTGGCTTTCTCGGTCGTGTCTGGCTGTCCGTGGTGTTGGGTCCAAGTCAACAGCCCACTCGAGTCGCGGCGGAAGTGCTGCGGAGTTCCCACTAGCGTCTGATCCCCACCAAAAACTTTCGGGCGCCGCAAGCAGTCCTCGACGCCGCAACCACCAAAATGCCCAAGTTCGTGCCGCGACAGCGAAAACACAAGGTTCTGGCCCGTCAGAAGACGCCGGCGCAAGAAGCCACCGCCGACACTAATGCGACCGAGATTCTGCCTCAGGATGAGCAGGAGCGCGCCCAGAAGAAGGCTGCGCTCAAGGATGAGCTCACCCGAGAGTCGCAGGGCAAAATGAGCGGCAAGAAGAAGAAGCGCCTCGACAAATACATTGTACGTGGAGAGACAGCATACAAAACTTGCAACACTTTTCTTCCTCAATTTGCGCTGCGACTATACCACGAAGAACTTCAATACTAACTTGTGCAGGATACGAAACTCAAGAAAGAAGAGAATCTCGAACTTCTCAAAAAGCTCGCGACCCAGAAAGTCGACACCAGCTTGTTCCAAAGCTCCAAGAAGCTTGGTCGAGGAGCGGATACCAAGAGGGAAGCAATGAGGCGTGCACTGGCTGAGAGTAGAGCTGGCATAGATGTGGAAAAGAACGAAGGCCTGATATTGGAGAAGCGCGAGGTCAAGGAGGTCGGAGACGAAAGTTCAGACGAAGAAGAAGCGCCGATACCCACTTCGAAACCAAACGCACGACAGATCCCCTCGCAAGCAGCGCAAACCAACGGCTCTTCACGAGAACGAGCGCCATCCCCGTCAGCCTCCGAGCCCGAAATCGAAGCCTCGCAGCCAACCTCACAGCCCCCCGTAGCGCCACGGCAGACTGGTGGACTCTTTGGAAGCGGATTGAAGAGGCCTCTAGAGGTTGACGAGTCGGGCAAACCCGTTATACAAGTGCGAAAGCGCCGGAAAGGTCAGACCAACAAACCCGTCGTGGTTGAAGAAGAGGTCGCATGGGAGGGCTTCAGCTCGGGCGACGAGAACAACGACGAGGACAGTGGGGACGAGTCTGAAGCATCTGTTGCTGAGTCTGACGCTGGTTCGAATTCAGAGGAGGAGGTATCAACCTCCGGATCCGAAGCTTCAGACGAATCTGGAGAGTCTGGAGAGTCTGAGGACGACAGCGATGAAGATAGCGATACCAGTCCCGACGAAGAGAACAAGATTGCGAAGAAGGAAAGAACGTCGGCTTTCAAGGCTTGGGCAACGCAGCAGAGAAACGAGCAAGTGGGTTTCACCCCGACAAACCAACTCTCCTACGCACCGATCCCGGCGAACTTCAAACCTCGAGCTCCCGAGCAAGATCCTCTGCCCCCAGAACTTGAGACGAAAACGACGACCGATGCGACACGGAAAGCCTTCAGCGTGAACGTCGAACGGTCACCAGAGATACAAGAGTCCAGACTGCAGCTTCCTATCGTAGCGGAAGAGCAAAAGATCATGGAGGCCATACACAACAACGATGTGGTAGTCGTTTGGGGTGCCACTGGTAGTGGTAAGACCACGCAGGTGCCTCAGTTCCTCCTAGAATCTGGATACGGAGCGCCAGACGGTCCTACACCTGGCATGATTGGTGTAACACAACCCCGTCGTGTAGCCGCTGTCAGTATGGCAAAACGTGTCGGCGATGAACTCGGCGATCAAAGTACGAAAGTGGCATACCAGATCCGATTCGACACGACAACGAGTCCTAAAACCGCCATCAAATTCATGACCGACGGTGTGTTGCTACGGGAGATCACACAGGACTTCGTGTTGACAAAGTACTCGGCGATCGTCATCGATGAGGCTCACGAACGTAGTGTGAACACCGACATTCTTATTGGCATGCTTAGCAGGATAGTGGATCTTCGCGCTCAGATGGTCAAAGAAGACCCAAAGAACAAGCCTCTCAAGCTGATCATCATGTCCGCTACTTTACGGATATCAGACTTTACAGAGAACAAACGCCTGTTCAGGAGTGAGCCTCCACCACTGATCAAGGCGGAAGGTCGACAATACACCGTTGTAAACCACTTCGCACGTCGCACCCAGCGAGACTATGTTGAGGAGATGTATCGTAAGGTCTGCAGAGGACATCGAAAGCTGCCCAAGGGGGGTATGCTTGTCTTCCTTACTGGACAGAGCGAGATCTCACAGCTGGCGAAGCGGCTGAAGGAAGCCTTTCCCTCTACACAGGGGCGGGAAGTGAAGCATGGCAAAGTCGTGGTTTCTCCAGCGGAGACGCCACTAGAGGCCGAGGATATCGAGCTGGGCGGAGAGGCTGAAGATCAGAACTACCTAGACGACGATGGTTCAGATTCGGAAAGCTCCGTGATAATGGGACTGGATGATGAAGACGACAAAGAGTTTGAGATCGAGGACGAAAAGGCAGAGGACACTGTCATGAACGTACATGTTCTGCCTCTCTACTCACAGTTACCCACAAATCAGCAGCTGCGGGTGTTTGATCCGCCTCCTGATGGATCCCGTCTTATTGTCCTTGCGACGAACGTCGCTGAAACCAGTTTGACAATTCCCGGTATCCGCTACGTTTTCGATTGCGGAAGAGCCAAGGAGAAGAAGTACGATCTCATTACTGGCGTCCAGAGCTTCGAAGTCAGCTGGATTAGTAAAGCCAGCGCCAATCAACGATCTGGTCGTGCGGGTCGTACTGGGCCTGGTCACTGTTATCGCCTGTACTCATCGGCCGTTTTCGAGCGAGACTTCGATGAGTATGCAGCTCCAGAGATCTCACGAACACCGTTAGAGGGCGTGGTGCTACAGTTGAAGAGTATGGGCGCTCCAGTCGTCAACTTTCCCTTCCCTACATCACCGGATAGGGAAAGTCTGCAAAAGGCTGAGAATCTGCTCTCGTACCTTGGAGCACTGTCTTTGGATGGCAAGGTCACGAAGCTCGGCCACGAGCTTTCGTTGTATCCTCTTAATCCGCGATTCGCCCGTATGGTTGCGATGGGTGTTGCGCAGAACCTTGCAGCTGAAACCATCGCGTTGGTGGCTGCCCTATCTGTACCGGAGCTCATCGTTCCAGAGAACAACCTCGGACTACGTGAGCCCGTCAAAGACCCTGACGCCATCCGCACCGAGCAGGACAATATTGAAGCTGAGGAGCGCTCCCGGCTGCGCAAAGCCTACAATGCTGCACAGGCCAAGATGAGCATCAACGCGAAGCAGAGTGACTGCATCAAGCTCAGTAACGCCATTTGTGCCTACGCTTATGAGCCTGACTCGCACCGATTCTGCGAGGACATGTTCCTCAATCCCAAGTCCATGAACGAGGCTAGCCAGCTCCGCCACCAGCTCACCAATATCGTCCGGGCACATCGACCCACCGCTATCGGAGCGTACAATCCAAAGCTTCCAGCACCTTCGGAACGAAACATCAATCTCCTCACCCAGATATGCGCCGCAGGTTTCATCGATCAGATTGCCATGCGCGCCGATCTTGCACCTGTGCCTCCTGAGCTTCCAAGGAAACCCAAGACGGCGATCGATGTACCATATGTCACTCTGTTCTCGTCACAATCGGAGCGTTCAGACGACCCACACTCGAAATACGTCTTCTTACACCCTTCTTCTATACTCGCACGTACACCACCAGCAAAGATGCCGGGATACATCATCTACTCGCACCTCCAGCGTGCCGCATCATCCACTATTACTGGTAGCCGGACGCCGAAGACGCGCATGCATCCTCTCACACCCGTTACGAGGCCGCAGATCATCAATATCGCGCTCAACACACCGTTACTACAAGCGAGTAAGCCAAAGGGCAAGATCGTAGATCTCAGCAAGGATAAACGAGAGTGTGAAGTCGAGATGAGTCTCATGGGCGAGAAAGGTAGCCAGGGATGGGGCCTTGGGGTTAGAAAGGTGGTGCAGAGGAAAGAACCTGGCGGAAGATATGTTATCGAGCGAATACTTGGTTAAGAACCGCTTGAGGCGTTGCATACACGTCGAGCAGCCAAGATGTTTGTGTTTAGAGAGCGAATTGCGAGGGAACATAGCAATATATTATGAGATACCCCACGAGCCACCTCCCACCTAGGTCTTCATCATATGCTGGGTTGCAGTGACCACCCAACCCACCCGACCCCCTAATCCCTCGACACACTCGTCTCAGCCGCCACCTTCTCACTCGCCAGCACCATAACCTCCTTCTCCTTCTCCACACTATTCCTCCCCACCTTCCCCTCGTCATCCCCCCTCGCAGCTCCCACACACTTATAACTCCCAAACTGCCTCGCCGACAACCCAGCCTCAAACATCTCATCAATCTCCTCCAACGTCCTATTCTTAACCTCTGGCAAAAAGAAGAAAACCCACGTCGCCGCCACCGCACAACTCGGCGCCCAAACAAACCCATACCGCGGCCCCCAATCCATACTCTGCGGATTAATAAAATACGGCGCGGTAAACGTCGTGAGCCACGCACCCACAAACCCCGCACTGGCCGCCAGCCCGAACGTATGGGAACGCAGTCTTTGTGTGGGGAGTTCGCCGCCGGAGAGCCAGGCGTAGGTGGAGATCATGCCGTTGTAGCTGAACATGTAGATGGCGGTTAGGCCGACGGTGACTTTGCCGGTCGACTTTGCGTTGGGGGCTTGGTGGTATACGGTTGCGATGATGAGTTGGAGGATGCCGCAGACGAGGAGGCCGGTCATGAGGAGGACGCGGCGGTTGCCGTAGCGGACCACTATGAAGGAGTTTGCGATGAAGGCAATTATGCTGATGGCGGAGAGGACGTTGGACATGGCGAAGGGGTCGGTTACTTTGGCCATGGAGAGGAAATATGCTTTGTATGCTAGGGGTGTGTTAAGAGCACGTTCTGAGGGCTCTAGGTGGCTGGGGACTTACCGATGATAAACATGGAGCCTGAGGCTGCTTGGAGTAGGACAGCGAAGACGGCTAGGAAAGTACGACGTCGGTCGACAGGGTTGCGGAACATATCGAGCCAACCTATGCCGGAGCTGGATTCCTTTTCCTTTTCGATTGCGGCAAGGATGGCAGTGGCTTCGGCCCGGGAATCGTGGCGGGCGGGACGGAGCCATTCTAGTGCTTTTACGCCTTCTTCGAAGCGGCCTTGGAGGATGAGCCAGCGGGGGCTCTCAGGTATGAACCATATTGTGCAGACGATGATGAGAGGAAACACGTAGATGAGACCTAGTGGGATGAGGTAGGCAGACTTGTCCGGTCGTTTCGCAGTAGCCCAGTCGACAATCGTACCAATCAGCGTTCCGAACGAGACGAAGAAGTTGAAGCCTGTGAGGAAGATGCCACGAAGCTCTGCCGTACTACTCTCTTGTAGATAGAGCTGCGAGAAGGTCATGAAGTAGCCGTTCGCGAACCCAATAATCAGACGGCCAGCATAGAGCGCTCCAATGTTCTCCGTTGCCATCATCATGATGTTAGCCACGAAGCATGTCACACACGCTGCGACCAAACAAATGCGTCGTCCAAACCGGGTGGATGGTACACCAGCCGTCGCGGAGCTGATGAAAGCGCCTAGTGTCATGAGTGAGGAGATGAGTTGTTGTCGTTCGGTAGTGAGATTCCATCCTAAGGGTGACTTGTCGGTTTGATAGCCAAAGATCTGGTATCGTCAGCGAGCTGTAAACTTCGACAAGAACAGGAGCTATTCGGTGTGTCGTACCTTCAAAAACCCCACCATAGCCTGCAACCCTCCAATCATACCAAAATCAAACCCATACTGAAAAGGACTTAGAATCACCACGCCGCATGCGAGGAACAAGCGCGAATGGTCGCGCCATGTATATCCGTTGTTGTCAGACATGGCAAAGAAACCTCACTGGAAGGATTGCAGTCGTTTGAGAAGCTAGATCTGAGGATAAACGCCGTGGGGTTTACCTTATACTTTGAAGATCATCTTGCCCAGACCGGGTTCGGATGCAGTGCCAACCCACAGCGACTTTACCCATCTGCCGAGTCAACGTTATTGCCAAGTCCTCTATGCAGAGACGCATGCAGTTGCTTGACCCCACAAGTCAGATGCTCTCTCCGCTCTGCTAGAACCAATGGCGGAGGGGACTTGGCACTTTGCGCTTGGATGGATGTGGGGAAGGTGTTGTATGGGCTGTATGGGCTGTATGGGCTATGGAGTGTTTCTGTGCCTGGTGATGTGCATGGCGGGTGTAACTTGTGGTAGATTGCTGATTATATGAGGTCAATTCTTCGTGTGTATACGGATTTGGATAGCGTAGGTTTTTGCGGGTTGTTCAGCTTAGTACCGCGTGAGGATACTCTTCGTTTGCTATTGAGCCCTGGAGAGGCCTGGAAATATTCATCCGCGTGTGGCTGGGCCAAGAAACCACGACTGTTCATGATGAAACTCGGTATCACTGTACCGTTAAGCAGGTGGATACAACTGCGTTAGTAATGCGCGCTATGCAGAGCAATTGGATCATTGTGAACTAGGAAAGTATGGGGTACGGGCGTGATTGGGGATAGTGGGTCAGAACGGCCGTCGGGCGGGGAAATTAAAGCTTAGCTATACGGCATGTTGGATACCATGTACAGATTCCAGTGTTGCTTTGAATGTAGACGTAGTCATGATTGTATCCGAAAGGCTGAGTCTAACGCGCAGACAGGCTTGCTTGTAAGCTGCGGACAAAAGTAATGAGGCAGGAGCCGTGTGTATTATAAGGTTTACTGAACACAGCACGTGCTGCCAATGTACTCTACTTTCTACCAATGCACCAACAAGATTATGACGTATTGTGATGAAATCGTAGATCTCCGTTGATATCGTGGGAGGCATCAAGATATGTCATTTCCCTACCGAAGCTTCGGACAAAACGCCGCAATGTTGCAGCTGCCAGACGACATGAAGCCGACGCTAGTGAGGCGAGCGCAACTCCACCCCACCGCGTCACCTTCAACATGCCACGGATACCAACGTCGCTCACCCGTAAGGCACGCGCAATCGATCCCTACCTGCCTGCTCTTCTTGGACCTTGTCGCGAGCTGCAAGCCGCCCAGAACGAGTTGCGATGGCTCCGCGAACACGTCGAGAAAGTCGCGAAAGCGCGTCGCACCAAAGGAGACACAATAGCTAAGGCTTCCTTACTGCAACAATTGGTTAAAGATAGAGCCGCCGGGAAGCCATTGCAGTATCTGCTAGGCACAGAGTACTTTGGCGACTTGGAGATACGATGTAGACCTGGTGTCTTAATCCCGAGGTATGTAGAACTGTGGCTTCTCTCCGGCTCATGGCTAATGACACGAACAGAGCAGATACAGCCGCTTCAATCACACATCTGGCCAGTCTCCTACGACATGCGAAAGAACTCCCCTCCGAAGTACGCGTACTCGACCTCTGCACGGGCACCGGCTGCATACCCCTCCTCTTCCACCACGAAATGTCCTCCGCCCCAAACAAAATAGACCTGCGTCTTCTTGGTGTCGACATCTCCAATAAGGCCCTTGATCTTGCGAGATACAACCTCCAGAAACTACGCAAGACGCGACAACTCCAAGACACTGGGAAATTGGACTTCATACAAGCGGACGTCTTGATCAATCCCTTTGACGAACAGACTGAAGGCGTCTTGTCGCTGACGGCTGCGCTCAATTGGGCAGGACAACCATCCTTCTGGGACATTCTCATTTCAAATCCACCGTACATCTCGCCAGCTGCCTTTTGGCACACAACAACGCGCTCGGTACGCGGTTTCGAGCCAAAGCTTGCGCTGGTGCCTCCGGAGAGGATCAAGCAGACAGACAAAGAGCAAGGCGATCGCTTCTATCCGCGCCTGCTCCAGATCGCCAGAGACGTAGAAGCCAAAGTCGTCCTATTCGAGGTCGCAGATATGGAGCAAGCGCTTCGCGTAGCGCAACGCGCACGAAACCTAGACATATTCGATGGCGTTGAGATATGGCGGGAACAGCCCGATGCGACTGGAGACAATGCGACCGAAGATGGGTTCGAAGTTGTTGGACAAGGCAATGCCCGATCCGTCCTCTGCTGGCGCGGCCGTGGGACGTCCTGGCTCGGCAAACTTGCGCCGCCATCTTCACCACGCGACGATGCGGATCGTCTCTTTCGAAGCGCACACACCAATACGAAAGATGCAGAGGAAAGAGTTGTAGAGGTTACTGAGAAGCAGCGATTGGATCCGCAGTTTGACATGAGCTACTTCACTGATACCAAGTACACTGAGTTTCCTCTCCGACGACAGCCTAATTGTCGGATGCCTGACGATGATGAATTACGGAAAGGGAAGAGATGAAGGGGTTGCTTTCTAATGCAGAAGAATCGCGCCTCCGTTTAAGATGAAAAAAAGCACAGACAGGGGAGTTACAAGCAGTTGCCCTGCGTCTCTACTTCGGGAAGCATAGAGATCGATGCGGTGCATGTGAATACTCAGCTCGACCAGCCCTATGATGCGGAAAACCCAACTCTTTTCTAGGTGTCCATCTCGCTTGCCCTTTGGTCACCTAAGAGACTACCGTCCGCCGCTATACCATCGTAATCCTCTCGCCTGCGTCTGGCTCTCGTCTACGTCCGTCTGGGAAGCAATAAGCTACGACGTATGCGGCAAAGGAAGTACAAGTTGGTATCGCTGTCACTAGGCCGCCTTGCAACGACGACTTCTGGGCCATCGCAACAAGACCCATGCAAGTACTGGCTATGGCGATCGTTACAAGAATATATCTACGCACGGTCAGACTAAGCATCCAATAGGGCGACGGTGACTACTTACAAACGATGATTTGACACCCGTTGGCATTGGACGAGGAAGTACATCGCTGTCAACCAGGACCATATCCCGAAGACCCTGGGTTTAGTGAGCATATGTGCGACGGCATAGATCCTGCGAAATTGAGAAAGCAGGGTTTACTCACATCCAAGACGCTCTTGGACTGATGGCACTGTCGTTGCGCAACATGAGCCACAACACGCTGGTGATACCCATAGCCGGTCCCACTAGGGTACTCGAGAAGGATGCGAAAGACTGCCCAATGAAAAAGAGCAGGCTGATGAAGAAGCCAATCGGATACCGAGGGTGGTAGTAGTAGCCGGCTGCGGCTGCGGCCGCGCTTGGGGACAAGGCTTGGGGTTCGTCCAATGCGCTTGCGGGCATGACTAGCATCAAGAACATGACCGCGAACAACAGCCTGTTCAGACGTCCAGCATGGATCCTCCGTACAGACATAGTGATATGGTTTGACGTGTCTGTGAGATGTTCCATCTTTCGTGAATCCGAATGCGAAGAGAATATGTGGGATTTGTTCTCCACGAAAAGCGATGAGAAGAGTGGGTAATGTATCGCAGTAGTCTTGGATGGGTTGAAAGTGGAGTAGCAAGTAAAATAGGATGAAATAGATCCAGGCTGAGGTGCCGGAAACTTATTGTCCATTGCAGTCTTGCGTTTGTTCTGTTTTTGCAGTCAAGAACTTCGTTGAGGCGACCGTACCTTTTAAACAACTCTCCTCCTGTGGCCCAAGGCCGGTTCGCCTACCACGCGGGTGTAGGCAAACGTCACTGCGCACCGGAGGAGAAGGCAAATGTCGCTGGGCATTGGATATGATTTCATGCACGCCACCCTGTAGAAACGCAACATCAATCCAATCAAGCGAGTTCGCCAAAGGGCTTGAGTTACCGCACGGCCTTAAATGCAGGAAGCCAGGTTCACCTAGCCCAATTGATTTGGTTAGCCACGGTAAATCCTCGTAACGGCAACCACCAGCTCATCGGAACCATTTTCATATCTCTTGCACGGCTGTCAACCCCACAATGGCAGCTAGCGGTCAAACCTAACACTTCTATCTTCACCACAAAGTCAGCATAAGGCACCAATGGGTTCCCATTCCGATCTTGGCGCATTCGGACACTCAGGTTTAACGGAATCGGTGAACGTGCGGTGTGGCGTCTCAATGTCTAGAGTACATTCTACGAACCACAGAACGTCGTGGGCTTCTGACTCCAGAGCCACCGGGAAGGCCGCTTAAGCGGGTCTTATTAATAGTCTATCTTTTGATCTTCAATAATCAATTTCTCAATCGTTGTAATAGCAAGAATTGATGAGAATGCCTTTGATAAAACAGCTATAGAATTGTACAGATACGCTGACATGATTTTGGCGGAGCACAGCCACGAAATGAAAACCGGTAGGGCGTCTGCAGCTACCCTGGTAAGTCGGATCCAGCGTCAGCTAGGAGACGCTCTCTACCTGATGCAGTGCACAGGTAGAGCTTCGACAGCGACGCTCCGCTGACTGCGCTATACATGCCGTGCGGTATCATCTGTCGCAGCTCCACGCGCATCCCACAAGCACCCACGTAGTAGGTAATTCACTCACACGGGGTCATGAAGGTCCGGGAGGTTCCAGGCAGACGCAACTGACTTGAGCAGTGATGACGGCTTGTGCGGTCCTTGCATACAGTGCAGTGGGGTACCAAAGAGCAACCACTTGGGCGCTGAAATCTTCGTACCGCCATGTCTGTTACAGAAACTTTTGAAAAAGAGCTCTAAACCTCGCTCCTCAAGTCATTCAGGTACAAAGCATATACACAACGGCTTGCGTAATGGAAACGTGTGCAATTCTCGACATTGGTATTTCTAACTACCTTATCGCGCGGAAAACTGACACGGTCCGAGATCTGAACGCGAACAATTGCTTCGCTGGGTAAGAACGCCTGCTCTGATATGTATGGTGGTAGGCCAATACCCACAAAACACTCCCATAACTCCACGCTGTACATTCAAATTCCCGAAGTTTTCCACATCCCTGAGAGACTACCCAAATCACTCTGCCCAAACAGCATTTGTATACCAGGAGACTGATCCAACTTTGCTTGTTTGGCGGCCATGTATTGCGTAAAGACTTCCAGGTCACTCAAGCAGAGAAGTGACCACCCGCAGAATCCTGCCCCGGGTTCGCCTGCTCGTAATCGAAGTGCTTAACGAAGCGATAGTATGCCGAAGCAAGTAGTGCACCGAGTATAGGACCAACCCAGTAGATCCAGTGATATCCGACGAACGACGCTGAAGCGACAGCTGGGCCGAAGCTACGCGCAGGGTTCAGTGAACCGCCGGTGAAGTATACACCTATACATTGTCAGTGTCAAAAACCAAAACTTTGCTCTTTTTGAGAGTGAAAGTTGACGTACCACCCATCATGGCCACAAACAGCGCCAGTCCGATGCCTATAGGAGCGATGAATGTTGATTTGCTCTTCTCTGCAGCCAGCATAAGCACGACGAAGACGAGCTCGGCGGTCATGAACATCTCGATGAAAACTCCCTGGGCGATAGACGTGTCCTGGGACAGCGAAGTGTTGACAGCACTAATATCTCCAGGAAACATGGCTTGGACGACTCCACCTGCGCACATGCACGCGAGTAGCTGGGCGGGAACGAGAAAGAGGGATCGGATGAAGGGGAGTTGACCAGCAACTACCATGCCGACGGTTACCTGGGGTATGTCAGTATCGGCGCACCTCTACAAGGTAGAGATTGAACAGGTCTTGCAGACTACATTATGATAAGACAAGCAAATTGGAGGATCTGGTGACAATGTAGACTCCAGGGCGTTAGGAGGGTACATACCGCTGGATTGAACAACCCCCCACTAATCCGAAAGAACGCCCAAACATTGACCAACAAACTGAACCCATACACCAAGGCAACGAAAATATTCTGCTGACTGCTTGCAAACCCATTCAGAATCGACCGGTCACTTGCTTGGTTGATGATCATGAGCTGACCGGCAAAAGCAAAGTAGAGAAACATGAATGTGCCGACAAACTCTCCACTCGCTGCAACGAGGTGCCCTTCTAAACGGCTGAGGTGTTTCTTGGGTTCGGGAGCGGGCACGTCGTAATCCGATTCATTGCGTGGAAGAGGACTGCTGGCTTCGCTTTGGCTCTGGCGGCCCTGGCGGCTTCGGGAACGGTGTGGTGGGGGTTTGGGCTCGCGGTAGGTGTTCATGCGTGGCATTTTCGGAGGATGATGTTTGACTAGAAATTAGAAGTGAAGGGGAATAGTATATCGACAGGAATATATGCAAAATAGAGTATGCAAGACAGTGATGAGGGACAGCAGATACTAGACGAACGCCCAAGCTGGAGAAACCCAAACTAAAAGACGGCCTAAAAGTAATTAACGGTCGCCGTTATACCATAGCGGTCAATACCACCGGTTGACGGGTTTGTCATAGCCAACGGCATAGCGACGGAAGCATGACGATTACGATTGTGACGGAAGATGCGCGTCAAGGGTCCACATATAGTCTGAACCACTAAATATGGGGATCATCGCTTGTGAACGGCGAACTTCAGCCACAGCTGACTGGAGATGTGTATCTTGTTGAGGCAGCACGGAGAATGATAGGTTTCGAGGTGTTTGAAGAGCAAGAACATGCCGTTGCACACGGCTGAAGCCACCACCAAGCTGACGTTGGTGGCTGTTACAAATGTCATGACGATTATCTATGATTGGTACTAGGGACATGCTTGTCTGGAGGCTGAGATGGGGGACGCATGAAAGTGACTCCGCGGAACGAAGCTCTGGTGTTCTCGACGGCGCACGGGAGCTAAGAATGTCGAGAGGCTTGAAAGTTGGCCTAGTCCTCAATCTTGTTTTGTGCGCGCTACACATCTATTTGAGTATTGACAAGCCGACACGAGTATGACAGCGCAGTACCGTAGAAATATATACAGAGATTTCAGAGCTCACCTGCTTTTCTTACCCTGGACTTGAAAGATCTGCCGTTTCCTTCGGTCTTCCCAGCGTGCCCAGCCAGAATCAACGAGATCTTCTTGTACTACGAGATCTCGCACGCGCAACGACCTCAAGACCCAGGTCTCGAGAGCCCAATTTATCCAACCGGCCTTCCGCAGGAAGGTTGTGAAGCCGAACCAAGCTAGAGCGAAGAGGGCTCCGGCGGCACATCCGACCACAACTTGCTTTGGTGTATGGTAGCTCAAGTATATCCTGCTTGCAGCTACTGCTCCTGCACAAACTAATGCTAGAAGTGAGAGGAGGATGCGACCGCCGAAAGAGAAAGGGGTGTGGGTTTCGGTCGGGTGTGGAACATGCCGAAAGAGGAGAAACAGGCCTAGGGTGACGGAGAAGAAGGAGACGAACTGGGCATGCGAGGAGGGCATTCCATAGCCCTTTCCATGCATCTCTGTTTAATCATCAGTACTACATTCACATGATATACTTTGCCAACTTTACCCCGCGGCCGCTCTTCCTTGATGTATCTCTTCAGGACCCAGTTGAGCGCTTCACACGCCATTTGGCCCGCGAACATGAGGAATATCTCAATCTCGCGATTTGACCATATCAGCGTCGCATAGACGACGCAGAGTCCTTGGGGCACAAGCGCAAGCCATGCGCAGAGGTAGGAGACGCGGTCGGCAGGATTCTGGGCGGATTAGCAGCAGCTCTGGCTGTCAGTAGATGAGACCAACATAATGGACGTGCGTCAGCGACAGCGACGCAAGCGGAGGGGCCTCCATAGCAACTTCACGTGGGAGGTGAAGCGTGTCAAGAGTGAAGGGTGCACCTGCCGTGCCCATGACGGCACATTTCCGGCGGTACCCTGTCGGCCTTGGCGTGACGCACGCGAGATACCTCGGTGATGGGGTTGTGCTACATACATTCTCGTATCCGCTGCAACGGCCTGGCTCTTGAAAGCCTCGATGGAATCGCAGTGATTGCAGCCAGCGCCTGACTCACCATGGGCCTCTTCAAGGGGTCTTTTGCCTTTATGCGCTATCGATAGAAGAGAGTCGCCACGCCCTTTTCACACTTTCTTGCGACCGCATTCGACTTATCTCCGCCCTCCGCCGCCGCCACTCATATACAACCCGCTCGCCGATCGACAAGCGGTCCTCTGAGATCTTGCTGCCATGACCGAGTTCAACCTGGAAGACGAGCGCGCCGAAGAGCTCAGCACGCTGCAGTCCATCTACCCGGAGTTGGTCATCAACGATAGCGATCCGTACTCGGCCTCTCTCGAACTGCTCGTCGCACCCGCCAAGCCTCTGCCAATCACCTTTGAGCCACAGCAAGACGTCGAACGACTCCCATACCTACCTCCGCTGGGTCTCGAAATTACACTGCCTACCGAATACCCCGAACATCTACCGCCTGTAGTTCGGCTGTCTACTTCGCCTTCATGGATCCGCGATGATCTGCAGGCCCGACTGACAACCGAGGCAAAGACGCTCTGGGAGGAATATGGTGGAGGTTCTATACTCTTCGCGTATATCAGCTCTCTCCAAGAACAGGCGGAGAATGCCTTTGGCTTGGAAGACCTCACGCTTCCCTCGTCCATGCAGAAGCAGTTGGTCGACTACAGCCGGCGGATGAAGAAGGAGCTGTTTGACAAAGACACATTCGATTGTGGAGTCTGTCTCGAGCCAAAGAAGGGATCTGCCTGTTATCGCATGGCCCGCTGTAGCCATGTCTTTTGCATCAACTGCCTTCAAGACTACTACGACAGCTGTATAGCAGAGGGAAACGTCAACAACGTCAAATGCATGTCTACCGAGTGTGGTAGTAGTGGGAAGAAGAAGGACCGGCTACTTTCACCCAAGGAGCTGTTACAAATTCCTATATCCCGCGACCAGGTTGAGCGATACGCGAACATCAAGCGGAAGAAGAAGATCGAATCCGACCCCAATATCGTATACTGCCCGCGGAAATGGTGTCAAGGCGCTATGCGGTCAGACAAATACCCCAAGATCACAGACGTCACTCAGATCGACGATTCAGACTCTGAAGCAGACGATCAAGGCTCAAGTCCCCAACCGGAGGCCAAGAAAGAACCCGGTCCGGAAATGCGTGGCGTTGGCGTACGCGGTATGGAGCGGTTGCAAGTCTGCGAAGACTGTAACCTCGCTTTCTGTGTCATCTGTCTGGCGTCGTGGCACGGAGACTTCGTACGCTGCGAGCCACGTAATGTCACAGAGCTCACCGAGGACGACCAAGCATCGCTCAACTTCATCATGAAGAACACGACACCATGCCCGTACTGCTCTGTACCCTGCCAGAAAGGTTACGGCTGCAATCATATGGTAAGTTTTGACCTCATGAAAATGCATATGAGACATATACTGACTTTGTTTTCCCAACCTGCAGACCTGTGCGCAGTGCCAAACACATTTCTGCTATATCTGTTCAGCATGGCTCAATCCAGACCACCCGTATCACCACTTCAACGATCCCAAGTTTAAGAGCTGCTTTCAGCGCCTCATGGACGGAGTCGAAGGCGATATGGCCAATGGCGAGCAACAGTGGGGTGGTAGGAGGGGGGCTGAGCAGCTGGCGGAGTTCTGGGAGGAGGAAGCTATGCGGATCCAGATGGCGGAGTTTGGCGAGTTGGTACAATAGCATGAGTGTCTTGTACAAGGAAGAAAATGAACAGGTGCGCTGCAGTCTACATTAGTATGAGAACGAACAACAATAACATTTTGAGGCAATGTAGAGTTCCAGATGAATCATTGTGTTCCAAAGATGTATTACATTATCATTACCGTGCCATGACCTGGAAACCTATGTACCGCGAATCGATCTGCTTTTATTACCTCCACACACTCATTACCTCCTAGGCCAATGGCTTTGCGCCCGACAGCTGTCCCGATCCAGCGATAACGACATCGCTCAACGGCTTATCACCCGGTCCAGTCCTCGTCGCCTCGATCTTCCTTATAACATCCATACCATCCAGCACCTCACCGAAAACGACATGCTTGCGATCAAGATGCGGTGTCGCAGCAGTCAGAATAAAGAACTGCGATCCGTTCGTGTTGGGCCTGTCCAATGGTTAGCAAAACCCCCTCTCATCCCACACAAAAGTTCACGTACCCAGAGTTCGCCATACTCAGCAGCCCAGGATGCGTATGCCTCAACTCAAAATTCTCATCGTCAAACGAGTCCCCGCCAAAGATACTCGCACTCCCCGTGCCATCGCCATTTATGAAATCGCCTCCCTGAATCATGAAGTTGGGAATCACGCGGTGGAAAGTGCTGCCCTTGTATCCGCCGCCGCGCTTCGCCTCGCCCGTGCAGAACTGGCGGAAGTTCTCTGATGTCGCGGGGACAACGTCGAGGAAGAGTTCCATTTGCACACGGCCGGCTGGCTTGCCGCCGATTGCAATGTCGAAGTATACGATGGGGTTGTCGGGAGAGCGGCGCGGTTTTACTGTGGGCCCTTCGTTGGCAACGGGGATGTTTTGTTGGGTTTGTGCGATTGAGGCTGCGTTTTGGGACTGTGAGGGTCGTGCCATTTCGGTAGACTCGCCCGAGTTTTTTTCTTTGCTGCCGCAGATACCCATCGTGGGGGATTTAGATGGGGGGTTGTCGTGGAGTGGGTGTAGAGTGGTGGTGTTGTTACTATCGCAGTCACGACGAGAGTGATGTGCAACAGGGAAGTCTGGAGATCAAAGAAGCCGCAAAGTTGGGGCTGAGGCTGACAATGGATGATGGCATGGAGCGCTACGGGAGAGCTAGCGGCATCTAGACTGTGGAGGCGTGGAGGAGAAACAAGGTTCCAAGGTTGGCGGTCGATCATCTTGATACGTCATCGGTGGCATGATTACTTTTCTCGCATGTGCAGGTGCAGGCGCGTACATAGGGCACGTGTTTGTATTGATACGGACGCGACTTCCTACCAAATGCACATGCGTGGCACCTATCATGAACGGACATTACACCGCTGTACACCACCTGAGATACAGTCCTCCCCCTTACACGACCGCGTTTACAGTGTAGAACACAATGGTATCCTGAATAACCTTGTGGATGTTCGCTGCCGCCGCGATGCCCTCGTCCAACTTCGGCTTCGGGGTAGCGAGGTTGAAGTTCTTCGCTGCCGCCGCACTGAACGTATCGTGGTCGAACTCCAACAGCGCCAGACTGGCGATAACAATGGCTGAGAAGCCATTTGCCTTGAACACGGGCTCTTTCTCTTGGAGATGCTTGGTCGCATTCGGGATGCTGACGTTGACTATTCACAGCGAGTGTTAGCATTCTGTCCGTGCCGGGAGGACCGTGATAACTCACCAGTCGCTACGACGGTGTTGATCAGATCGGTAGTCTCTTTGATAGTAAAAGGTGGTAGAGCCAGGGTGGCTCGTCGGAACCCTTCGCGGTTTACTTCATGGATCTTCGCTACGCCAGCGAGCACTTCTTTGCCTTCAACAAAGGCAGTCTCGAAAGAACCGCCCTGGAAGGCTTGTACTTTCTGATCGAGCTCGAGAACAGCACTGTGGATGAAGACTACCGACTGAATCACATCCTGCGCCGTGGGCAAGATTTCCGCAACTGGCGCGCAGAACGCGATGGCGGGGAGGAGAAGGAGGGGAAGTGAGAAGTGCATGATGTCGGTGAGTATCTTGCGATCGAATCAATGATCTGAAGCGGATATGAGATGGCAAGAGCAAGACGCGAGTCAGAACGATGCTGTGGAGATAAGAAGCAAATACCACATACTACAGCTTCTTATTATACGCAAAGCTCATGGTATACGGTGGAGCCGAGGCTCACCGTGACATGTCGATCTGGCGTCAAAGTAAGCAATTCGCAGGTTAGCAACCCAGCTACTGAAAGTATATTCCGCGCGGGCCTGTCGATCACGAACACCTTCCCCGGATATGGCGCTGGGAACTAGGACCTAGACTCCTGCTTTCCGGCGACTCAAAATATGACACGACCTCGTCTTGCTGAAAAGAGCATCCCATTTTCCTTGCTAGAGATAATCAGGAGACAGAAGTAGGCTTTCTAATTACAGATTTGAACAGCAAGATTGCGATGTAACCCCTCCACTACGCACTCCCACCACCATGACTACTACCCCGATCCTCACAAGTCTCAGCACCCGATTCCCATAATCTCCTTAGCAACACGCTCTCCACTCCGGATAGCTCCGTCCATGTATCCAGTCCAATACGGACTCGTCTCCGTGCCCGCGAAATGCAACCCCTCGGCCCTCATCGTCAGCGCTTGACCATACTTTGTGAGCACGTTGGGCGGAGCAACCGCCACAGGCCCGCCTCTGGACCACTCCTCCAAATCCCAACGCTGCAACACAAACTCCGTGTTCGTCTTTGCTTCCTCGCCGAAATACCTCACGTAGTCTGACAGGAGCTTCTCTTCGCACTGGGCCGGGGTGAGGGCGTCGAGTGCGCGCATTTCGTCGCCGAGGATGAATCCGAGGAGGGCGCCGAATTTCGTGTCTTCGGGTGTGGAGTCGAAGGTTACACGAGTGGAACCGTTGTCGGAGAGGACTTGGGCGCTTAGGCCTTCGGTCTTGCGCCAGAATGGGGTGCTGTAGATGGGGATGCCTTTTCCGATGGACGGCATCTTCATTGCTTGGTTGAGCTGTTGACGGGCGTTGGGAAGGGCGGGAGAGAAGGTGATTTGACGGAGGAGGGGAGGCGCCATGGCGAGGACGACTTGCTTTGCGTGGACAGTTCCGGCCCGGGATACTACTTTGTAGCCGTTGGATGTCTTGGTGATGGTTGACACCGCGGCGTTCATAACGATGTGTTCATGTCCGACCTTCTCGGCGAGACGCTCTGGGATGAGACCAGTTCCGCCTACGACTCGCTTCTCTTGAGCTCCGTCTTTGATGCCAATCAGACGAGCAATTGTTCCAACGTTTGTCTCGTTTCCGCCTGCTGCGATGTATGCGACGACGTATAGGACAGAGAGTTCGCGTGGCTCCGCAGCCCAGATGGCCTTGCTGACTGTGGTCAAGACGAGGGCGGCGTCCGCGTGGGGTGCTACCTGATCGATGTACTGCTGGAACGTCATGCTGTCGAGCTCCTTAGCCTTGGGGTGCGTCCAGGGTGCACTCGTGTTGACTTCAGCTGCCCAGTCGTCCAATTGCTTCTGTGCACTGGCAACCAGAGGAAGAGACTCCATGTCCACTGGCGGTGAACCACCAAGTGCGGGATCAGGGGTATAAGCCGTCCGAGTGCCGTTCCTCCACAAGATGGATTTCCCTTCGCTGTACGTGTCGAATGTCTGCAGTCCCAGCTCGGAAATCATCTCCAGCACTTTGTCCTGCGTGGGTCCCACGAACTCGGCGCCGACTTCCGTGACGCCCCCATTCTTCAGTGGGTGGTTGTAGACTTTGCCGCCTACGCGATCTCTGGCTTCGAGCACGATGACGGATTTGCCGCCGTGGAGAAGGTCTCGTGCTGCTGTCAACCCGGAGAGTCCTGCACCTATCACAGCAACGTCGATCGATTCAGGGACTGCTGAGGCGTATGCGTAACTCGAAAGATAGGAGGAAAGGAGGAGGAGCATGGCGCTCTTCCCGATCCGAGGGGAAATGGACTGAGAATGCATACTGGTGGTAACGATTGTGGTGGAGATGGTTGGGAACTGAGATGTTTGTTGATGATGCTTTGAAACCGGTGAGCTGCTTCCTCATATATACTGGCTCTCCTGTACCTATGCGTACAGGTGACCTCAGAACTATCTATGAAGTCTAAATCCCAGCCATGGAGGGACGTCAGCGCCCGAATCCGACCAGAAGGCCCGTTGTCCTCTGATTGTCAGTACATGCTCAGCCGTGTATTACCTGCGAGCATACAAGGTACTACCTTACCAAAAGCATTTACAGAATAGGGTATTCGCAAAGACAGCGCAATCAGGTAAGTGGTCAGCACAGCTAACTCGTTTGAGTAGTGAGGCTTCTCTATTTCGATTCATTCGCTATACCTAAGAAAGGTAAGCAAGCTCCATGGTACTCTACATTTCGTCGGCTTCGGACTGGTGATGTTTCCGAAGCGGAGACTGTATCTCTGCCCCTGGCTATTTCCTGGGGTTGCTAGCTCATGGCTGAACGTTGTGGAGCCCGATATTCCTGCGTAAGCTTCATCTGTTGTCATCGGCTGAGTTTTGACAGCCTCAGAGGGGTCAAGTCCGTGTAGTGCGATGATGGCGCTGCACAGTCAGGTCGGCTACTTTGAAGGAAGTCGCAGATCGGGCGTTGTGCCGAATTCTCTGGGGGGGCTGCGAGGTGCCTTGTACCCTGCTGATCTCTCGAAAATAGCGGCGGATACCTTCACGATGGTATCTAATAAACATAGTTATAGAATGAAGCTTCCTCTCCTGGTAGAGGTATTCCATCACGCTGATACTAGCGCGTACTTGCACTACGTCTACTCCCGCATCTTTCTACTTAGATAGAAAGATGTTCTTTTTCGCCACCATACCTGATTGTGTCTCATTCGTACGCTGTTGTTTCTTTGAGTTGCCGTCACGATCCACGCGTACTCATCTTGATTTATGACGGGTCGGTCCTTTTACGGCCCAAGACTTCCGAATCCCCCGAAACCTCCACTCATCTCGGGCCGGCCAACGATTGATTCCGAAAACCGAAGCCACTTAGTTGGACGTTTGATGCTGTTAATAAGAGGTCTTGCTGTCAGGCATTGCTGACGAGATGGACCTAGAGGTGGACGTAAGCTGAGCTACTTCTGTCAAAGTCGGCAGCTTAGCGCAGTCGAGGGAAGAGCGAGATGGCAAGTGTAGTCTCTTGGATTTTGGAGAAGACTATACTAGATGAGAATGTGACCACTGTTGTGAGGTCAGAAGTCGAATTCAAAGTGCAAGCGAAGCAGCACGCTGAACGCCACCACAACTGGCGTGGTCATCCAGTGCACAAACGCGATATTATTCCAATGGGCGCACTCACTCTCCTTGCGTAAATTCTCTTACGGCTTTGCGAAATCAAGAAGCGATCTGGCATAAACACTGCCATCTTCTTGTTGCAACAGGTCATCTACCTTCTTCCTCTAGACCCCGCCCAGCGCGGGACTGTTACCTCTGTTTACCTCCGCTTCGAGGTCGTCCTCCCAATTCCTGATAGTCTCTGGAGATATGCCTTCCATACATCTCTCGTCTACTGTGACTGAACACTGATATCCTGATTCCCGCAAACGTAGAATCGTTGAACGTATAAGCCGCAGAACTACCCGTAACATGTCCTCCATTACCGCAGTCCTGACGTGGGATATATATACGTTAACGTGTAGTTGTGTCACTGTTCTCAACAGGAACAGTTCGCAGAGATTTAGCAGGATCTGCACGTTTCCATCTTTTGTCGTATATCCCACGACTGAGATTTGTCGTGTAAGTTTGTTGATGAGATCGCGGGGTTCCAGACCTGTGCCGAAACGGTCTTTATCGAGCAGCGTCTTGATGGACATATTGCCATCTACACGGAACGTGGTGTTCCGGTACCAGGATTCTTTGAGCTCATGAGCTACTTCGGAACCGATGACACTGGCTCGCCAGTAGCGCTCTGGGCAAAGTATGTCTGTCTTAGAATTCTCCACAGCAAGGAACGCAGTGGTAGAGGTGATATGCAGTTTGCTCGTAGTCAAATACTCATAGACCATATCGCGCAATTCTCGTGGTAATCTTTTGTACATAGCAGGTCCAATATTGCGACATACAGCGACATTGTATGCTTCCGTAGCTTTTTCGATATCCTTGCTGAAATCCCGCTCAACGCCCAGATTTGATTTGATACAATCGATAGTGGGGGTCGGGGAACCATCCAAGTCGGTGGTGAGATGAAGAATATTCTCAAGGCCTTCATGAAGACTGACGGATTGTTGGCATTCGTTGAGCGCGGTTTGTTCGTACTCGCGCTGTAGTAATCTGTGTTTTGTTAGTGCTGCTGCCAACCTGCGTCACACTCATGATGCTCACTTGCGTAGCTGCTCCCAACAACTTTCGATCTCAGCTGATTTGACCATGAAAGGCGGGTTGGCCATGGCGGTGTTGCGAGTTGCAACGTCGAGGTAGTCCGGATTTGAGTTGATTGAGGCCTGAGAGGTCAGGAGCGTAGGTGCAGTCGCAGATGTAAGACGGTATAACGATTATGGCGCACGGACCTATCTCCGCGTGTTCACGTGGCCGCTCCTCAATCATGTAAGAGCAAACGAGAATCAGGGCGAAGTCTCAGCAAGCATAAGATGAATTCTTGTCCCTGAAGATTACGACTTTGCAAGCTTCTCCAATGCCTCACCGTCCACTCGCAAGCCGACCCATGCAGTCTTCCTTTGCGCCCCTATGATCTCGCTTTCGTAGAACTTCAGACTGGGCTCATTCCAGTCCAGGCAACTCCATTCGAGCCGCCTGCCCCCAACCTTGAGCACCTCTCCAGCGAGTTCCTTAAGGAGTCTCTTGCCATAGCCCTTCTTCCTGTAGCTCTCCTTGACAAACAGGTCTTCCAAGTAGATGCCTGGCACGCCTGTCCATGTGCTGTAGTTGTAGAAGTATAGAGCCATGCCTGCTACCGTGCCGTCGGGGTCGCTGAGGAGGAGTGTACGGGCGAAGCCTTCGGAGAAGGTCGATGTGGAAGGATCGTAGTGTGCGAGAGTGCGCGTCAGGATTTCTTCGGTTGAGTCAACCTTGTCACTGGCGTTCTCGTAAAGCGCAAGCTCCTTGATTAGGGCTAGGATGGTAGGAACATCTGCATAGGGTGTTAGCAGACTTCAATTGTAGTCTGTGAACACTCTACCTTCACGGGTCGCGTGGCGAATTATTGCGCTTGAAGATGCCATTGTGGTTGCCAAGACGTTGCTCAAGGCACTGTGGTCAAGGTAGGTTGCGGGGTGCTGCCTACCTTAAGTACATGTAAGACGCGCCCTACAATTGTCGCGTTCCAAGGTTGTGGGGTATGTGCTTAGTGCCCCGCCTACGACACTTCCCGCTTTCGTCCTCTCGCAGCAGCACGTTTCCTCTTCCATTCATCTAATTCCTTGCGTATTGGGTGCTCTTCTGGAAGCCATTCGGCAAAGAAGGGAAACCGCATGTATTCGCCCTCGGCATTCCGTGGCTGGATATGCTGTGATTTCTCCAGCAGATGCTTCTTAGGTGTCTTCGGGATCTTGCCTGTAGCATCAACACCAGAAAAGAGAGTTTCATCTGTAGGGACGTCGTAGAGGCTGGGCTTGATGTGCTTCATAGGTTCTCCCCAAATTACTTTCCATCGCTTCTGTTCGTCGTCGTACTCGACCTTGCAGCAGAGCATGAGGAGCTTTGTATACATACGTCTCATGAACCTAGGGTTGATGGTATGCGGTCGTTGCACGCCTGCAGGCATGTCTGCTCTGCTGGGCTTGTCTAAAGCGATACCTTCTTCTACTGTGCGGGCGAAGAATTCGTCTTCTACGGCTGGCTCAGTACTCAATACTGAAGCCCGGCCTCTTCGTCTGACCAAATCGATCTTTCGGTCGCCAACCATCATGGCATATATGTTATCCCACTCTTCGGTCGGTAATGGGGGAAGTAACCTCGTCATCGTCTCGGCATACCACCGTCGGACATTGTTGACCGCGCGCTTGATCGGCATGGGTCGCTCCCAGGCGTTGTTGATAGGCGTCTTCATGGCTGGACGCTTGATCTCTCGGTGTATGGAGATGCCCTTCTGGTGCTGCCACTTGAGGACGGCACGCAATCGGGAGTAGCGGCTGGAGATGCTGATCGTGTACTCCGTCTTGGAGGCGGCTTTGGGCGCATCGAAGTACTGCAGGTAGCGCTTATTGCTATAATAAAGCTTCTGCAGTGGTGCCTGCCCTGGCTCGTCAGGCGTTGCGAGTGCGCCGCCGTCCATGATGTGGTCTGGCGTCAGTAACTTGTCCAGCAGGATGTACTTCCTCCTTCCCATGCGCCCATAGGCGAAGAACAGGACCTTCTGCAGACATGGTATCTCGCCCAGATTGGCCCGGCGCAGGAAGTTCAGGCCCTTCTGCCCCTTCCTGAGTAGCGGTCGTGTGCGCTCATTGATAATCGCTATCTGCCGCCTTTTGAAGCTCTTGTGCCTGTACTTCTCAACGGCCTGGACGTCGAAGGAAGCCGTCGCATTTTGCTTGGGCTGATACGCCTTGAATCGGCTGACGATGTAGCGGCGGAAGTAGGTGCGGGCTATCGCATCGGGCAGGTATGAAGCCTCACGCAGCAGGGCACGCAGCAGATGGACAGGCCGCAGACCTGACGCGCTCTGCTGGAATGGCGTAGGCATGCGGGAGAAGCGACGGAAGGTGGCAGACGAGTCGTGGCCGTGCTCTGGGCAATGAAACTCGGACGGCGGCTGATTGGCCGCGACGCGTAGACGCGACCTCTGGAATCTCCACTCCTCTAGAGTCTCCACGAACGACGGCACATTCACCCCCCGCCCACCCGCATATCAACATCGAGTCCTGATACGGCGCATATCGCCTATCGCACATCGCACCCTTCACCGAGGCTGCCGCTTACAGCCCACGGCTGCGCACCCCGACTGCACCTGCCCACGCTGCGCCCAGCCTTCGTCCGCGCCTGCCCCCATGATCGTTTGACCCGTACAGTCACCATCACCACGCCCGCCAGCACTGCGCTGACATAATGCAAGTCGCGCGCTCGTCGCTATCCTTTCCCGCAGGTTCGCCGCCCCAGTCGGCCATGTACGCCAACTCTCCCCACAGCCAGGGACTCATGGCTGCGCCCGCTGGCTTCAACCGGTCCTTTTCCGACATGAACGGCTACCAGCAGCACGCCATGGAGAAGCCCCAGATATATACCGTATGCACCACCACCACCGCATTTGCGCAGCCGCACGGGGTCGCTGACAATCTAGGCTGTTTACTCGGGCGTCTCTGTCTACGAAATGGAAGTCAATCGGGTCGCTGTTATGCGCCGACGCTCTGACGGCTGGCTCAATGCCACCCAGATCCTTAAGGTTGCTGGCGTTGACAAAGGAAAGCGCACCAAGGTCCTCGAGAAGGAGATACTGAATGGCGAACACGAGAAGGTCCAGGGTGGCTACGGCAAGTACCAGGGCACATGGATCTGCTACCGCCGCGGAAGAGAGTTTTGTCGCCAGTACGGTGTCGAGGATGTCTTGCGCCCGCTGCTGGACTACGATGTCAGCGTCGATGGCAACCAGGGACAGGGCCAGGGCATCGAGACGCCCACCAAAGAGCAGGCCATGGCAGCAAACAGGAAGCGCTTCTACACCCAAAGCATGGACGGCCGCACTACCAGCCAGAGTGTCGGCGGTACCTTTTTCAGCAATATCTCCTCGACAGCCACCAGCGCACTTGCCGCCATGAACAAGGTCGCGCGACTGAATTCACCCGCACCTCGACCCGCTTCCTCCTCGCAGGGCCGGAGAAGCATGGCACGGCCGTCGCAAGGACCCCTCGCCAGCCAAGAATCGTTCCGCACCAGCAGCCAGCAGAGCGTAGCATCGGAGCGTAGTTTCAGCGGGCAGAACGGACACACCGACTCAGCCTATGGCACAGGCCTTGAAGACCCGCAAGAGCCACCAAGGAAGCGCATGCGAACATCCCAAGATGAATCCTACTCACAACCCAACGGCGCAGACATGTCTATGCGCGATCTTGGCTCGCCGACAGAACCAAGCGAGAGCTTCTACCAACATCAGACAGGACAGCGCATTGCACTTCCTGATGGAGAGGTTCCCTCAGCCCTGCCACCTCTACCGCACCCCGACACCAAGCACAACGAAGAGAAGCAAGCCATGCTTACGGATCTATTCGCGGATCAGACTAGGACAGACTTCACGAACCATCCAGCCATACTTCACCTCTCTGGCGCAGATCTGGACATGCCAATTGACAACACCTCAAATACAGCTCTACATTGGGCCGCGACACTGGCCCGAGTGTCGTTGATGAGGCTATTGGTTTCCAAAGGAGCGAACATGTTCAGAGGAAATGCCTCGGGTCAAACACCACTAATGAGTGCAGTCTCCGTCAACAACAGCCTGGACCACAGCTGCTTCCCGGAAACGCTCGAGATCTTGGCGCCACTTATCGAACTCCGCGACTCGCAGGGACGGACGATACTACATCACATCGCCGTGACCTGTGCCATAAAAGGGCGTGCGGCCTCCAGCAAATACTACCTCGAGGCACTCCTTGAGTACCTCGTACGCAGCAACATTGGCGCCAACCAGGTGCCTTCTTTCCACGATACCAGCAACTACCCGAAACCAATAGGATTGATGAGGTTTATGCAAGAGATGGTCAACGCACGCGACAAAGCCGGCAATACAGCACTCAACCTAGCAGCGAGGATAGGCAATCGCAACATTATCTCTCAGCTCATGGAAGTTCAGGCGGACCCGACAATACCCAATCACAAAGGCACGAGACCGATAGACTTTGGTGTTGGCAGCGATCTTGGCGACGGCGAAGTTATGATTGCCGCAAACAGCCCCAGCAAGGGCAAGGCGCCCTTGAGCAAGGTCGAAGAGACCAGCCGAGAGATACAACCTTGTAAGTTGGCATTCATATCTACCACGAGAAACACACTAATATCATTACAGTGATGAATGGCATTCTTCAGTCCGCTTCAATGCAGTTCACCCAAGAAGCGCGTCTGAAACAAGACTCAATAGATCAAACGAACGAGTTGATCACTCAATTATCCACTCAACAGAAACAGGAGCAACAAAGGCTAGAGTCACTGCGTGCTCGACTACGTTTGCGACAAGATCGTGCTAAGCGTATATCGAATCTGAAGCGTTGGCTCGAGCCACAACGGCATATGCTCTCCGTCAATGCAGGGGACATCGATCTGCACGAGAAGAAGAGGATAGGATACGCCGATGCGGAAGGTGCAGGCATGCTCATCAAGGAAGACGACTTGCCTTATGAGCTCCGGCAAGCAGGCGACCATCTGGATTGCCGCGCATCAGATGGAGCCCCCTATCTGTCCACAAACATTCCACTGGATCCCGCAACGCTCAAACAGGTATCGCATCAGCCGCAATATCAGGCCTATGCAGTCCAGCAACTCCCGGCCGCCTCCGTCCTCCAACAACGACTACATACCTACACGAATGCGAACGTTGCACTACTCAAACGTAGTAAAATGCTCAAAGAGAAGGACGGGCAGCTGGAGATGATGTACCGCAAGGTAGTCAGTCTATGCACAAAGGTAGAAGAGAACAGGATTGAAGAGTGTCTCGAAGGCCTCGTCGCGGCTCTGGACAGTGAAGAAGGCGAGGGCGTGGAGGTTGGCCGTGTCAGGGAATTCCTGAGGAAAGTCGAGGGTGTCGAGTAAGAGGTGGCTACGATTGATACCATCGTTGGCTCAACAAACGGTGCTTCTGGACTTTGCATCGCACAACGATGGTCATGCCGGCGAGCGAACATTTGGGCGTTGAAGGGTATCAGGACGGGATGGTTATAAACTTGCTTGCCTAGGCATATATTGTAGCGCTTCAGTGCGGTTATCCTATCGGCGTATTATCTGACTTGGGTCTGAGAGGCTAATACCACGAGTTTGCGTCACGCTTTTGTCAATACTATAATATTTTACGCCTTTTACGCCTTAGCATTGTTGGCGATTGCCGAAGCCCATGCAGCAGCACGCGATTCACCTTGTCTGGATTGTCAAGGGTGTCGATGACGACAAGTTCGGCACCGGTGTCGATAGCCCAAGAGGAGACTTCAGCCTGACCAACGAAGAAGAGGGAGTCAAAGGGCCGCGCAGGCTCGATGAAGCCCTAAGGGTGGATACCTCGTAAGATGGTCGGATACTTTTGCGCGTCGACGCAGTGGATTAGGAAGTGTTGGAATAAATCTGGTCATGATACGCGTTGCGCCTCGGCCATGTACAGCGACACGTTGCTTGCCTGGGCGTTGGGGAAAGAAGTCACATTAAACCAGGTCGAGAAATCGGCTGGTCTGATGACATTGGCCTGCGCGTCCACGGAATTCGGGAATGTGCAGCTGAACAGCGCGGCCAAGCCTGTCGCCAACTGGTGGAAGGATTGCGGTATCTCAGTGAACAGTGTTCTATTTAAGTATCTGACGACTACAAAGATACGAGGAATCGGCAGTTGGTTTGTACTCAAATTTAGAGTGGCAGGAAGAGTAGATGTTGGTTATAGAGCGATGATATCTCTGTCGTGTAGAGAGCGAAAGGGGCCTTCTTTATAAGAGCAATATGACTCGTCTCGGAATGTAGAGATCGGAGACGCAGAAGCCCCACGAAGCATCCATCCCAGTCCAATACGTAACCCATGTTGTAATTACGTAGAATGGAGGCGAGTATGCGTGTCCCTTCTCAAGCATGATACGATAAGAATTCGCGATATCCGCATAGCCTAATCTAGAACCGAAGTTTGGCCAGCCAATGCTAGATCGTAAATTCGAGGTTCTGCCACAAAAGCCCACAAAGATGGCGCCCAGTTAATATCCTTCGTCGGCCTTACGGAAACTTTGGGACAAGCTTTTCGGAAAAGAATAAGCCTCTTCAGAAGTTGAACGGTGCTGAAATGTGCTGCAGATTGTGAGGGATAAGCTTTTCGGGGAAAAAAAAGCCTCTTCGGAAGCATGACTACAATTAGTGGGGAATTGAGGGGGAATTGAGGGGAAATTAGGCGCTTATCCCTTCCCGACCACGTATGGAAGGAACATGAATCGTGTTGGTGTTTATCTCTGTCGGCTCGACGACTAACTGAAGACAAGCTTCTCCGGAGTTCAATCAACTAGGAGATTAGCAAAAAAGCTTACAACGTAGCGGATGGGATGCCTCTTCATGACTCTCCATGCACCTTAGGGACACAGCCCTGCAAAAATACCAAGTAATAGAAGCTTACATAAAGGCTTGTACCGCCTGCAAGATATCGTTCTCTTCTGTTTCTTTAGTCTGCTTGATTGCTTCGTCACCTTTTTCTTCGCAATTCCTCGGTAGTCATTACATTCAATTCGCACTGTCGGAATCATGTCGGAACCAAAGCACGAAGTCTCTCATCAGGATGAAGACGATCAAGCTTTAAACTTTCTACCTGGTAACCCGGACGAGTACTCTGCGTTGGAAAAGAAGCTTATCCGCAAGGTTGACTGCAGGCTGATGCCGGTATTGATTGCTATGATCGTGCTGAAGTAAGTTCCACATGCAATGCTGCCGATCAGTGCATTCAATCGATGCTTATTTCCTCGATAGCTACCTAGACCGTAACGCCCTCCCCAACGCTCGTATTCAGGGTATCGAGAAAGATCTCGGACTACTTCCGGGGCAGTACAACACTTCTATCTCGGTCCTCTTTGCTGGGTATCTAGCGCTACAAATTCCCTCCAACATATTGCTCACGCGCGTGCGCCCCAGCATCTACCTCCCTGTTTGCATGGCACTCTGGGGCGCCGTGTCTGCTTCTACTGCTGCCGTCAAGAACTTTGAGGGTCTAGTGGTCTGCCGTTTCTTTCTCGGCTTCCTCGAGGCACCCTTTTTCCCCGGCGCCCTGTTCCTGCTAAGCAGTTGGTACACCCCCCAGGAGCTTGCGACCCGCACAGCGGTGATGTACTGCGGCAGTCTATTGTCAAGTGCATTCGGAGGTCTCATTGGCGCGGGTGTCCAGTATGGCCTGGATGGCGTCCACGGCCTCGAACCTTGGAGGTGGCTGTTCCTTATTGAGGGTGCCGTCACTGTGGTCCTCTCTCTACTGTCCATATTCATGCTACCGGACTTCCCCTCTACGACACGCTGGCTATCGGATCAGGAAAAGGCCATCGCCACACATCGACTGCGCATGTTCAGCGGTAGCCGAGATGAGGAGCGTGGTCCTTTACTGATGGGCGTGCGCATGGCCGTGTCCGACTACAAAGTCTGGCTGCTCTCGCTCATTGTTATCCTTAAAACATCCGCTGGTGCCGTTACGGCCTTCATTCCCACTCTGGTCGCCACCTTCAAGTATGGCAAAGTGCAGTCGCTGCTTATGACGGCACCGCCGTACGTCCTCGCTGCCATTGTTTCGCTGGTCATCTCTATATCCTCCGACAGGCGTGAAGAGCGGTACTTTCATCTCGTCGGGCCGTTGGTCTTTGGCATGATTGGCTACATTATTGCCGCCTCGACAACGTCGCTCGCGGGGCGTTACTTCTCACTGTTCCTCATGCTTGGTGGTGTTTACGGTAGCTTTGACATCACTTATGCATGGATCTCGTCCACGGTATGCCAAGATCTTCCCATCTGACAGTACATCTCTTGTAGTATACATGCGATTGAGGCTAAAGTTGACCTTTTGGATAGCTCCCACGCCCCATTGAGAAACGCGCCGCCGCTTTCGCCATTGCCAACATGGTTGGCAATATGGCACAGATCTACTCGCCCTACATGTACAACGCCGAGCTCTATGCACCACGGTACGTTCCCGCAATGATTTGCAACACGATTTTTGTACTTGCCGCTATCGTTGCCGCGACCCTGCTTCGCTTCTGCCTTAAACGCGAGAATGCCGAGCTCGAGGCCGTGGAGGTCGCTCAAGCCGCTGCTGAGCCAAACCCTGACCCCAAACATGGCGAAGAGATTATTCAGAGTGCGCCGGGTGGATTGTTGAGGTTGAACCCAGGGTTCCGCTACACGCTATGATTTGGGGTTACCTGTTTAAGAGATGAACACTTCAGCAGGCGATTGTCATTAAAGCCAAAGTAGCGTCGAGTAGCGCAGGCGAAAGAGCGAAGCAAGTTAAAGCCTTACATTACAATATAGTAGAAGCGAACAAAAGATCCATCCACGTAACTAAAAGTAACACTTAATATTCTTTTAGACGCACAAACCCTGGCTTCTAAGTTCTACTTATAGTAGTATCAGCTTCTTTATTTATAAGTAAGAATATATGGTATGTTATGGACCTCACGTTTCAGCTCGAACAGCAACTTGGTAATCTGCGTCGCCCCTCAACAACCAGGATGGTGATGCTGTTGTCGGACCTGAGCGAATTTTGCAAGAGATTGGAGATTGAAAGGATGTACCATGGCCACTTCAATCGGCCAGATAGGGGGGTGTAGTTACGCATCACACTGAACGCAGGTACGAACACTTATGAGGAGGGGAATTGCGAGGTTCCTTCACGGCCTGTGCAAGAGCAGTTATTACAACCCATACGAGATGGCATCCGTGGCTGCGCCGGTCTCACGATTGAAGGCTGCACCCATGAGGATCTCACAGAAGACACGATCCACATCGCCAATCAACCATACTGGCCCGATGCTCATATTCTCCCCACCGAGCTTTCGATACACAGATAACGCGCCGATGAGGCTGAGCATGACAAGAATGACGTGGCTTGCGTAACCGCCTGCACAAAAGGTATCAGCGTAATCAACCGTATATTCAATCTTCAGACGCATTTCGATGAACTACGTCTGCCTACCTACATTAGTGCTGTTTTGGACGGAGTAAAAGGATATTTCTATCACTTCCACATCACCATCGCCCGCTGCCTACTCACCCAGCTCAATCAGCTTTCCCTTTCAGAAAATGCCCGTCTTAGAGATTCCGAGGAGCTATTCGAGGAGCTATCTACCATCTACGCAGATGTGTTCCACGTCCTCCAATACATCGTCAAGGCCGAATTCTACAGTCACGGCAGAGCGCCTGGAGTTCACTGATTTGCCACCTTCTCATACCGACCCTGCTGTTTTCTGTGCCAAGAAGCATACTATCTACTTGCGTCGGCTGGAAGAATCGTTCTGGAAACTGCGCATGTGGATGCGGATGCGATGTTCCCAAGAGATCAGAACCGGGAGCAGTTTATCAAGGAAACGAGAGCATATTTGCGCAAGGCTTGGGAGACGAGTTGGGAGAACGAGGTGTATAAAGAAGAGAGGAGACGGCTCGAGCGGATTGTGGGTGTGGATGGGGATCCGTGATCGGTGCAGAGAGGGTCTAGTTATGTTATACCTTCGAATTCAATGTACGGCCCTTGCAGACGTTGTTCACCGCCACAACTATGGGGGATAAAGAGAGGGCCCCTGCCGGTAAAAAAAGGTAAGGTGATCAAGAGTGAAGATTGGAGGGGAGACTTTCGTTTCAGGGGCTTGGGAAGTAGATGGGTAGCTGGGTTTGCAATTGTTCTGGCTTCATAAGGTCGCATGTTCAGTGTTGCTAAAATTTCTCATATAATGCCAACCTGGATTCTTAACCAAGTGTCAATACAAGTGCGAAGTAATCCTACGCATTCTCATGTAAACTTCTGCATTTACCAATCATGGGCCTCCTGTCCTGCATTTCTGCCCTTAGCACTAGCCTCAGCAACCTATTTCTGATGATGGTCAGACATGCTTATCAACGCCTCCGCAGCAGCCTGATCAGTCATCTTCTTAGTCCTCTTCGAGGTCTTCTTCTCCACAGCCCCCCTGGTCTTCTTCGGAGTCTTCTTAGCAGTTTCATTGGGAATTCTCTTGAGAATTTGCTTGGCAGGAGCAGTAGCCTTCCATGCATCTTTGGCCGCTTTGAGAGTTTTCTTCGCGTCACTTCTCCTGTTCTGCTGCTGCACATACTCGGCCTCTCTCTCAGCGATCTGGTTCGCCTTCAACAAACACTCCGCACACGACCCCCGCGAAAGCGTGTGATCGTCTCTGAAGATTATCCCGGGACATTTGGTGGCGAGGCGCTTTATACCTGGAACTGATACGCTGGACTCTGCACATGGAATTATTTGTCTGTGTTCTTGGAGGTATGGTGCGTGGTCTGGTCCACATTGCTTGCAATCGGGACAAGTTTGAACGCGGATGCCTGTACACATGTTTGGGCTGCGGTGGGTAGATATGCTGGTTTGTGCTTTTGGTGGATAGACAGGTTGGGTGACGCTGCTTTGAGATACGGTTGTGTTATTCAGCTAGCCAGAAGTGGGATGGGCGTGCACGTGGTCGATATCAAATCGATGTGTTTAGTCGAAGTAGTTTAGTGTACTGCTTCCTTGATTGGTGGTTCTGTATATGTGAGGAAATAGATATCTAGGGGGCTCAAGAACGGCTTATATCTTGCAGCTAAGCTGAAATTCACACTTCTATGCTTGAAGAACTGCTAAATTACATTGAAATATCACAGTATCTACGTAGCCACTCCGCTATTCAAGTATCACCAGTATCCTCATCACCAGATCTGTCTCGTTGATTGACCCATAACTTCTTCCTCTTAGTTTCCACATCCTTGTCAAGTTTCTCTTTCGCTAGCCTTCTTTTAAGTCTCCGCTCGTTCGGCGTCAATTTCCCTTCTGCCTTCCTCTGTTCAATTGTCTTCCGCGATGTACAGGCTGCACAATCCCCTTTGTCTCCAATCTGATCGCGCATGACGTATTGACATTCAGGCCCCGAGAACTTTCTTCCTACCATTGAGTCTATGAAGGCTGGACACCGGATCCATTTTGTACGGCCTTGGAGATAGGGATCGTGGGCTTTGCCGCATTTTCCGCAGTCGGGGCAGACCTCGCTGTTGACGCCGATGCACATAGTTAATCGCGGCGAGATGTGATGAATTAGCGGGAAAATTCTTGTCGGCCTGGCAACTGGGTAATTTTTGCGAAGCCGATTTGGTGGCAGAGAATGATATCTCGAAATTGGAAGAACTCCTGTCTGGCTTCGGGCTACGTGGTTTAATCCCAGTCGATGAGCTGAGTGCAGCGGTTGAGTCTGGTAATATCTGCAAATCTCTAGGAAGCTAAACTTATGGGTAGTGTGCTTGAAATACACACTTCACTGGTAGGCTAAGTTTAACTCTTTTACCGTTGAAGAACTGCCATATCACAACGAGCACATGCGATGGTTCAGGCTTGAATGCTCGGAAACAGAACCGTCATGCTTCTTTTCTGGAAAGGAATTGAGTAGATATGTGGAGCTTGAAGTGCCCTTAGAAGAGAATTCAGAAAGACCGGCCAGTCACAGTTCTCAGACGTCAATATTACATGTGAGGGCATGACGAACGCAGGAATCGAGGTGCTGACCTGATCATCACCTTAGTCTCTTCACATACTTGAGTTCGATATCAATACTGTACGTTCAACGAGAAATTCACAATCTTTTTTTTGGAATATCTTCTGGGCCAGATATAAAGTCCTAGATGTGGCCAATGTTCTTAGGCCATCTTCTTGACTACATTTGCCCCGAAGAGACACCAATTTATCACATTATACAGGCAGGCCTGATTTCACACACTTTCCAGTTCAACCTATCGAGTTTCATACTAGTAACATCAGATATCATGGCGGTCGCACATCCAGCCATCGCTGTTCATGTCGCTGTTGATCCACGCACCCAAGGACTTCCTAATGATGACTGTGATACCGATGATGAGTTGTATCATAGCGAAGTCAGCGATGAAGATACTAGAGACAAATCAGAAGACGATAGTGACGTGGAAGAGGCGTTTGATAGCGAGTTTGAAGGTACAGGGGACGACGAAGATGAGCACTTCAATGAAAGCGACGTTGACGGCAGTGACTATGAACGAGCTTCAGACGATGAGACGTCTGAGATCGACAGCGAACATGAAGACGGCGGGTTATCACACTATCAATCTATTAGCAATGTTCAGATACAGCCAGCTGGCTACGCCCAACCAGCTCCCACCGTTCCAGAGACACTGAGACCAGGACCGAAAGGCGGTAATCCGCAGGTAATGCCTCCACAGCAACGCCGAAATTCTAGTCCGAAAACTCAAGTGCATCCATATACGCCTTCTGAATTGCGACAAGCAGATCAGCGCCAGGATATCCCTATTCAACACCAGCGCTTCCAGGATGATGCTCCGTTTCCTCCACAACCTGCGCAAACCTCACTAATAAGCATGCCACCATGGCAGCAGCCCGACCAGTGTTCGATGCAAGAGGAGGGAGTGGAAGATGAACATGAAGAAGAAGTTGAAGAAGCAAAAGGAGAGGAAGAAGGCACCGACGATTATGATGATTTAGCGCTGGGACCGATCGTTCAAGGACAAATGCAGATGCCAGCTCAGAACCAGGTGTTCGAGCAACAACATCAAGAGCAAATGAGACTTGCACTGGCACAGAAGGCTTCAGATGAGCGGATGGCGCAAGAACGAGAAGAGGCCGCAGCCGCGGCAGAAGAAGCGCACTATCAAGCACAGCGACAAGAGATACAAGCTCAAAGACAGGAAATCGACAGGAAACGCCAAGAGAATATGCAAGCCGCTATGCGACAGAAACAGCTGGCGCAGCAGCAAGCACAGGAAGAAGAGGAAGCAGAAGACGAACTCGCAGCACAGCAAGAAGCTGCAGATACTGCGGCCAACGAGGCTGCTCAGCGCAAGTTTGAATATGAACAACGTCAGGAGGCAATTCACATGCAACGAGCGCAGCAAAAGCATACAGATGATGAACTCGCTGCCAGGGAAGATGCGGATTGGGCTGATCAGGAAGCTGAAAAGGCAGGAGCACAGCAGCAGGCCTTCCAGCAACAGCAACAGTGGCAAGAACAGCAAACAGTCGAAGACGATGATGCAGAGTATCAGGCACAAGAACAGGCACAGTACCAACAGCAACAGTTGCAAGAACAACAAAAAGCCCAGGAAGCTGCAGATAAAGCTGCCCAGAAGCAAGCAGCAGAAGAGGCTCGCCAGTTCGCAAAGCAAGAGAAAAATGCGAAGAAGGCGGAGGAGAAGGCACTGAAAGATGAGGAAAGAGCTAGGGAGAAGGCACGAAAGGACGAAAAGAAGGCTGAAGAGAAGGCGCGAAAAGACGAACAGAGAGAGATTGATCGAGAGGAGCGTGACACTCGTCGACTGGAAGACCAGGAGGCCAAACGCGAGAGAAAGGCCGACGATGAGCGGAGGAAAGACCAGCGCGAGATGGATCGCGAAGCCCAGAAGGATAAGCGGGCGAATGATATGGAGATGAAAAGGAAACGAGCAGAAGAAATGCGGGAACGCAAAGCCGAGGATGTCGCTCAGCGACAACAGCAACAGGAAATAGACAGAGAAGCCCGCAAGACTCAAAGAGAACTCGATGCGGCCGAGAAGACACAAAGAGCCCAGGAGCAAGCCGAGCTCAGAGCGGAAGAAACATCTCAACGCGTTGAGGAACGCTCCATAACACAAGAGGCCAGAAAGGCAGAACGAGAGGCCCAGAGGCAGATGCATTTAGCTGAGAAGCAGTCTATGATGGACGATAAGGCTGCCGAAGCTACCCATCGTATGGAAGAACATGCCATGGAGCAAGAAGGAAAGCGTGCTGAGCGGGAAAGCGAGGTCCAGAGACGCCAGGCCGAACTAGAGGACAAGAAGGCTCGACGAGCCACTGAATCTGAGGAGAAAAGGCTGAGAAAGGAGAGCGAAGATGAAGAGCGAGCACACAAGAGGGCGGCTGATCAGGAAAGGAAGACTCATCAACAAGAGGAGAGGCAGCGCATGCAGGAGGAGGAGGACGAGCGACGCATGGAGGCTGACAGTTCCATGAGAAGTCTGCAAGCCGATGGAAAAAGGGCAGCTGGAGGCCATGATTCAGCTCAAGGACAACATAGTCAACAAGACGGCATCTATCGGGGTGCCAATCATGGCCAACAACGAGGAGGACATCCAGATATGCAGCACGGCGATTCCAGAGGTCATGATCACCAAGGCGGAAATTATCAAGATCACACCAAACAAAGACAACAGGGTCGACAAGACAGTCACCATTGGGACGGTAACCATGGTCATCAACAGGGAAGATACCCAGATACACAACGTGGCGATCCTAGAGGTTATGATCATACGGGCGGAAATTATCCGGATCACGCCAAACAAGAACACGGTGGCGGACTACATCAAGCAAGACACCCAGATATGCAGCGCGGCGATCCTAAAGATCCCGGTCACCAAGGTGACAATCATCCAGATCACGCCAGCCATGGACGTAGTAATGAACTATACGGTATGCACAGCATACCTGGACCAGAGCAATACGCAAAGGCGGAGCGAGAAGCACAAGAGGCAAATGCAATAGCAGAGAAAAGGGCAGACAGACAAAAGAAGAAGGAGGAGGCGAAGAAAGCCAAGGCTGCGCAGAACCCTAGTACCCCGAATGCCCATGTTAAAGGTGCCCACGACGGAAAAAGCGCGATTGCAACCGATGCCCAACAGCAGCCTGGCATAGATCGAGAGTTGGTCTTGCAGCTGAGAGCTGCGAGGAAAAAGGCAAAGAAGGCAAGCAAGACCGCGGGGAATGACGCCAATTCTCAACACAAGAGCGCAGGGGAACCGGTTAAGGAAGGCACAGACGTCGCGCAAAAAGATGCTGCTAAACAACCTGCGGGTACGGAGGCTGAGATCAAGAAAAATCGGGCCGAGAGGAAAGCAGCGAAGCGAGACAAGAAAGCCGCGAAGAAGGAAGCTAATGCCCAGAAAGAGGCTGCTGTCTCGAGTGCCAAAGATGGCAACACGACTAAAGATCAGAAGGGCGCAGATGGTCCAACCAAGGGGAAGCAGAGCGCAGAAGACAGCGCAAAGACTAATCAGAAGATTGCCAACCAGACAATTACCAACCGGACGATCAACAACGGACAGGGTACGGACGACAAGACCGAGAAAGGATCCCCGACGAAAGATATCATCGAGAAGAAGAGATCCAAAAGAAAGGCTAAGAAAGAGCAGAAGGATGCTGAACATAAGAAGAGTGAGAATGGTGGAACGACGTCAGACAGTACAGACGCAGACTCCAAAGTCGCCAAGAAGAAGGCTAAGGATGAGCAGAAGGAGGCGGATGCAAAGAAGAAAGCTGAAGCGAAGGAAGCAGCTTTGAAACTGAAAATGGCGCACAAAGCTGAGAAAGCTAACGAGAAGAGCGAAAAGAAGGCGGATGAGAAGGCTGCTAAAGAAGTTGTTCCATTTACCAACAAGCATGCCGATAATTCTGGGGAACCAAGTGCTGCGAAAGCTGAGAAAGAGGCTAAAAAAGAGGAAGAGGCCCAGGAGAAGCTTGAGGCCAAACGGCTCGCATCTGAGAAGAAGCCGCACGACAAGGAGGAGAAATCGAATCACAAGTCTCTCATAAAGCATGAGTCCTCTGATGCCAAGAACGCCGACAAAGCAGAGCAGCAAAGACAGAAGCTCGCAGCAAAAGAAGCGGCCAAGAACAAGGAGACCGAAGCAAAGCAACTCGCAATAGACAGCAGGCCACATGAGGAGGAGCAGAAGCCGGATCACAAATCCAGCGCGAGTAGATTCCGTTCGCATGAAAGCCATACACAGACCTCTGAACATCGACAAGTTAGCATATTCAGATCGAGCGCGAAACATGAGGCCTCGGATACCAAAGAGGCCGACAAGGCGGAGCGACGGAAGCTGAAGACAGCAGCCAAAGAAGCCGCAAAGGGACAGAAGCTCATAATGCAAGCCGAAGCAAAGGAACAAAAGCTCATCATGCAAGCCGCAGCGAAGGAGCAGCGTACAGCCTTTAATAAAGCCACAAAAGAACAGAGGCTCACAACGCAGGCCACCGCCAAACAAGGAGCCGCCGCACGAAGAGAGGAAGAAAAGGAAGAGAAACGAAAGCAGAGAATAGAAGCCCGGTCAAAGACTGATCAACCGAAACAAGAGCAAAGTCTAGTCAAATACGAAAAGAGAGAGCAAGATGAAGCTGCTAAGAAACAGCAGAAGCAAAGGGAAGAGGAAGAGAAGCGCAAGAAGAAGGAGGAAGCCCACGCCGAAGCAGAGCGGCGGAAAGCAGAACAGGCGAAGCTTAAAGCAGGAGAAGAAAAGCTTAAAGCCGAGCGGAAAGACAAGGAGAAAGCTGCAAAGGCAGAGAAGGCTAGTCTAGCAGCAGCTGAGAAGGAGGAGAAGAAGAAGCAGGCTACAGCCGAGGCAGCTCGTCGAAAAGCAGAACAGGAGAAGGCCAAAGCTCAGCAGAAAGAGAAGAAAAAAGCTACAAAGACAGAGAAGGAGAAGGACGCCGCGTTTGAGGCAGAGCTTACTATGGAGCTTAATATAGATCAGAAACAATGGAAGGTGGAAGAAGAGAAAAAGACACCTTGGCAAAGGGAATATCAGAAGATGGCGGATGAGGATCACAAGATCAGATCCGGACTTGATACAGAGTATGAGCATTATAAGCATGAAGAGGAGAGGAAGAAGGATAGCTTAGCAGCAGCTCACCAGAGGAAGGAACAGGAGAAGTTTGCTAAACAGAGGCAACATGACAGGGAGAAGACGTTGGCTGCTCAAATAAAAGAGGCGAAGAAGAACGCTGCGAAGAGTGCTGCGAAGAGTGCTCCGAAGCCGGCGACAAAGGCCAGGCCTACAGGTGTAAGGAAGGCTGCCCCTGCTGGGAGGCGAAGGTAGATGCCAGGTCGAGACTGTTCGGTAGAGGATATAGCAATGATGTACTGGTGGCATGCAGGTTCTTCCGCGATATAACCGGCGTCTTTCTATCCTCCAGACTTCCGTGTGTAAAGTACTCCACGCCTAAACCGCACTCCCACCAACTCTTACAGTTCCCCAATCCTCCCTACTCACACTCCTCCAAACTCTTCTTATACTCCTCCCACAACTCCTCAACCCCCTTCCCACAACACCCCTTCCACAACACCTCCCCATCATACTTCTTCTCCCTCAACCCCTCATTCAACCTCCTAACAACATCCTCACCATGCTCCTTCTCCAGCCACTCGAGGAAGTATCCCGTCCGCTCATACCCCGCATCCCACTGACAATCCCCATGCCTCTTCCAATGCGGCGGCGCAAACCCCGCCTTCAACCTCACCCAATCCGCCACACCCTCCGTCAACCCCGTCGGCGCACTCCCAAACCCACTATGCTGCCAGCAATGCACCATTTCATGCACAAGTACGCCTAGAATCTCTTCTTTCTGCCGCGACTCAGGCACGTGCGAGATGTAAGACGTGTTGAGGTGGATTTCCTTGTGGTCATCGTCGAGGTCGAGGCCGGTTGTGTATGCAACTCCGTCCATTTCGCGGAGGACAAGGGTTACAGAACGCGTGCCTGGTATACATGTTTTGGGGAGCCCGCTGTAGAGGTGTGTGAGCACGGTGGCGACGGCGTGTTCGAGCGCGTGCGACGCGTGCGTGAGGCGCAGGAAGGCGCGGGTGCCATTGGAGGAGAGGTCGCGGAGTTCGAGGCGGAGGAGGGGTTTTCGAGACGGGGTTACGGCGTCGGTGACGAGTGGGAGCTGAGTTGTCGGGTCGGCGAGGGTGGTCGCGTCGGTGGTGGTGGTGGTGTTGAAGGGATGGGTTGGGGGAAGTGCGGAGGACTGCGGGGCGGGTGGGGTGGACGAGGTTGGGGTAGTTGATGACATGGTCTGGTATTGCTTTGTTGTCTTCATTGATTATCTCTGTACAAGATATGGAGGTTTCTTTTATGGAGGAAGAGTTGGAGGGTTGTTGCTGCCTAGATGTGGTGCTATGGTACGCAAGAGCGACGGAGACGTGCACCTGGTCCTCGGCGAACGATAAGATACCGAGCCACGGTAACCGCAAGGCCTGGTTCTTATCATACCAAACAGTTCGTCTAGATTTCCTGACCTTCTATATTTCTTCAAGTCTAGTCTATCGTCTAGTCGTAATCATCATTGTCGTGGAGATCTGCAAGTACGTATGATGTGACCGTGCGGACCCCAGTCTATCGCTTAACCCAATCAATTGGGTCTATGCAGCTTCTCACGAACTTTTGAACACCTCTGGAAAGACCTTCCGTAGCTCCTGTAAGCTTCTGATCTGGTACTTGCTGGCTGGCTGAGCAGGTGCGGGATCTTTCTCGTCAAGCAGATGCGCCGTCTTCCATCCACGTCCCTCTGCTGCCTTGCAGTTGATGTACGAGTCGTCTGAATTAAATTATTAGCGAGCTATTATGATATGAGATGCTATGGGCACTCACCGACGAAGTAACACTTCTCGTTCGACTTGATGCCAGCCTCCGCCATCGCCTTGTCGTACATCTCCACATGTGGCTTGCAGTAGAACTTGTCTGAGCCATAGTCGCAGAAAGTGATACCCTCGAAGAGATCGTCAATCTGCAGAAGCTTGACGACGCGCTTGCCATGGGTGATATAGGCGTTGGTAAAGAGCCATAAGCGGCACTTGCTTGTGTCGATATCCTCGATCAATTTGCGCAATTCGGGGTTGGGCTTGATAACGTCTTCTAGTGGTAGCGCGTCGTCGACTTTGCTGTTGTACTCCAGTGCATTGACTTTGTGGTGTCGGACGAGCCCTTCAATCGCGAGACCGTATTCACGGTAATAGCGGTAGTGGAGTTCATTGGCGTCTTCTTGGGACAAGCTAAGGTGATTCTGGAAGAATTGGTCGATCAACTCAGCCATCATCCGGTGAATTTCAAGGCTCTTGGGATAGAGGCAGTTGTCGATGTCGAAAAAGAAGACTGGCTTCTCGTTCTCGTCCACCGCAGCGGTGTTGTTTGCTGTTGAGTCATGCTGAGGTTGTGACCGGTACTCCATGGTCTCTGGCGGTGCTGCTGTGTTGAACGACATGGGTCCGATTATTTTGATACCAGACAAACACTCGAGATGATGATTGATTTCGGATATCGAAAGGGTGGGATATACGTGTCTAGGGAAGTGGCGCTGAAAGATTCCAAAGGTTGTCTGCTCAGTGTAAGCTTAGACTATGACGCTTACGATATGGTATTAGCGTTATACCTTGCTGCAGTATCACAGGACAAAAGAAAGTCAACATTCACTGTTTCTTCCAGATAGATGCGATTGCTGCATTCACAGTTGAAGAAGTCGTGATGAGATACATGGAGAAGTCACCATCTCCTTCGGGTTAGCGCTGGTACTGGCGCGTGCACCTGCTGAAAACCGAAACGCGCCGTGGCTCCGACATTCATTGCCCACTCGCTGGCGTGTTGCTCTACATACACTCATTCCCCCTTCATCATCTTCTCACCCCGCGCAGCCGTGGGTTTCGCCTGTATTTGTATAATCGCCAGTCTTGCGCTCGCTTGTTGGTGTTCAGTACTAAAGTCAGTTCGCGTCTGTTGTGATGGCAGCGCCAATCGCTTCAATGTCGACAGCCGCAGCGCCGTCGCATTTGAACGGTGCCAGCGCAGTATCTGCAGAGGTGCTTCGCGAGGCCGAGTTCCTCCAGAAGATTTTGCAGATACGCGACCAAGTGCTTGCTAGCCAACACCCGCGTATTCATCTTCCACCCAAAGTAATTGAACAGGTTGCACCGCGTCTTCCGCAGACTGCCTCTAGCAGACCCACCACCAACGGCACACCCAACGGATCTTCATCGCAGCTCTTTCCTCCGCGACCAGCATCTTCAGCACGCCCTCCCACGTCTCCTATACCCCCTACACAACGACCCTACTCGGCCAAGTCTTCCTCTTCGAGCATCGATCCCATCTTGCTCACAAAATCCGAACACCTGGTCAAGGCGGAACAGCAGCTCAAGCGGCAGCAGATAGAACGCGCACTGAAGGACCAGTTCGATAAAAAGGGCCGTGGCAACGATGCAGACGAGCGAGAAGCTCTCATCGATGTCGAGCAGTGTTTGATCAAGGCCCACCAACTGGTCCCGCCTGTGTCTGGCTTACCGTCTGCGACTAACAACAGCGACGATGTGGAGTCATTTGACGAGAACTCGTACTACTCTAGCAAGGCGAACAGTTGGTCCTCAGAGGATGTTGATCACGCTGACCACACGCATGCTGATGCAGCCCCACTGACTTCACAGGCGCAGCCCACAGCTCAACAAGTGAATGTCCACTCTCGCCCAGCCGAGCCTACTGTAATCGACCTTGACGAAGAGGCTTATGAGCCGGCCGATGACATAGAAATCTATGAACCCGAGCCTGCACAGCTGCATGAGGAAGGCGAAGAAGAGGAAGACTACTCTCCACCCCCAGCTGAGATCGGTCCAAGCGAGCCTCTGAGGGGTCGGCAGCGCAACCGCCATGGCGGTACGAACGGGTATGCTACTATAAGATCTCTTTTCTTCTCACTTTCATTTTCTTTTCGCGCATTGCGTCAGCGACCTGCTTCGCAACAGGTTCGTCTATCTAGGTTGTGGCATAACCCTGAGTTTGGTAGCGAGTGTCGCTGTATTATGGGTCATAATCTCTGCTGCCTTGAGATCACTCCTAGCTGTCCTTGCGTCTCTCTGTTCCAGTTTCCAGTTTTCTCTTCTCTTTTCCTTCCTGTAATCATGCTAACGTTTCGTAGATCACGCCGTCAAAGCCCGACCGGTCCGGCAGCACCAGTTCACAATCCCCGCAAGCGAAGACGGGAAGAGAAACGCGAGCGCGACGAGAAAAAGCGTCAGCAGCAGGCCAACAAACGCGTTGTCAACTCGCCAGAACCGTACATCAAGGAAGAGCCGCAATCACCACCTCCGTTTACGGCTTATCCCGACTCACAACCTAGTAAGCGTCGTGCGCTACAGCCTCATCCCGATGAAGTAGAGCTTGTTTCTGCGCAAGGCAGCCCCAGAACACAGCCCGTCTACTACCGCGACCCGGAACCTATGACACGTTCCTACCGCGAGTACGACGAGCCCTCGTCTCCGACCGTCATACGCACGCCGCAGCGCAAATCACTGCGCGATGAGCAGGACCTCAGGCGGGTCGCAAGTCTACAATACGCACGACGCCCTTACTCGCCGGGTGGTGGTAATGAGATTTACGCAGCGCCAGAGCCTCGCCAGATTCGCGCAGCATCCCACGCATTTGTCGACCGCGTCGAGGCGCCCATGTACCGCGAAGCCTCAGCTCGCCCATCTGCTGCACCGAGATACGTACGCGAACGTTCGCGATCACCTATACATGAGTATATGCCAGCTCCGCAGCTCATGGCTCCGCCGCCACGCAGAATTGTGGTAGATCAGTTTGGAAACAAGTACTATGCGGCACCAGTGGATGCGCGAGAGTCGATGGCGCCACCTAGCAGACGAGTGGAGGTTGAGCCATACTACGAGCGTGCTGTGACACGGGAGCCCACAATGCGTGCACCGGCACGGGCAGAGATGTATGAGGAAGAGTCTGTTCAGAGAATGCCTCCGCCTCCTCGGCGATATGTCGAGGCGTCGGAGCCTGAAATGATCGAAAGCCCGTATAGGCAGAGGGAGCCCTCTCGCCGTCCTGTAGAGGTGGAATATCGCGCTGCGCCACAGTACGAAGAGATGGGCCCGCCACGAGAGTATGCGTCTGCGCGGTCGTACAGTATGCGGCCAGAAGTTGTTCGACGAGAAGTGCCTGAAGGATACGTCCGACACGAGAGCATACAGCCGTCTGCTGTTCGCGCTTCACAGCCTCGATTCCGTGAGGTCAGTGTGATGCAGGAGCCTTTCGATGAGCGTCGCTATGTTGGCGCACCTCAGAGCAGGCGATATGTTGAAGAAGGACCCATGGAGGTTGCTTCGGAGCCGTTTGTTGGCGAGCCGCTGCCGCGTCGCTCGTACATGCGCTATTAGCATGGTGGAAGTGTAGCTGTAGGATACTTTGGTTAGTGTTTGAGACGAAGAGAGGAATTAGCCTTGTAAGAGATGTAATAGTCTGTAGAATTGACTAGGCACTGTTGATGCAGTGTATTCACTTCATGCAATTCGATAGTATCAGACGCGACAAAAAATATGCAACTCAGTGACTCGATGCAGCAGTGTCTCAGTGCCGCATCCGCGCAGGACGCTTCTCGGCTGTGGTGCCGACTAGAGGGTGAGATTTGCCTGATTGAGTCTGGCGAGCGGACAGCCGTCATCGCACTGCAGGGGAGACGTAACCACGCTCTGGGCTCTGATACCAAGAGATGCGCAGAGGCAAGCTCTCGAGGTAGCGTTTGGGCGATTTCGTCACACATACTGTTTCTCCCGCAACCGAGCTTGTTTGATGCGTGTGGGGTGGGTTGCGTGGAGGGTGGTGAGCGACGACGGTGTGCTGTATTCTAGACTTCTATTCTTACTCGGACATGGCATGATGGTGTAATAGCCAGCCTTGTCGGAGCGTCAGCTATGCTCGTTTAGCGATAGGCTCGTGGGCGCTTGCGACAACCACACGACGCAGCACACTCGCAGCATACAGCGCAGCACGCATTGCCTGAGGCGAACAGCGCACGATACACGACCAGAAGCAAAAAGCAGAGCAGGTGCAGATTCAAGGGACCAATCTCGCAGTCGTGTGTTGAGTGCGAAGGGGTGAATGGCTTCTTTTTGTTCCACCATGATCAGGCCCACTAAAGCAGCGGCGCGCGGCCAATCAACAGCGCGCACCGCCTCGCTCGACAGCTGCTTCCCTCTCCAGTCTTCCAAGGTTCCTCGTCCACCTTCTTTCCTCCCACCACCTCCCGCCCGCCAACACCTAGGGCGTCTCCTCACCCACCATGCACAAACTATCAAACTTCCCGGCACAGGCCCGCCACGGCTGGGAGAAAATGGCCCCGTCGACGGCCTTTTCCTTCTCGCGGTCCAACCACGAAATGCCCGTCTCCGCCCCGATCAAGCGTCCCTCGACGGCCACGTCCGCCCCGCCCGTCATCGCGCCCGGCACCCAGGTCAACCTGTCCTTCAACGTGCCCTTCTCCTCTAACCTCGCCGGCCCCGACCCGGACGACATCATGTGGGCGAGCCCGGGGGCAAAGGCGCGATGGACTCATCCGGAAGGCACGGCAGACCAGACGCCGACACACAAGCTGCCCGTCCACGCCCAGAACGTCGACAACCTGCGGAACCTGTGCAGAGAAGTGAGCGAGCAGACTGACGGACGCGTTTCGGCCAACGTGACGTCGGCCGAGTCGAAGCCACTGCCCGGCCTGCAGCGGGGCCCATTGCGGGCGCTCGTCACCAACGTGTGCCTGTCGGGCGAGCTGGAGATTGTCAACTCGATGCGCTGCCGCATCCTCAACTCGACGCCCATCTCTCTGGTAGGCTGCTGATGCTGCGAACTCCGCCTCTAGACCACATGCTGACGTCTTGGCACAGCGATCGTCTTTTGTCGATATTGACTCGCAGCTCATCATCGACCCGCCGACACAGAACGTCAGAGGCGCCGTGCTCAACCAGCTCGACCTCATCTCCAAGGCCACCAAGGCCGACATCTTCCTGCTCATGCCCAAGCAGCCTGACATCGAGACGGCCAGCTTCCATGGCAACATCGACACGGGCATGGACCCGCGCCTGCGCTGTGCCATCTACGGCGACCTCGAGACCATGGAGCACGCGAAGACGCGTGTGCTGATTATGATCGACCAGATCGTGAGTTCTCAGAGCCCCACAGATGCCCGCTAGCGCACCATGCTAATTCGATGCCGTCACAGCTCAAGCGAACCGTCGATACCATGAAGCTCGAGCTCACCATGCACACTCTGATATGCGGACGCGGGCGCAAGAACATCAAGATGATCGAGTCTGCCACGGGCACCGCCATCTACTTCCCCCCGCCCTTCCCTCGTCTGTTCGGATACACGCCGCCCGGTGCTCAGCGAAGGCCTGATGACCTAGTATACATTACGGGTGAGAACTCGGAGAATATACTGCGCGCCAAGCAGCGTCTGCACGATCTAGTCATGTCCACCAAGGTATTTGTGAAGCCTGTCATGGTCACTGATACCAAGCTCGATGCCATCTTGCTCGAGCGTCTGGACAAGGTGCGCAAGATCATCGAGAACAACGGCTCGTACATCCTACTGCCCCCTCTTGGCGTTCAGCGTGGTGTTGTGCGTGTTCAAGGCACTGATGTCTTGCATGTTGAGCGAACTGTGCGCGAACTGATGCAGCTTGTAAGTTCGGCATATTTTTCATCTTGGATCTATACTAACAATCCCCAGGCCGGCCAATTCTACAGTGCCTCGTGGTTCATTACCCACCCTGACCCCACACAGCGCCCACCCACACCTGCCGACGTTCGCGCCATGCTCTCCGATATCTGCATCAACTCTGGCGCCGAGGTCAGCTTCGAAAAGCTCAACTTCCACATCTATGGATCCGACGATGCTGTCAGAGCTGCACTAATGGTCATCAGCAACATTCCCTTCGTGAAGAAGTCGCAGTACAACATGAGCGTCAAGATTGAGCTGGCCAACGAGCACAAAGAGTTCGTCAGTGGTAAGAAGAACGGCAAGATCAACAAGATCATGAGCCACAGCAGTGTGCAGATCGTCTTCGATGGCTTCAACGAGTACAACTTCTACATCGTAGTCCGCGGTGCCCAGTATGAGGCTACTAAAAACGGTCTAGACCTTGTCGAACAGGAAATGCCTGCTTCCATTTCCTTCCATGTCCCTGATCAGTACCACAAGCGCATCATCGGCATCGGTGGTCAGCACATTCAGCGCATCATGAAGAAGTACTCTGTCTTCGTCAAGTTCTCCAACGCCATGGACCGTGGCGGCTTTGGTAAGGAGGAAGATGACATCAAGGTCGACAACGTCATCTGTCGCACCCCTGCGCGTAATGCTCAGAATCTCGACTTGGTCAAGCAAGAGATCATGGACATGGTTGAGAAGGCCGACGCCGAATTTGTCTCGGAGACTATCAACATCAACCGTCTTTACCATCGCGAGCTTATTGCTCGTCTAGACAAGATCGATGAGTTGGAGAAGAAGTTCAACTGCAAGATTACATTCCCTAGCACTGAGGAAGCCAGCGACATTGTTACAGTGTCCGGTCCTGAATATCAGGTACCTTTCGCAGTTGACGAGTTCTTGGGTATGGTCCCGGAATCTCATGATCTCGCCTTCCCATCTACCACGGAACTCAGCGAGCACATCCGCTCAGCCGAGTTCAAGGCTGAGATACTTGACAAGCTCAAGACCCAGCACGAGGTCGATGCCCAGCTTCAGCAAGCGCAGACCGAAACTGTTGACGGCAAAGAAGAGACGATTGAAGCCTTCCACATTGTCTTCACCAGAAACAATGCTGGAGGACTCAAGGATGCCATTGATTTCTTGCTTAACCACCTAGTCATGCATGGTCTTGACACTAACACTGTTCGTGGAGCTCTTCCACGTCCCAAGTCGGATTCTTTCGAAGACTCTCTACCATTCTTTGAGTCCAAGCTGCTTCAGCGCGCAGAGCCAGCTGTCGACAGTACCGACTCGCCTACCCGCTCTCACTTTGGTGATGATGAGCCTCGTGGTATGCTCGACCGCCTCCGCAAGCCAGGCAGCATGTCGTCCTTCACGTCCATTTTCAACGGACGCAAAAATACCAACTCACCAGGATCCCTTTTCAAGCACGCTTCGAGCAATGCTTCCAAGGCATCCCTCGCCAGTCTGGAATCCACCGGTAGCTACCGTAACCCGTGGAATGACAGCGGCATCAACCTCGCGGACGACGAGCACCACAACAACGGCTGGCCCATGCCAGCACCTCGTTTCGAGTCCAAGTTTCCTTTTGGTTCCTCTTCGGCGGCGCCTGGGGACGTGACCCCTAGGTACGACCCGCGGGGCTCCGTGGACAGCGGGCGCCCCAGTACTTCTCATTCTGCATCTGGATACCCGGCCCCTATTGGGCCTCCTCGTTAAGTGATACACCAATCTCGAACCATTTATTTGATACCACTACTGTAACCGGCCTTTAACGACGAATACCCCGCTACGCGTTCATTGTCTCTTGTACGTGTGCGACGACAAAAGAATTATACCCCCTCCTACTCTACGGCGAAATATCCCACGTCAAAAGCCTAGCCTGGCTGGTGGTTGTTGTTGCTGTTTGCGTTTTCTGTATTGCGTTTGTCTTTTTGCTTGTTTACGGGCGTTTTCCTCCTCATTGTTGCTTTGCTTTGCTGAATGATTCCCCAAATTACGGCGCAAAAAGAATATATACCAATTTGCTGCTTTTGTGGATTTGTTGCGTTTTTGTCGTTCGTTCGTTGTGCGCTCACCACCACTGAGATGAGAGGAGGAAGGGATATACGATGGGACGATGATACCCCCCTGCCGGCACTGCCTGCCAGCCAGCCGTCGTGAGACGGGCACACTGGTGGGCTAACGATTTGGTGTATGGGTAGAACATTTGGGTCTTTGGTATAAAACACAGGGGGTTTAGGTGTGCTGGCTCAATGTAACGAGCGGATTTCCTCCTACTCACTCTCTTTTCTCTCCACTCTCCTTGTTGAAGAACATGGGAATGCTGGAGGTGTGAGGGTATTTGATAGATGAACGAAAGGCACATTTACACCCCATCATCCTTTACCTTTGCTTTCGCTCTGTGATGCGTGTTTTTAACCAAGGTGAGGATGCCTTACGGCCACGATAAGAACATTGTCCCTACAACGAGCATGAGCATGAATCCTGGAAATACCTTTCACGCATTCTTCGCAAGATGGGCAGATGGCAAGGTCTATGAGAGTTGGTGGAATGCGAAGAAACGGGCACAAGGAGTTTTCCAAAGGCAAGGTGCTGAGATACCGAACAACTTAGGGCACAATCAGCTTATTTTTCATAGCGATTTAGTGGCTAAGAGAGACTCGTGAGGTTGTGTTTCCAACTGCATGATCACATGTGCTGTACAAGCATGGCGTGACTACGGCTTCTGATTATTCGGAATTCTCATGAGTTACATGGCAACTCTCCGCTACTCGAGGACAAGACAGGCACAATACACAATCAGACATTCTTGAGTGTTATTCTTGGTCACTTGGACCGATTTGGATGTTCATTCAAGGTACAAAGCCTTCTGTTGGGATACTGTTAACTACCCTCATCTTTGTCCGTCACTGAGTAGTGTTCCCGCCATTATGCGTCGAGCTATAGGTAGCATCGTGTGATACAGCACTGTTCAAACAAACAGATAAAACAGTACAAGTCCAAATCACTCGACGCACTAGTCGTCGAGCTCCTTCAGAGAATCGAAACGATTCTACCGCTTGGTCTTCTTCTTGGCGGCGACGACCTTGAAGTTGCTCGAGTCGAGAGGTTGCTGCACCTGTTGCTGCTGGATAGTGCTAGCGCCACCCTTCTTGGCGACTTCAGACCAGCCACTACCTGCGGCCTTGTTCTCGGCAGGAGAAGCAGTGTTGCGTTCGTCGATGATGCCCTTGTCGGCGAGCTTGCGGCGGCGGAGGAACTCTTCAGCGAAATGGCGCGAGTCGAGCGTGTTGGAGGCAGAGTGCACGGATTCAGTGATCAACTCGGCGTCGGCTGGGAAACTGAGGAGTGAGGAGACAAAGTCTTCGGCTACGGAGAGTTAGTGTGTTGTACGAAGCATTGCTTGAACGAATACTTACCATTAATACCCTTATTGAGGTCATGACGAAGCTCGTTGACAGCCCACTTTCGGAACTCCTCTTCAGCGTTGAGCTTCCCAGATTGTCCTCCCATCGTGGCACTACGCGTGACAGCGGGCTTCTTGGCAAGCGATGGTACAATGGTTGAGCTAGCGGAGCGAACAGCGGCAGGCACAGGAGTGGTGGTGCCTCCTGGTGTCTTCACCTTACCACTTGCACCGACAGTGGTCCAGGCAGTACTGCCAGCAGGCATAGCAGCGGCCAGCACAGGGGTGCTCTTGCTTGCCAAGTCAGCATATCGCTTACCACCCGATGCAGCCGGAGCGGCGGCACCGAAGGCGTTCGCAGCTGCAACAGCCTGTGCAGTAGCTCGTTGCTTTCGAGCTTCCTCTTCCTTCTGAATCTGCTGTAGGGTCTTCTTGGAACTAGCTGTTGGCTGTGCGGCGACCTTGGTGGCAACAGGCTTAGTCCAAACAGACGCATTGGTCGCACTGGGCGTTACAGGCGACGCACCGCTCGCCCAGGTCGAGCTTGAAGGCAGGCCAGGTTGGACTGCGGGTGACTGGTTCTGAGCTTGCATCTCCTTCTCAAAGGCCTCACGGCGAGCTGCTGCCGCGGCAGCCTCACGCTCTGCAGCCTTCTTGGCTTCCATTTCTTGAATCTCCCTCAATGAGGGTCCACGAGATGCGTCAACAGGCTCCTTCGCCCACGGAGCAATGGACACACTGGGAGTGTCGGCAGCAGGAGTTGCCGCACCCGAACGGGACTCAGTGTTGAGATTTTCAGCAACGATGGGCTTTCGCTGAGCAGCTGGGGCAGGAAGCGGAGACTGTGATGGCGGTGGCGGGAACGGGAAGATGGCAGGCTCGACCTTGTTCCATGCGGCTGCAGGTTGAGGGGAATGCTTCGCGGAAGCAGCTTTCTGAACCTGTTCAGTAAGTGACAGGGTCTCTTGACCAGCAGCATGTCCCTCGTTGTGCTGCTCGACTTGATGGTCTTGTGCTCCATGTTCTTCGGGAGATGCAGGTTCAGATTGCTCCTGCGATTGTTGAGCAGACGGGTTTGAAGGCTTTCCAATAACACCTTCGGGTGGAGGAGCTGCCTTGGACGATTGTTCCATGTCCGTTTGGACTCGCAAGTCCTGGAATTCTGCGAAACGCTCGGCAAAGTTGCGGGCATTCTGCATGTCTTCAGGGCCACCCGGGCGAATCGTGGCGTCATGCTCAGCTTGCTCACGCTTGAGTCGAGCACGGTCGCCAATCACGGAAGCCATGTATTGTGCGTGCGCATCAGAGTCTTGCTGCTGTCCGAAGGCAAATGGAGGCTGGTTGTTGCGTCCCAGGTTGAGACGGTCCATCATGCCGGGCATGTCTTGGTCTCTCCGGTTGCTCAACATATCCATACCGGGGCCGATAGGACCCAGACCCGGGACAGGGCCGGGACCAGATCTGAAAGTGTTGTCCATAAGCCCTGGGACAGACGCTCCTACTGTGGTGCCATGGGTAGGCGATGGCTGATATCCACCTGGAGATGTGATACTACCAAAGCTTGGTTGGCTATGTAGGCTCTGCGCGCTGGAGTGATGATTGAGCTGATTTGGCAAGACTCCCCCCATCTGAACCTGACGGGCAAGCGCTTGTTGCTGCTGAGCCAGGTGCTCTTTTTGGCGAGCCATGAGATACTGCTCCTCTTGCTTTCTGCGCTCGAGGGCATTCTGTTGTTCGGCAGTAAGGGTGGTTCCAAAGCTTGGGAAACTATTCGCGAAAGGAGGCTGGGCACCTGGAGCGGCAGCAGTACTAGGGCCAGCACCTGCCCAAGAGTTGCCTGGCTGAGACGTTGCGGGGCCATGCGGAATACCGATCTGAGGGACCAGGAAGGGCTCACGGGAGTTGCCGATTCGCCGGATGAGCTGAGCCAGAGGTTCGTAATCGGGCTCTTCAGCCTTCTTCACCAGCAGCTCAGGCGAGAAGAAGCCAGCCTTGTACCAGTCGTGCATCTCCAGGCCGGAGAACGGTCCTTGAACGTTGCCGGAAGGGTCGCGATAGATCCACCTCATCCTGTCGGGCATAACCATCATCCGCTGCTGAGGCACAGGTGGTTGACTAGAAGCTGGACTTCCAACGCCTGGCGTCGATGGCTGTGCGGTCCTAGTCGGGTTGAGAGCGGCCATAGAGAGCGACGTGGTAGCCATATTCGGAGGTTGTCCAGACGAGCTATGATCATCATGATGGGCATTGGAGAAATCTTCAAACAAATTGCGGTTTGCGCGGAACGGGCTTTCAGTGTCACGGGCTGGTGCCTGTCCACCAAACGCATTCCTGCCAAAGGTACCAGTCATGCTGTGTTGCCGGTCGCCATGCGAGGAGTTATCGTCGGCGTGCCCTCTGTTCGGGTCATTGGATCGCATCTGTTCTTGCATCGAGGGCGGGAACAGAGAGCCAAGCCTACTGGAACGGCCTACTGTGGCATGACCGAACAGCGAGCTGCTACCCAGACCAGCCAGAGAGGGCGACTGAGCCTCGCCAACATTTCCGAAAGCACTGTCAAAGCCACCCAAGCCACCGCGTTCGCGAGTCGGAGTGCCCATAGTGTGGTGCCCAGTAGGCCAGGCTGCAGACCCTCCTAGACCAGGCAGGCCACCGAGCCCAGGCAAAGTTGGGAATCCTCGAGCGGGACCAACACTGGAGGTTTGGCTGCGATCACTAGCTGCAGTTTCGAATGGTGCAGACACTTTTCCCAACCCTCCAAGCCCACCAAACGCGTTGTGAATGCTCGAGTGAACAGACTGGTCGATATGGAAGCTACTCATACCAGGGAAGTGTGCGTTCTGGTCGCCGGAATCGTCCGAGTCGTCATTGTGCTGATCTCGTGCGTGGTGTGGGCTCTGGTATGGATTCGTGTCCGTCGGGCTCATCGGCTCGTTGCCTCGTTGAGGCGATTGATCCGTGAAGTTATTCCTGTTGTACATGTCGCGAAGACCAGTGTCGGCAGTCGTCATCCCAAATGCGGATAATCCAGATTCGTCGCGGTGGTCGGGGCGGTGGGGCGTTGCGAAATTGCCGAAGCCTTGTGGCCGGGGCGGGCTAACGTCTTCGCCGCGCAACGCAGCACTGCCAGTTGGATGGTCGTCTTCGGGGAACGGATCTGTGTCGTTACTCATTGGCCTGTTGGTGCGAGATTCCATCCACGAACCGCCTGCCTTGGAGGACTCTGCCTCGCTTAGCCTGCCCAAGTTGCTCATGGAAGCTTTCTCTTTCGGCCCGTTCCCGAAGTCCTCAATGCTCGGCTTGCCCATCAATCCCTTAAATCGACTTTCACCACGCAAACTTCCGTAGCCGGGCTTTTTCTCTGACTGCGGCGCTGCAAAGCTTCCAAAAGCGCCAAACCCACCACCAGGAGTCGCGGACCAGGGCGAGGTACCACCACCTGGGCTGAAGGGTGCGGTAGTTGTGCGCTTTGCAGAGCCAAATGCACCAGCGCCGTCGGCCCCGCCTTTTTCTTTTTCACGCTCCTCACCGGGGCGACCTTCTACAGGCTCCTTATAGTCTGTCCGACGGCGTACGAGGGCGGGCGGTGGTGTGACGGCACTGCCTTCTTCGCGCGCGAATCGTGAGGTGGCGGGCGACGAGGGGAACGGATACGCGTCACTGGTATCGCGGCGGCGGGTACCTGGGCGCGCGCTCGTGGGCGAGGAGATTCCGTAGGGAGTGCCTGGGCCTTGCGACACAGACGTCTTCCGCAGCGAAAGACCTTCCTTGGGAGTACCGTCTTTGTTCTGCGTGGGTGGTTTGAGCGGCGAGTTGACAGACGAATGGAAGATCTAAGCGAAGAAGCGCGCGTTAGTGTATGCTAGGAAGGTGCGCTGGGGTGAGTTCCTACTTCTCTCTCATCGTCGGTCATGTCGGTCAGGCTGAGTGGCAATATGCTACCGTCTCTGTCCCAGCACTGGTCGACCCCGCTCGGCGCCTCTCTCTCCCTGCCGTGATCGTCTTTGCGGCCCCAAGAAGCGCTCGAAGCACCATTCGTAGCATGAGGCTCCCATCCACCCATGTACAAACTAGACAGTCCATCGTTGAGGTCACTCGACGCTTGTTGTATCCGGAACAGCTGCGTCAATTGATCCCGCGAGTAGCGACCCTCGAACGAGCTGCCATTGCGGCCAGGCTGTGCGTGGGGCGGGACATATACGCCGGCGCTGGTAGACGGGTTCTGTGGCGCGGCAGGGTCTCGTGAGGATGAGTGGTTCGTTGAGCCGGAGAGGCTTGTCGCGTGTGAAGGTCGGCGGAATGTTTGCGTGGCACCGTTGGTACGTCGAGCCCTGGTTTCCGGGATTAGTTGGGGAGCCATGATGGTAACGAGGGATGTAATGAATGAGAAAAAATTGTTCTGTGTTGTGCCTAGCGATTTGACGTAACAATGTGCCGTATGTAGCTCGGGAGTGGTGTTGACATGGGGTGCAGCAGGGCGGACTTACCAGTCAGCGCCTGAGTCGGGACGCGCTGGATTCGCACTGTTTCCTGCAGCTGCCGAAGCAAAAGAAGTAGGCGCCATTGTGTGGTGGTGTCGTAGTGGTTGCGGAAGTGGCTTTGAGACGAAAGCGTGGTGTCGAGGCCAAAAGATTTAGTGTGGGGATTGTGGCAGGCGAGTGGTGGAGGCAGGTGCAGTCGAGATGATGTCAGGCTTGCAGCGGTTTGGTGCTAGGGACGTCGGGAAATATTGGCACAGTTCGTCGTGGCGTAGTTCGGGTGGGAGATGTAGTCGTATTGCGGCGACAGAAGAAGAGCTTCAACCATCGGCCAACATTTGAGGTTGGCTAGAGCCGAGATGGGCGCACGTGACCCGATCGTATTACGGGGACTAGGTTTTTCTCCTTCGTTCCCGCCACAACGCGTCAACGCGTCGCGCCTACCGAATCTAATTGACTAATGACGTCTTATTCGGATATCGCATCCATGTCTAGGTGTGATTACTCCTAGAGTGCCTTCCTCATTCTCCAGATCTCCAAACCAACCTGCTGCAAACACGGCAGGCACGCTTCGATCCACAAGCCCAAGACAAGCCCCTTGTGAGGAAGGGGAAGGTGCGATGTGTCATCTCGCTCCGTCGTATCGGCCTGGCACTCGCCGCGGCCTTCTTCAAGGCCGGCTTCATCAACCTTGACAACTACCCATAACGACTCATTTCCCAACTGTGTGCTATTCTTCTCGTTGAGGATCATCTCGCATCGTCGTTGCCGCACTCCATTGAGTCGGCATCTCCTCTTCAATCTTGGAGCGGGATTCTCTACTATCTCTTCTCATCTCTATCAGACATGCCTGGACTTGTACATTACAGCTTCCACTCGACTTCCGACGTCACTGCTGGAGCCCGTTCAGTCGACTCACATCACGACCGGGATATGGTTTGCTCTTCCCGCTAAGCGAGTTGTTTGCTCGGACTCACCTCGTACACCGTAGTGGCACCAAGACGCCTACCACCGCTGGCCTTGCGTCATACAGGCCTGCTACGGCCGGAGCATCGCCTTGCCAGCAACGACTCTTGTGCTGGCCCCGTCTGAAATCCTAGTGACTGTATTGCGTTAGGTGCCTCCAACCATGCATAGATGACTAGTCTACGGACAGCTCGCAACCGTGACAGGTAAATAGACCCAGCTAGTGGCACATCTTTTACTACAAAGTTAAGTATGCAGCCCGGCTAGGTTTCGAAATTTCTTTCGCCTTTTGTGTAACACAAAGGTTATCAAACAACTCACCTCACATCATTGCGCCTTAGTCACTTGCCTTTCCACAAGGCCACCGATATACACCATAATCACCCAGGCAGAACCGTACACACAGAGTAACCCGAGTCATTGCCAGCAAAGGTCTCGTCGAACCAGCGCTCAAAGCTGGCTTCCGTGGTCGAAGGACAGGGACTGGGTTTAGATGGCTGGATTAATGGGCTTTCCTGCTCGGGGTTTCCGTCCGAACCAATCCTACGATGAATCATATAGCAGCGACAGCGACACTTTTGGACGAGACCCACGCGAGCAACGAAGGAGGTTTGCAGACTTCCAAAGACAAGCATATTTACACAGGTTCCAAGACCAGCAATCGTCGCCCCTAAGTATGGGAGGTTTTCAGTCGCCTTTTTTGAATCGCACGAGAAACAATCCTATGATGGGGCCACATGCGCAGTTTGGCATTCCTTCGCCTCTTGGTATGGGTATGGGTATGGGTATGGGTGGCGACCGCATGGGTGGTATGGGCTTTGGGATGGGCATGGGAGCTGGAATGGGGCTGGGAATGGGGGGAGGTATGGGGAGAGGCATGGGCATGGGCATGGGCAGAGGCGGAAGTATGGGTTTCCCGGGTCGGTCGCCCTTCCTAGGCGGTTCACCGATGGGCTATCGGCAGCCTTCGCCATTTGGACTAGGCCCTTCACATCGATCACACCCGATGTTTACCAACCGCCATCGCCAGAACGCCCAGCCATCATGGCCTCAATCCCGTCACAGCCCCTTCGTAAGGGGCTTCTATGATGACGACGAGGATGACGACGAGAGCGATTACGATACGCCTTCGACATACAACTATCCAAGGCGGCGAAGAGGGGGAGGCTTGGGACAATTTAGGCGTTCGCCCTACCAAAGTCGACATACACCACGTTGGATACATGGTCACAACAACCGCTATGAAGAATATGACGATGAAGACGACGAAGGCGATGAAAGCGATTACGAAAATTACTACCCCGTGCGTCGCCGAAGGCCCAGATATTAGTTGCTCTTGCGAGGCTGTATCCACCGCTGTTTGAAGAAGATGGCTTCGCAGCATCTTCAAGATACAGAGCGTCTGCTTTGGTCAATGGCGTTGAAGCGAATGATTCACAACACCAGGCGCTTAGCCAAATAATGCAAATGTCTGAACTGGACTCTACTCTTCGAATTTATCAGTTCGTTTGGAAGGATCACTTCATTATTAATCCGCGTTGTCGCCAGATCTTCCCATCAGTGAAGCCAGAGATCAGCGTTTTTTGCTCGTATAAACGAACGGTCGTACAAGTCACGCCTTGTACTACTAACATCGTTGCACGCGCGTGTCATTGACCCGTGAAGAACGGAACGCAGTCTCCCGAAGCTTTGCCATCCTTCCGAGCAGCAAACGCACCCTATCAGCGTGAAATACGGGTGGTGTTTGCGCAACGTACGATGAACGCCCGTTTGACACTATCGATTGCGCCTGATGCCTCTCACAATGTGGATGGTATTTCTTTCCGAGACCAATGAGATGTCTGCGTTCTTCACGGTTGTGCGACTGCTCATTTCAGGGCCACGGTAGCTACGATGAACGAACAGAAGAGGCGAACATCGTGACCCCGTTCCTAGGCTATGCACCCGAAATCGTGAAGATCTTGAGCAGACCACATCTCAGCCGCAGCAAAGAAGCCTGGAAGCGGGATCAGCGAGAAAGCTTCGCAATCATTTTGCATAAAGTAGTAGGTTTCCGTCGTTGTAACTCTTCATCCGAATTACGCCATCTTTATCCTCACAACCTTACAAATTTACTCCTAGTCTGAGTCTCATAAATACTTAAACCAGCCATCAGAGTTAACATAATTCGCTATGTGTCTCCTTTTCCACTATTCTTACCGTTGCCACCAGTCCAAGTCAGAGACGCTGCTTCTACCCTGTCATCACCGTCCATTAGTACGCAATGAAAATCGAATATCAGTACCGAATGATTCGAAAGATGGCAGGATATGCCCAAGACTGTGGAGGAAGGAGATCTCATCACCGCATTGTGTCGGGTGCCTGGCGAGGCTGAGCATGTATGGAACGGTGTTACAAGAGAGGGAGAGAGAGAGTGTGTATGACAACCCAGCGCGCCGGAACAGGCTCACAGCTTGTGCGCTTATGTGAGGTAGCAGTGTTCAAGCATTTTGCGGCATATCCGGTATACCAACGAGGCATCACTTGAGACTGTGCTTCGAGCCTCAGAAAGCAGCGCCACATTGCAGGGCTATCATCATACGACGACCGGATGCCTGGCCCCAGTCGCCTCAAAATACGACCAGGTTACCTCCAAAGATTCCAGACACAAGGTTTCTTATCGCGCGTGCCAAGTTCCTTAATGCATGTCAGCCTGCATACATAAGCTTCCTCGCCCAGCCAGTCGAGCCCCGAATTCGCCCACAGCCCACCTCAAACACCAAACCTCGGCGAGACAAGTCTTTAGGATATCTCTTAGCTACTGCAGCCAAGCTCCCATTTCCTTGGATCTCACCGGTTGATCTGTGGTTCTCATCCACTCAGGTGGAGGTTAACGTTACACGATGCTATCGGTCTCGGGGCATGAGAACGGAAACAGCAAGATGCACACTGTGCGTACTACGACGCGGAAGTTATTTGTGCAGAACCCCGGAGTCTGGAACGTCGTAGCTGCGTCAATACGGTAGGAGGCTTCACTACTACTTCGCCGAAGTCATCGTCAGCACGAGATGTGGGGAGTACATGTATGGAGGGCAGGTCGGACAAGGTCGTGATGCTCTTCGGTGCGCAGAATCATCACACGATACAAGATGATGGAAAAAAAGATAGAGACTCTAAACATCGCTCCCATACCATCGGATACCTCATACGAAGATGTCGAGCCCAATGGCTTCGATGCAGTCGCTACCAAAAAGCTTCTCCGCAAGCTGGACTGGCACCTCATACCATTCATGTCACTCATTTACCTGTAAGCTTCTTCTCTAACAGATCAGACCTGTACCACGGACTGATAGCTGCATAGCCTATGCTTCTTAGACCGCACCAACATCGGCAACGCTCGCCTCGACCATCTCGAACAAGATCTCAAGCTACACGGCCTACAGTACAATGACTGTCTCGCCGTTCTCTTCCCCTTCTACATCGCCGCCGAGATACCGTCGAACATCATGATGAAGAGGACCAGGCCGTCTATCTGGCTGACGTTCATCATGTTCTTCTGGTCATTGGCAATGATCCTGCAAGGCTTTGTGAAGAACTATTCTGGGTTGATGGCTACACGAGTCTTCCTCGGAGTGTTCGAGGGGGGGCTGTTTCCGGGTGTTAATTACTATATCTCGCAATGGTAAGTTTACACTTCAGGAATCTGGCAGACGAGATTTTACCCTAGTGCTTACTCACGTAAGGTATGTAAGAGACGAATGCGGCTTCCGCATGGCCCTCTTCTTTTCTGCTGCAACGCTCGCCGGAGCTTTTGGCGGCGTCCTAGCCCGCGGCATCGCCGAAATGTCCGGTGTTGGAGGAAAAGCAGCATGGGCAGTAAGTGTTTCTGAACGAACTGCATGTGAGCCACACACTAACTTCGTACACCTACATGTAGTGGATTTTCATCTTAGAAGGTCTCCTCAGCATCCTCGTCTCAACAATAGCATACTGGTGTATATACGACTACCCCGAAACGTCAGTCCCATCCCCCCATCCCCCACTCCCACCCATCTAACACCCACCCAGTGCCCGTTTCCTCACTCCCAAAGAACGCACAGAAGTCCAACGCCGCCTCCACGCAGACCATGGCCACCTCTCCAACGATTTTGACATGAAATACGTCTACCAAGCCCTCACCGACTGGAAAATATACATCTTCATGCTAATCTGCATGGCGGGCTTCTGTCCCATTTACTCCTTCGCCCTCTTCCTGCCCACCATCATCAAGAACATGGGCTACACTGCCAACGACGCACAACTGATGTCCGTCCCTCCATACGTCTGCGCATGTTTCTTCACTATCGCTGCGAGCTGGTATGCTGATCGCGTAAAGAAACGTGGTGTCTTCTTGATGGGCTTCCAGGTCGTGGCTATTGCGGGCTTTGCTATGCTTGCTGCCACGGGAAGGCCCAGTATACAGTATGCGGGTACGGTGCTCGCGGCTATTGGGATTTATCCTCAGATTCCGTTGGGTATGGCATGGAATAGTGGGAATATTGGGGGCAGCTTGAAGAGGGGGACGGGCATCGCTATGCAGGTTATGGGTGGGAACTGCGGAGGTATCATTGCGAGTTATGTTTATTTGTCGCGTGATGGGCCGAGATTTATTATTGGGCATAGCATTTTGATCGGGTTTGTAAGGTGAGTTGCTATACTGTCGGATGACGTCGGTGATGCGGAGCTAATACATTGTAGCATGGCGTTCTTCCTCACATTCTTCATGTCGACATGGTGTCGGACGGAGAACGCGAGACGCGATAAGATTGCCCTGGAAGCTGGGTCGCAGGAGTTGACCGAGGAGCAGAAGTTGTTGGAACGCGAGCTTGCCGATAACGTGCCGTGGTTTCGATATACCACCTAGAAGTGGGTTTAGTGGTTCGAGTTGACGGTAAGATCTGACCTTGGGTGTCATGTGCATACTAAACCCATGCGGGTCATAACTTCATTATGGCATTAAGAATATAACAGTCTATGTATGATACAATCAACAATTACGCTCAGAGCATTCTGGTGGGTTGCGTAGGCTGCATGGCCCACTCCGGAGGGTCCTCGTCATATCTCCTCTCCATTGGTCGGTTGACCTGCGTTGGTTGCATAGATGACCAGATCGGAGGCCCCTCGTCGTATTGCGTATCGAACGCACGTTCAACATTTGGTACCAGCTCGACGGCTTCGGCCTTCTTGACCTTTCTGAGCTCTTGCTCCTCCAAGAGTGTCTTCTTCACCACGCGCATCTTCATGTAGATCCAGATACCCATGGCAATAGTGATGACAAAGATAGCGCCGAACATGACCGTCTTGATTACGTCGTCGTTGCTCTCCTGTAGGAGCAGTACACCGAGGTAGACGAGGAAAATTTGCTTGGGCAGAGAAAGGAAAGTAGCGACGACGAAATGCCAGAACTTGACGTCGCAGGTTGAAAATACGGCGGTGGAAAAATGCGCTGGAATGGCGGACAGGCGGATGACGAGCACAATGGTGAAACCTCCGTCACGCGTTAGACGGGCCATGGCACCGTAGTTTAGATTGGTGCGCTCCAGTTTGAGAGCCTTGGAGCGGAAGGCGTATTTGAAAGCGTACCATGTGCCGACTGATATCGATGTGAGTATGATATGCATGTAACCGTAAGGATTTGGTAAGGCTTACCTTCGCCGATGAACGTGCCCGCTGCAACAATGGCGAACCCGATCCACAGACCATAGACGACACCACACAGCAGCGCGATGATCTCATGACCGAACAAAGGAGGAAAAGAAATAATGATAAGAATAGCAATGGGGATTAGCCATCCTGCTGGTAGGTCTCGCACTTTCTCAGACCACGGCCGTAATTTCTGCACAGACACCGTTAGCCACGTGTTCGTCGGCCCCAAAGCCAAACACCAAAAACTCACCTCAACGACGGCGTCGTGTTTTATCGTGATGATAACTGTTAGGATACCGATAACGATAAACAATATGTGCCATGCTATATGCTGAGTCAGCCAAAAATGTTCTACGGTCGCAGAAGCGGCGGCGTGGTCTTACGGATGTACTTGGGGGCGAGAAAGAATCTTTTCCAGTCAAACTTCTGGTACTCTGTTTCTTCTGGCGGGCCTTGCGACTTCTTCTTCTTCGGCGCTCCATCCATCATGCCCGACATCTCAATGTCGCTTTCACGTTTGCGGAACCACATGGCGGAGAGTACAAATGTGCTGGCGGGTTCCCGCGGAGGATTTGCCGTGTTGAGAGGCCAGGCTGGGGCGTGACTGCAGCGTGTCCAGGGTCCAAGCGCAAAACGAAAGTGAGGTCGTGAGAATCCGTTATCGCTATCTCCCAACGACGTAAGAGAGGGCAGGTGTGAGAAGGAACGCTGGGCAAAAGTAGGTTGGCGGCGCGGTTGCGGTGGGTGTCGGTGGCGCGCAGCAGGAAAGGGGAGTGATGTATCAAGCTTCGCGGTGAAACCGGCATAGCCACATCCGCGTAATCCAAGCTCTGGCCAATGGCGACGCGCCAGACGTTGCTATGTGAGACACTGGCGCGGGAGATCGGCGCTTGCACCTGGCGTCAGTTTTAAAGCCTATCACAGTTTCGCCCGGTTTGCGCATCATTTCGAATGATCGGCACGGGAAATTTGAATGTCTTGGGGTTGAGTTTAGGATGCATCGCCGTTGCAAACTCGATACCCGAAGCGCCCGACAGATCTGGGGATTGCTATCGGACGGAGATCCTTTGACAATCTGACCGTATAAAGTGGGCTGCGCATGCAGCGCCTCAGCCTTGTTCTCGTGTCCGTTTGGTGTCAGCCCAGACGAAAGGAAAGCTAATTTTATATTTAGGTAGCGTCGTTGATCGCTATACACTACGTGAGCAATGCATTTGGGCATTGGCGTACATCATCAAAGACAATAATCCGGGTGATCCGGCTCACAAAGAAGACCAAACCCTCCCTCTTTTGCACGCTACTTTCGCGACAACAACGCGACAACTTTAAATTCTGAATACCAGAGTTGTAGGGAAATAAGCGCTCTGCAATTCTGTTATTTCGGATTTTAATGAGCATTTTGTGTACTCGAAAGTTCAAAGAGAAAGGGAGAGCGATAATTGAAAGCTTTTCGCAAGGGCTATCTCATTCTCTTGTACGCCTTAGGGTAGCTGTTGCGTGTCTTCTAGGGAAGGAAGTGACCTGAGCCAATAATTTTCTGACCTGAATCATCATACTTTATCACGTACTTGAGCGTTTCACTGCGATTAGACCTACTGCATTTTTCGGGGTATCGATTAGATTGATCAACGAACTTCAATTCCCGTATCGATTACGAAAAGCATGTTTATCTCACAGCCTTCTCATGTTAGAATCGTTGACTGTCTGGTGGTGTGCCAGGCGTCGAGCAACTTTGCCGAGCGAACATCGGAGCTAGATCTGCCTCCAGGCCGTCAGTCGGCTTATGGTATCGTACAACCGATTTGAAGTCACAATGCCCGTCTCTTGGGTCTTATCTCACACTCCGCGTGGGACGATGCAGTCGTGATAAGCGCTCTTCTGCTGGCCTGCCTCGATATTGCAGCCACAATACGTGTTGTCCTGACTGAAAGAAGAGAACGTCATATCTAGAGATCCCCGGATGCGGGGATAAATCGGTAGAGCAGAGCCACTCGCGCCACCCGCTTGGAGCAGCACCGCTTCTTCACTCCACTTCGGGAACATGCTTACGACCCAAACCCGAATCACAAGACTAACTTGCTCAAAAAGGACAGTCGATTGATACTGTATGAACTCGGTGCTCGCATCGGTGACTTGTCTTCAACAATCGGCAGTTGTGTCCAAAGTTGGGTACAGCGCTTTCAGACCGTTGGCCCCCACCAAGCCTTTGACGTCGACCAAGCTTTTCGGCATCCTTCAACAAAGCTTCGTTGTGCCGTCTTTTCCAAGCCAAGCGACGCTTATCACCTCTTGACCACCCTTAGCACGCAGTAGCCCCTGTCGTGTGCTCCATCCCATGTCGCCTGCTAGCCAACTCAGGTCTATCGTGCCGCTCTCCGCGGGGATGCCATTGGATGGCAGGTCAACATGCGGGGTTGCGGGGACGTCATGAGGATGTCGAGGATGCATTCTCGGGTCGCACTTGTTATCAGTAAGCACCTTTTCGGAAGGTTCGACGATGATCGCGTGCATGTCTAGTGGGATTAAAGAAAGCGTTGCCGCCGGCATGTCTTATAAGCTCAGTCTGCCGAGCTTGTTTGAAGAAAGAAGACAGACCCTTCCCCCAAGTTCCGCATTGTGAAGCTGCCCAGGCGTTGTCCTCGATTCACGATGGCGGACGAGAAATACGACACTACCGAGCAGCGCGAGTACGCGCCACCGGCCGCAAAGATGTCGGCCGGTCGCTACATGGCAACGCGCATCCCCACTCTCAAGCCTGCCCGGGACAAGGTCGCCAACCCAATCGCCCTCCTGCGTATGCTGAACCTCCAGCAATGGCTATTCTTCCTGGTCGCTTTCGTCGCCTGGACCTGGGACGCGTTCGACTTCTTCACCGTCTCCCTTACCGTGGAGAATCTTGCCGAAACCTTTGGTAAAACCAAAGCGGATATCACATGGGGTATCACGCTGGTCCTCATGCTGCGGAGTGTGGGTAGTATCATCTTTGGTCTGGCTGCTGATCGCTATGGGAGGAAGTGGCCTTTCATCGTCAACAACCTACTCTTCATTGTTCTGGAGTTGGGCACTGGGTTCTGCTCCACCTATAACGAGTTTCTGGGGGTAAGAGCTTTGTTCGGAATCGCCATGGGTGGATTGTATGGAAATGCTGCTGCGACTGGTAAATTTCATTCTCCACCTCTAGCTCGTTCATCTCATTGACACTGTCGCAGCCCTTGAAGATTGTCCTGAGCAAGCCCGTGGAATCATCTCCGGTATGCTACAACAAGGCTACGCGTTCGGGTACCTACTTGCGACCGTCTTTGCACGCGCGTTCGTCAACACCGTCGGCCACGAATGGCGACCGCTATTCTGGTTTGGTGCAGGCCCACCAGTTCTGTTCATCATCTTCCGGCTCTGCCTCCCAGAAACGAACGCTTACCTCGAGCGCAAGCGAATACGCGAAGAACAACCCAACGCCGCCAAGGTCTTTGCTCAGGAAGGCAAGGTTGCGTTGAAGCGCCACTGGCTTTTGCTAGTGTATCTCGTCTTACTCATGGCGGGCTTCAACTTCATGTCGCACGGAAGCCAGGACCTGTATCCGACCATGCTGAGTAACCAGTACAACTTCTCCGCCAACCAGGTTACCGTCACACAGGTCGTTGCCAACCTCGGCGCCATGACTGGCGGCACCGTAGTCGGTTATTGCTCATCCATTTTCGGTCGTCGTATCAGCATCATCGTCATGTGCGTTATCGGCGGTGCTCTACTTTATCCTTACACGTTTGTCTCCACGAACGCCGTCATCGCTGCAGCCTTCTTCCAACAGTTCTGCGTCCAGGGTGCGTGGGGTGTCATCCCAATCCACCTTATGGAACTCTCACCAGGATCATTCCGCACCTTTGTCGTCGGTACATCTTATCAACTCGGAAACCTTGCTTCTTCTGCCTCATCGACTATCGAAGCGACGATTGGCGAAAGGTTTCCACTTCCTCCAAAGGGCAAGACAACGCGTTACAAGTATGGTTTGGTCATCTGCATCTTCATGGGATGCGTGTATGCGTACGTTATCTTGCTCACAGCCTTGGGACCAGAGTATCGAGGTAGGAGCTTCGATGTGGCTGCCGACGAAGATATGACAGTTGTGACTGGAGCAGATGAAGGAAAGTATGGCGCAAGGCAGGATAGCGAGGACGCAGAGGCGAGAGAGCGGGTGTAGAACTCGCGTTCCGAAAGAAGTGTACCATGTAGCTGTTTCTAGTCTTTACCATAGAACAGGGATAGTACATGATGCCTTCAGACGTTATCTCCCGTATGCAAAAGCTGAGTTCTCACCATGAGCGTTAGCGATGTTCGATATCCGGAGTTGGTAACCGCCTTGTCTTTGAGGCTGTGTCTACCCGATGTGGAGAGACAGGCCAAACATCTGTACTCGTGTGATCGCATTTCGCAAATTGTATATTGCCTGATCCATGGCGTTGACGTAGGCAATTTAGACATTTCACGCAAGCACAGTGCTGCCATTGGCCACAATTAAAATCGGCAGCGGCATCCGTCGCTAGCGTTGTGCGACTGGTAGCCGCCTCCCACACGAAATAGATTGTCTTCATCACTCGTAATCTATGCAACACTCACATCGTCTTGTACACCTTCGCTTAGAACCAATTCGCGCTCAGTGTTCGGGTCTTTCGCGATGGGTACGGCTCTTTCGACCTTATTGCCGGTGGGTGTCTCGTAACGAATGAGCCAGCCTGGGGCAAGAGACAGAGTATATATGTCGCTCGGGAGATGTTGATATGCCGGCATCAACTGCATATTCATTGCATCTCATCTCCAAGTTCAGCAAAAGATCCTCGCCAAGATGAAGTCCTCCGTTGTTTTGCTAGCAGCTACTGCGTCTGTCGCCAGCGCTCACTGTACGTCCTGATGCACTGTACGCCTCCTCACAAGCTGACGTTTTACAGACACACTCCCAAGCATCAACGGCGCCGCAGCCTGGACTAGTGTCCGTCAAGCCAAGAACTGGCAGGACAATGGATTCGTTGGCAATGTGCAAAGCAACGACATCCGCTGCAACCAACTCAGAGCAGGAACAGCGACCACCACTGTCGCTGCTGGCTCGAACGTAAAGGTCAGCGTCAACCCGAACGCTTACCACCCGGGCCCCTTCCAGTCGTACCTTGCCAAGGTACCAGAGGGCGCAGACATCAACACCTGGGACCCTACCGGCGCTGTCTGGTTCAGAATCTACGCCGAGCAACCCAAGTTTGGTTCCCAGTTGACATGGCTGAGTATGTTTCTCACAGTTCTCTTGCTCTGCTAGCATACACTGACATCAGTCCGCGCAGGCGCTGCCACCTACGACATCAAGATCCCTCAGTGCATTGCACCTGGCAAGTACCTGATGCGCAACGAGCACATCGCCATCCACACTGCTCAGAGCGTAGGTGGAGCCCAGTTCTACCTGTCTTGCGCACAGCTTGAGGTTACTGGCGGCGGCAGCAAGGCGCCATCGAACCTCGTCGCGTTCCCTGGCGCGTACAAGGCTACCGACCCGGGTATTCAGATCAACATCAACTACCCTATCCCTACAAGCTACACCAACCCCGGCCCGCCTACTTTCACTTGCTAGATGCAAAGTGTTTGCGCTAGGATGGAGGCTACCTCGATGTAGATGTAAATAGGTGTTTTATAGACAATATCAGCTTGCGAATATTACGACTTGCATAGAGTTCACCTTTTGACGGACCAAGAAAACATTCATGTTGACGAAACGGCTTCCATAGGAGACATACTGATGTATGGACTTATATCTTATCAGTCTCAATACCCTAGTAACTGATCATGGAGACCAAACTATTACTGCAGTTTGTGACATGCCAGGTATCTTCTCGTATGACTCCGATCGACTACTCATCGCGGACCCCGGTCGAGAGCCTCTTCAATAGTTGTACAGCCGAAACAAACCCCATACTTGCTTCAGGCCCATCCAAGAGACAGAAACTTCGCATCCACCTCAAATAGCATGATAGCGACTAGCAAGCTTCTCAGCATCATACATCTTCGCAGTCGCCCTCTCCAACTCATCCGCCACATACTTCCAAAAGTTGCGCTCACACTTCGCCACCGCATCCATAAGCTGCTCCGTCATTTGCGGCGTCTCCAAATCATTCTCATGTACCTCCGAGGGAACCGCATGACGCATATTGTCCTTGAGCTCCGTCGCGTTGTTGTAGTCCTTGATGCGCTTCTTGCCCGCCTTGCTAAGAGAGCCTGTTCCTTCGGCGTTGGAGTACTGGTTTGGGTGGCGCAGGTGCATGTAGTCTTTGGGGTCGAAACCAATTTCGCCGACAGAAGTGGCGATGCGAGGCGCGTTGCAGACGAAGCAGCTGTAGACTGCGGCGTCGGTGAAGGTCGCTGCTTCGCCTCTGGTAAGGCGCTCTTGGTTGAGGTGGCTGGCGATTTCGCTCCAGGGTAGTTTCTGATCTTGGCGGAGGGTCTTGATGAGGATGTTTTCGGGGTCTTCTTCTACGTTGGGGCGGGTGCTGGTCTTCTTGTCCTGGGACATGAGTACGGAGATGTTGGTTTCGATCTCTGCCTTGGTGGCTTTTGCGCGCTTGAGTCCGTCCATGGCGCTGTGTTTGTGTAGGGTTTGGTTCTTTGGACGATTGAGATGTGAACTTCCCTGAAAAGATACGGCGTGGTCAGAAGTTTTTTCGTCTTTGGGTTCAAACAATGGGGAGTTCGCTCGGTTGTTGGGTGGCTCGACTGAAGGATGAGGTGTGGAAGAAGTAGAAAATAGATGGCTATCTGAGAAAATTAGGTACCCATCAATATACTTGTTTGTAACAAGACTCACTTGGGTTCTCGGTGACGGGGCTGAGGTAAGAGAGCGGGCCATTGACTCTCGTGACTATACTGCCCCGTGCAGTCTTGATGATTCTGTTCTTCACTACATTTTCGTTGGATGGCTTCTTTCCTTCCAGCGATCTGCTGCTTTGCGCTTTGCTCCTTCCCCTCTTGCTGCGGAACATGGCGTCCTCTCCAACGCCGTCGTAGAAAAAAAACATCATCCGTGGTTTCTTTACCTGAGCGATCGCTATCTCGCACATGGATCTCATTATCATAAGCCAAAGCTTCATCGCGAGTAGGGGAAGGGATCATTCTAATAGGATGAGCTCATCAGCATCGTTCCACAAGAATTCTATTCGGTGTTCAACTTTCGACGCAATGCAGAAGACTGGAATGAACCATTAAACGGCAGCATTGATAATGGCCATCCGCGACACTACCTATAAGAGCCTCCACATCTTCAGTTCAACTTACTGAGTATCGCTTTCAACGGCGTCCCTGTTGGTCTCCATTTGTACAACAGTGATGCACACGTTGTTCAGAGTTGATAGCGGGTTACAGGTGGGAATAGGAGAGTCTTGTTGATCACTTAGAGTACATTGAGTGCAAGGAAAGAGATTTGATGTACCCTGGATGGGGTACCGTGCAGCGCTAGTGCACGTACCTTGCGAGTTACAAACAGTGTTCGGGAAGTGCCTGAAAGTAAGGGCTATACAGCGAACGAATGGATAGGCATCACGCAATGCGAAGTTGGACTTGTCAATGATAGGTCAGGAGAAGGTCAATTTTAGAAGGCAATTACCAAGTCTCAAGAGTCTGGCTTCGGCCTCATTCATTTTACCAGGCGCGTTCAGACATCACCTGCAACACGCACACTCATAGAGTTTGGAGTCGCCATCTTCATGAGGTACAATGCGACAGCAATATTGAGGAATGTATCGCCAGATCTGGGTCACACAACCGCGCGGCCAACAACTCATCATCGCCATTTTGGCAAACGCACAGGAACTCATCATCATGACATGTTTACACGTCCGGATAGTTCGTAACTCAACAGAAGAGCTCATTCTTATATTTACAGCTAACTTGAGAGCTCACTACTTACGCATTCCAACGGCGCATGCTGGAGTTTGAACCAGCGAACGTGGATCCAATCTCGCCCCACTTGATCTGGCTGAAGGTGACTGTAGGTGCCTTCTCAATCTGTTGGATCGCCTTAGGGAAGCCTTCAGTCGCATTGCACGGACCAGACTCTCCGCTGTCGAGCCACTGCATGCCACCGCTCTCATCCCACCAGATGCTCAGCGCGAGAACCATACCGCGGGCCAGAGCATCACCCATGCCCTTGTGGCCACCAAGCTTGCTGTACATCTCAGCGCCAGGTTGAGCAGTGCAGAACTCCTGATCCATGATGATCTCCTTCTTGGCGTTCTCAATGACGACGCCGTTCTGGACGTACTTCCGGACGATAGCCTGGAGAACGCCGTCCTTGGCAGGGAACTGGGTGATCACGGTGAAAGGCTTCGTGGTGTCGACTTTGAGGCCAGTGCCGTAGTAGTCGGGAGAGCTTCGATGCTTGTAGGGGTTGTCTCCACAACCGTTCTTGTCGCATAATCCAGCCTTGCCGCACTCATCGCCTGTGCAGCCAAAGAGACCATCGGTACTGCAGGTGTGAGGTGCGATCTGGTTGGAGCGAGCATTTGCCTCCCAGATATCCATTTCGTTGCAGCAAACACCCTGACCCTTAACGTTTCCCTGGAACAAGTAAGCATGAGCACTGACAGAGAAGACAGCTTGTACTTACTACACCGTTGATCCATGGTGTGACGAAGCACTGAGCATCACAGTATCCCGTACCATAGGCGGCGCCACCTGGGTTCAGTTGTGAACGTCCGCCGTCAGCCTCCATCTCGCTGAGGTAAAGGGCGCCGTTCATGCCGCATGGCAGCTTCGAAACATCGACGTCGAAAGCCAGCTCGTTACCGGTCAGTTGAAGCATCTCATAGTTCTCCTCGTCCTCGGCCAAGAGGTAGACCCTAGGGCTAGCCTGGCCGCCACTGGGGTTGAACATGTCCAGACGAAGCTCGCCTCCGGTAGTGTAGACACCCATTGTGGAGTAGTCTTCGATGCCTTCCATGATGCAGTTCTTTGCGCATGTTTCCTCATCGGGGCACGCAACTGGGTCGGCGGCACTACCCCAGTTTCCACAGCCTAGCGTTGAGTTGCCCTTCTGATGAATCCAATGGGAAGCTGAGTCGGTAACGATAGCGGTGCTCTGCTCTTTGCATCCTCCCGCTTTGGTGCACTTCCAAGTGGTGAGCTTGGGGTGCACTTCTGGCGCGGTTCCTGGCGTTTGGGCAGTGGCTAGACCTAGAAGGGTCGCCGCGATAAGTGAGTAAGGAGCCATTGTACAGTAATTGACTAGGCGGGAACTCGAAGGAAGAAGTTGCAGAGCTTGGAGAGGTGCGAACCGCGAGCCTCTTTATATGCCCGTTAGATGCCAGATGCAGTCGCAGGCTGCTACAGTACTAATTGACCATATGCATGTATCAATTTCCACATATTACGGGACATTAGAGCCGCAAAGTCTTAGAGCCTCCATGTAGTAAACATCGTCAGTGGACCTGGCGGCTGTTTCTGTTATTGGCCGCAAGCCTTGCCTCGGCCCCATTACCAAGGTCGCCTTTGTTTCGAACCCTCGCTGCAAGATCTTGACGACGCAAAACGGTCCGGGAGAACATGCAGAGAATCTTCGACAATCTATTCAGGAGATTGCTATTTGCTCAAATATATTGCACTTGATCACGGGGCCCCAGATGGGGGTTTCACGCGGGGCATTTACCCGGTGTTTGCTCGGCGCAAAGAGAGCTTGACTTATACAAGCAGGTGCCCGCCCCTTTGCCGTGCTTCTCACAACCAAAAGCCCACCGGGAGCCCGGTTTTGAGTCCGCAGTTGTAGTAGGTCAACACAGGCGTCGAACAAAAGCAACGCGCGGCGGCAAGAAAGAACCAGGTTACCGGGTGAGCAGTCCGATACTCCTAGCATCCGATGCGATGATACTCCCTCTCGTTGTAATGTGTCCTTTCAATGCGCAACTCTTCGCGTGTGCTCGTCGCAGTAAGTTCCAAGTACCAAGTGCTTAGCTCAAGCTTCTTCTGTTCTGCCTTTCGTTAAAAAGAACGGTTCAATGGCTGTAGCTATACTTCTCCGGCACCATTTTCCCTGAGTCTACTTCTACAACTGTCTCTTACTTCTAGTACTCGCCGCACGACTCTCTAGGACAGTCGGTCTTTACTTTCATTGATGAACGTCTGGGGTTCGTCGTCCACGACGATGAGGTTATCGCTGGCCTTGCTGCAGCTACGGAGCAACGAATGACTCGGTCGCGGCTCACCCATCTTCGTCGATCTGATGTTTCGTGAGCCCGAAACATCCGTACGGATCTTTGAGCAGCCTGCACCCCACTCTTGCCATGGCAGCCGTCATGGCTTCCATACGGCACACCATACCCAGCTCTTTCACTACGATGTCGGTCAGATTCTTCCGATTTCTCTTGGAAAGTGGGTTCACAAGACAACGGCTGTCAATGCGCCTGGCTGGCACCACATTCAAACGGAGCTCTCGTCCCGCCTGGGACGACGTAAGCTTGGTGTCTGCTCGCAGTGAGTAGAATAAGATGTGAGCGCCCCCATCAATCTCCTCTCGAACCAGCACCTCGGCAGTGGTAGGATATGAGCAGCCTCCGGAAGTCGGGTAGGAAGTTGGGGTATGTTTGGCTGCCAACTTTTGACAAGCAAATATTGTCGCGGAGTCTAGCCCAAGTGTGTGGCTGTCGTTGCCTAGTTGGGTCAGTCCCGCTATCGGGACTTTAGTCAAGTGGGCCGCCACAGCTGGTGAAACTCCCAAGGAACAGCCGCAGTAGCGCCGACGGAAGCTCCAACACCCTTTGCGTTGCGATTTCCGCATGCTAAATCCAGGCACCTTGGCTAAGGCCCCTAAGTTCTCCGCATTGCGAACGTTGACGGAGCTGCCGTCCCGGTATCGATTGTGCGCCACCATCCCTAGATTGACCAACAGGACCTCGGGAATCACTAACGAGAAACCATAGATTTGACGCGAACGTCAAGCAAGAAAGCAAAGTCATCAACTTTGCTTATGACAAAAGCAGTCTTTACAGCATCTAAGTATTCCATCTAGCACATCTCCCAGGAACGGCCTCACTTCGGTCACATTGGCTTAGTGCAAAAGCCGTGAACTGATCCGGCCTTCTTTTTTTTCGAAACTGGACAAGGAACGCTGGAATATCATACGCTCGCGACATAGATCAGGCATTCCATTCTGCAAAATCGACGAGGCGTTTGTAAGCCATGTGGCAAGGTTGGGTAGACGAAAACTCAGCACAGTGCCACAGTATGAGTTTTCTTCGTTTTTTCGTAAGCTGTCGCGACTCGCTTGAGTTGGCCAGCCAATGAAAGCGTACAACTCGTTCTTCGCACACCATCAGCCATTATAAGGACATATATACCTAGGTAATCTGGAATTTGGAATGAGTTCAGCAGTAATGAGGACGAAAGCCACCTTCAAGCTGAACACTACTATCGGGGAGCGGGGAACGTTTCGTAGGGCGCAAATATGGTGGTTCGGCACGGAACGGGGGCGCTACCTACCCTATACTCCGTCCTCATAGAGTTTGCTCTCAACGTCCGGTTTGGACGGCGCCGGATAGTACCCTCAGGAAAACTTCACACGCAGGAACGCGCAATTGCACACAAGGTTGCGGCAAGGCCGGCCAGAGAGCTGTCAGACTCTTATGGAGCGGCTCCTGAACCCTGGAGACCCGCACAAAACCGGCACTTCGATGCCTGTACATATTGTAAGGCCTTTGCTCTTTCAAGCCAAAAGCAGTTTGACATCCAGTATGATCGACCTTTCTCCTTTCGCCCGTTCAGGCAAAGTGGGCTTCTTCGGAGTTCCTTCCTCGCCATGAGATTGTGCACCTCGACGCGGTGACGTCCACGCTTGCATGATTCCGTGCACACATTTGACTCGCTAAATGCTCCTCCCGACTCAAGCTCCCGCTGCACGCCTCACCATTGGAACCACCAGATTGACAAAAGCATCCAGAGGCTTTCATCAGTGGGGATTTAGAAGAAGGCTAGAGACAGATTCGTTTGCTTTTGGCGACCAAATGGCCTAATGTATGGCCGAGCAAACAACTCTGACTCCCCTTTCTCGCGTGGCAACGCTTAGCGAAGCACGTTGCCGATCTTCTTGCCTCGCCATGATGGATCCGCCCCACAATGAACCTGGCTCGAACAGTAACCTGCGTCGACTACCGTCGCAAGGATACCCAGAGCAGCTTCGGTTTTGTTGCTAACAGTATTCTAGCGTTCACAATGCCAGGAGGCACACGGCTCGGAGAAAGCGTTGAGACGTCTGTTCGCGCGATCGTCGACGAGGGGCACGCCGAACTTGTCGAGATACAATATGCTGCAAGATCGTGCTCGAATCGCGGTTCTCCAGACTCATCAATCCTCTCCCTCGCCTACATAACCTTATTTTGACGATTCTCCCGACACACCACCGAGTATGGAGGACCGAAGTGGTTCGGTGCTGGCTATAGCCCTCACGTTCTTGATCTTAACATATATCACCGTTGGGCTTCGTTGCTATGTCAGGTAAGATCCACTTGCTATCTTCACTGTTTTTGGGCGTGTCGCTGATAGGAATGTAGGATCTTCATGGTGAAGGGATTCGGCATTGACGACTACTGCATGGTCGTCACGCTTTGCTTTTTCACCGGTTATCTCGTGTCCCAAATCGGCGGTGCTCTCCACGGAACAGGTGTTCGTCGCGAGAAACTCACCGACGAACAAGCGCAAACGGCCCTTCACTTCTGGTTCTTCTGCGAAATATTCTACACATTATCGACATGCATGCTCAAGATCGCCGTCGGGTTCTTCTTGCTGCGAATTACCGTCGTACCGATGCACATTTGGGTCATTCGGTTCATCATGGTGGTTTCTGCCATCGTGGGAGTCGCATACACATCGGTCGTTATCTTCCAGTGCAAGCCCGTTTCGTTTTGGTGGGACCTGAACCCTAATCACCACGGCACTTGCTTGTCAGCAACCCTGGTCATGAACTTCACGTTCGTCGTTTCTGGACTCAACGCGTTTGCAGACTGGGTATTCGCAATTCTCCCGGTTCTGATCGTCAAGGATCTGCACATGAAGAAACGCATGAAAGTCATGGTCGCGTCGGTCATTGCTCTTGCCGCAATGTAAGTATTTCGCGAGCCGCATAACAACGTCTCTAACAAATCGATAGTGGTTCGACAGCAACGATCATCCGTCTTCCGTACACGACCACGTTAAAGGGATACAAGGGCGACTTCCTCTACCGAACAACCGATTTTGCGATTTGGAGCACGGTGGAGGTAGGATTGGGCATAACAGCTGGTTCGATTGCGACTCTGAGGCCTCTCATGAAGCAGGCTCTCGAGATCACTCGCTCAGCCTCAGCTCTACCCTGGAGTAAGCCTTCGCTGAACTCCGGCCCGCTCCAGTCGGGCACCCAATTGGGCACGCTCAAGCCTTCGATAAAGAAGTCGATCACGATTACAACCTCCAGAGCTCGGAGAGAGAGCACCAGCTCTGATGAGGAGATTATACTGGGCAGAAGCCAACCTTCAGAAGCATGGCAGCAACAGCAGGGACTGCCTGGCTACGTTACGTCCACCGTTCTAGATGAACGTGAGCAGCGACAAACATCAGAGAAGAGTCGTCAAAACATGGCAGACCGTGAAAGGAGAGGCAGTCCTGGAGGGTCCAGCGACTCCACTCTCGATAGTAAATCGACTGGAAAGGCCGCAAAGGTCCATGAGCGTTTTTAAAATAGAAGTTTCATTTGAAGCACTGCACGATACCCCATAGTAATAGAATTCTGCATCAATCGCCATTCGTTTGCATCTTTGCATCAGTGTTGCTCAACAGCGTTTTCATTGTATTCAAGCACCAGCACGTTCATTAAAGCAGTTACATTTGTGCATTCGACTTGACTATCCACTCTCGGTTTAGACGCAATTCAGTCCGGTAACCACCGGCACCTAATACCGATATCTCAAAGCACACAACCGAAATCCCTCGCGAGGAGACTCATCAGATGCTAGCGCGAAAGCCAGAACAAGCACACCCCGACTTTGACCAATTTCGGACTCCTCCACGATATCTTTCACTGCCTGCCCGCGTAGATCATCTAGATCATCTCCGTAACCCCTTCGCCGCTCACCGCTCCTGGCCCACCTCCCCTTTCGTCCGCATTCCGCTTTCGTGCCATCCTCAGTAACGATCCCCGCTGACCGTCCATCACCTAGCCTTGTCTTCCGCTGCATCGGTAATGTAAAGTGCGAGCGCCGCGATCAATACCGTTCATGGAAAATAAGGTTGCTGTCGAAAAACGCTCCACCACAATTGATTAGTCGATTCAGTGTGTCGGGGCATCAAGGAAGTGTCTGATCCCGAGCTGTCACACTGACAATGATTGCAATGGGAAAAACCCGTCGTGATGAGCCTCAAGAGTAAGTTCAACGACTCCAGGGCTGTTGTGTGGATGTCACATGAGTCTAGCTAAGTACCTGAGCACTGAGCTATCACGATCATCCCGCATATTGAAGAACGACTCCGATAATCAGCCCGAACCAAGACCAGGCCGTCTGGGCAGTCTAGATAGAAAAAAGACGTCGTCTTCTTCGTTGATCTACGTGCCCAATCCCTCATCTTATGGCTGACACACCACTACTTACAAACGTAACGGCTTCGTCCGCACAGGCACAGCGGCGCGTGAAACGGGCTAGCAAAATGCTGGCCTGGCAAAGGTCCGACTACACGATGACCGCGGCAGAGTCTGCAGCAATTGACCACAGGAAATCGCCGACCATAAGCACTTGAACCCGTAAATTACGGCCTTTGTTCCTGAAACAGATGTTCTATCTGCCCAGGCATGTTCGTAATCAACCCGCATCGCCCCACACCGAGACATCTTTCGTATCTATTTCCCTCACCAGTAGCAAACTTCCTGATATCTACTTGCACTGATCTCCAAATTCCTAATTATATTACATTATTAGGTGAATCGACACTGCTGCCGCAGCTATCTAGCCTATATTTACGCGCAACTACCACAATATATCCAAAAACGCAGTCCTGAGCACCTCCGTCCTCGTCTTCTGCATCTCTGGTGCAATGCCGACCAGATCCAAGATATCCAGACACTTTCGTGCATCTTCTTTCGCGTCTTTGAGCAGAGGGTCTGCTGAAGGAGGCATGCCATTATGACTGGGTGAAAGCGGTTGCGCTTGCTGGCCGAGGATGCGTGCCATGAGGAGCTAAGGTAAATGTCAATAATACAGCAATGCTGTAGGGGGTCTTGGACTCACCGCTTCCTCAAACGCGCGGTGTTGGAACACCCACCATACACTGGCATCGATCCTGAGATACTCCCAGAAATGGAAGAAAGGCTGCAATGCCATTCTAGCTGCGTCCAGCGCACCTTTGACGTCGCACGGTACGCCTTCTGCGGGGTTCTCATCCGCCTGTATGGCCATGACGCAATGCCAGAAGTTGCTTCGAAAGAACAAATTTTGCCGTAAACCGCGTGGGTTTGTTTCTGCCATGCTGCGTATAGTGGTTTCGTCAGATGCCGTAAGATCTTCCGGAAAGGTCTTGTGCAGAGCAAAGTATTCGTTTACCAGCTCGGCTTTGTGCGAGATCGAGGTCGTCAAGGGCGTTGCCAATGAACGTGGGATGCAGACAGTGCGGGACACAAGGTTGGCCATGTGCCACATCGAACGGATGTATCTTCGATCTGACAGCTCGTAGGAAGGATAGAGATCGTGGTTCGAGGCGATGTTGCTGATGCTCATGGGATTGATGACGGGGTCTGTTGTGCCGTTGTTCGAAGAACCGTTCGGGATGTATTCATCAAGGTCATCGCTCAGGGATTCTGGCTGTATGTCTGAGAAAACACTGGTCGGTGGGAGTTTTAGTAAAACGGTAAGGAATGTGTCCTGGAAATATATGGCTTGCCAGAGCTTCCGCCGTTGCTGCTTGTCACTCAGTGAGCACCGAGGCGCAATGATGTCGGGGTCGCGATGTAACCCCATGGCGTACGCTTGCCGTACTAGAACCCCACCAAAAGCCCATGCATCAGAAGCATGGTTGTCGTTCATCAAAAAGTATCCTATCAGAACCATGGCCTGCAACGTTCTGACTGAAGCTCGACTAAGGTACGAAGATACTCGCAACGCTTGCTGAGCAGCTGATATGTAGAACTCGGCAATCTTCGCTCGCTCGAGATTATCAGTGGTACGGATAAATTGCGTACCCATAGCGTACACAACAAAGTGAAGAGCAACCAGCACGGGGTCTGCTGTATGTTTTTCCTCTAATGGCAGCGACCAGAAACGTTGGTAATCGGCATAGAAGTTCCTACGATGCACCATGGGATATACTGGGTCAACAGCATCAAAGTACTTGTCTACCAGAATGTCTGCCTGCTCTTTAGCTGGTAGCACGCCGACAACTTCGGCGAGACCGCCTCGACTCGTCCAGTAATTAGCAAAGGGGTGCTCAGAACCCAGACCAAAGAATGGCGCAGGCGTGTGGTTAGAGTACGGTATGTTTGATAACAGGAATGGCGAGGACCCTGACGATGACAATGACACGCTACGATATTGTGCTCTGACTGGCGTTGGTGGTACCTGGATGTGGGCCTGTCAAACGAGTCAGAGAACCGCTGGAACAATGCTTTTCACAACATTATCACTGATGATGAAGTATTGCCAGAGACAGGTTAGGAGTATTTGGCGGCCACGAAACTCGTCAGGTCTTGACCCGACAAGTTCGGCCGATTCCTCATAGCCCCACAGTCGCGAATAGGCACGCGGCGCCCGAAGGGTTGGGCCGACATGCGTTCGCAGGAGGTTCGCAATGATACGACAGGAACAAGGGAGGTGTATTACCTGAACGGGCGGCTTGCCATGTGGGTGCGGGTCGCTGCCAAGGTGCAACGAAGGCCTCGCGCTCGTTTTTCTGGAGCGTCCCGCAGTGCGACCGGCGCCAACCCTGTGCAAAGGCTCAGCAGATGCGCGTCCAGGGATGCCATGAGAACTTACTTGTCCGTGGAATTCGCGATCAAGTTGGCGATGTCGGAGTATTTGCATATTGATTGTCGCTTGATGCAAGCCAAGCAATGAGGACGAGTTCGGTCACACTGCGTCGGTTCAGTCTCGGGCTGCCATTGCGCCAGAGCGATGCACTCACTTTGGTCTTGCGCTCGACACACTCCTCGCAGCTCAGCGTCGGCTTGTTGCGCTTTTGCTTCTTCTTTGGTGGCGCATCGCCGTGGGTGCCTGTCGCGCTGGCGGTTGACGGATCAGGACTTGTCGAGGGCTGCGTGCCTTCGTCATCCATCGTGCAGCGCGTGCGGCGATCGGGATACGCGTGAGCTTGGTCCGAGTGTTTGACAATGACGGGCAAATGCGAGGATCCAAGCGGCAACAGTGGGCACAACGTTGGCGGGAATAAAGTGAAGATTGAAGTATTTCCGCGCTGGAGCTGACGCGCCCCAGAAAAGGTCACCGAGGTTGCGTGGGGACGCTGTGGAGTTGATACCAGCCACTGCTGCTTGGCACTCATGAAACTGGGGCTAGAACTCACCACTAGATACGACGTCAGTTGGCCTAGTTGCGCGTCAATTTAGGCTATGGATGATCCTGTGAGTAGATGCGATAGCCAGCCATGACTGCAGGTGATGCAGGCGCGCGTAAGTATGCAGGACGTCATCTCCAAATCTGGACAGCTTCAGAGTAACACCACATGCGAACTTGGTGGTGGAACATGGCATGAAGTTTGGTTTAAAAGGCGCATTCATCGCACGTAGCGCTTGTTGATATCGTGCTCCACTAGTCGAAGTGCACAGCTAGCTGACGTCGAAGATTCAAAGGCGTCCAGCGTCGGCTTCTGCGCTATTCCCGAAGCGCCGGCAGTATCTACCGGCCAGGAACGCTCATGACAGCATCATGACATTTGTCAGCGACGTCTGCGCCTTCCACCTTACTACATCGCAAGACCTCTAATGTTCCTTTTGGAAAGAGCTACGGATGACGGAGGAGCAACCTTGAACGAAGTCTGCAGACTCGTCATGAAGCTCTCACGCCATACGATCACAGCCTTGGAGCGGACCTCGAAGAAACAACCAACGTGGCAATAGTTTACTTGAGGGGAGACGTATACAAAAACAAGAACAAGCCGCCGAGTCACGTGCCAGCACATACTGCATCGAGACGAAAGCAAATGGTGTCTCGAAACGAGAAGCCCTGCCCAACCCTTCAGATCTGGAGAACCAGCAAAGGAAGTTTAGTACTACCCACAGGCAAAGAAGACCCGCCTCAGGTATACATCCTCTTAGCATCACGATAGCCTCCACCACCGCGCATGTCGTCCTCGAAAGCCTCCGCGACCTCGAGCACACGCTTGACGTGCTCCATGCTGAAGACCGACTTCTCCGCAAGCGCAATAGACTGCGACGTCTTGACCGTATTCTTAATCTGCAGAATTTATTAGCCGATATGCACGCATACCACCACAACGAAGCCACATACCTGTCTCCCATTCATGCTCCGCTTACTCAACTCATCAAAGTCCGCCTCGGTAAACGGCTTCATCACTCTCCCGCCCTTATCTTCCTTCCCATCCTTCGCAGTACCCTCCTCACCACTGTCTTTATCCTTGCCCTTTTTCTTCTCGGCCTCAGCGTCGCGACCCATCTGCTCCACCTTGCCGATATGATGCTGCCAGATCTTCTTCCTCGCCTTGGCTTCCAGGTTGTCATATCGGATACCCATGTGGATCCTACTCTGGAACGCTTCATCAAACGTCTCCACGCGGTTCGTCGTTAGGAAGAGGATGCCTTGGTAGTACTCTGTTAGACGCAGGAAGACAGACACGAGGCTGTTGCGGTGGATGTCGTGGGGTTGGCGCGCTTCGAGAAATACGTCTGCTTCGTCGAGGAGAAGGATAGCGCCCCAGGAATGCGTAATGTCCATTATACGGTTGAGATCGGTTTCGAGCGAGCGGCTGTTGGTGCCTAGTTCGCCCGCCGAGACGGCATAGAGCGGACATTTGAGGTACTCGGCGATGGATTCGCCAGTCAGCGTTTTACCTACACCGGGAGGGCCGTGAAGAACGACGTTGAGGCCTTTGCCTTTGCCTTGGATGACGTCATCGATTGTCTTTGCGGCGTTGAAGCGGTGGGATGAAACTAGGCCTTTGAGGTTCTGCTTGATACGGCTGGGCAGAACGAGGCTGGAGAAGGCTTCGTCGTTCCATTTGATGTCGTCGATACCGGCGAGGGAGAATTCTAGCCAGAGTTTCTCGGAAAAGGCGAAACCGAGGACGACTGGAGAGGCGATGAGGAGCTCTTCTTCGGTGAAGCACTGCTGCTTGTTCTCTGAGCCGTCTTCATCGGTCTCGACCTGCTTGTCGGGGCTGTCGCCCTTTTCCTTGTCGATGACGCTCTGTGGCACACGGATGGGGTGTTTCTTGCCCTTCTTGTCCTTCCACATGACAATGCGCATCTTGTCTTTCTCCTCGTCTTCTTCGCCCTCGTCAGACCCACAGCAGCAGTCGTCACTATCGTCATCGTCATCGTCGTTTTCCTCATTCTGTGCAAGCTCGTCTTGTTTGAGGTACGAGAGCGGATAGTTGGGATTAATGCGGCGGAAGATGGCGGGATCGACCATGACGCGGCCATTGATGATGAAGCGGATGATGTTGTTCTTGTGCTTCATGTATGCAATACCCTTCTGGAGACGGTAGTTCATGCCTTGGAGAGCGACGAACTTCTTGCCTCGATCGACGAGTTGCTTCTTGATACTCTGAAAGATTGTTAGCTAAGCTGTGCTCAATTAGCCGGTGAACGACTCACCTCAGAATCTTTGTGATACTTCAGCGGGTAGGCCGAGAGACTGGTAATCTTCTTGTGGCCCTTGAAAGCCTGGATCGTAATCTGATGGTCTCCAAGGCCAAAAGACTTGCCGTCGTACTCCAGATACTTGCCATCTACGTACCACGACTTGACTCCCGTCATCCAGCTCTCATATTCGTACGCAGTTTCTACCTTGAAGCATCGCGGATCATCCTTGTTGTGGTACGTGGGAGTGAAGGCGATGGTATTTGGCTTGAACAAGGCCCAAACGAGGTCGTACGTGATCGTACCCGCCTTGAGCATGGGCCGAAGAGCCTTGCGTGTCGCAGTATAATCCTCGTCGATGTAACTAACAAGCAGTTTGCATGACGCAATCTGCTGTTTGAGGCGCTTCTGCTCTTTCGACCTCTTTGCTTTCTTCAGCTTTGACTTCAGCGTCTTCTTGATGTAGGTCTTCAGTTCATCGTAGTAGTGAAATAGCGTGTGGGGGTCAATCTGCGGGATGTCTTCCACCAGGCTGATACTCTTGCAGTCCTTGAAAACCTCTTGAAGTGCATTGCGGAGTAACTTGGATTTGATATCCAGTTGTGTCTCTTGATACTTGCCCTCCCAGTTGAGTCTTCTACGCACTGTGAAGACGCAGTCAAACTCATCTTTTTGGTCTGCGTTACTCTCAACGAGTTTCCAATCGTGTATCTTCATGTCGAAGACCTGATCGACACGCTTGAACTCGAGAGCGTTCTTCTTGACTGGTTTATCAAGCCTGGTAGTAGATACGGCGGCAGCGTTGAGAGAAGCTTGTTGCGCCTTGAGACTGTTGAGCAGACCACTTACTTTGGTCACTTGTGTGTCAAGACTATCTCCTGGCAACGGAGGCTCTGGTGGCGGAGCCGGCACAACGAGCTCGTCCTCGGATGATAATGAGCTTAAGGATGATCCAGAACTTTCGATCTTCTTCGCTTTTTTTGCCTTCCGCTTTGCTTTCGCTTTCGCTCTTTTACGTCTCCATTTCTCATCCTCGGAATCTGAATCGCTGTCGGATAAGCTCGAAGTGTCGGAAGAACTGTCGTCACTAGAGCTGTCGAGCTTCTTGTTCTTCTTCTTTTTGGCTTTGGCTCGCAAGGCCTTCCGCCGGCTCTTCTTGTCATCTGCCTCTGAATCGGAGTCGGAGCTTGAATCAGAAGTATCAGACGAAATTTCATCCTCGCTCGTTGAATCGTGCCTCGTACTCTTGCTCTTCTTGCTTTTAGCCTTCGCCCGCTGCTTCTTCTTCGCTGCTGCTCGTTTCGCCGCCAACTTCCGCCTTTTCTTACGCTTAGCCTTCTCGTCCTCACTACTGTCTTCCGACTCACTGTCGCTCTCAGAGCCACTATCGTCCGATGTAGACGTCTCTTCAGATTTACGCCTTGACTTCTTTGGTGCGTGTTTCCCTCGCCTGCTGACACTCTTCTTCTTCGCAACGACTAGCTCAGACTTTGGCACCTCAGTATGCTCTACAGAAACAGCAGCCTGCTTCTCATCGGTAGTTTGAGCTGTATCAGCCACGTGAGCTTCGACAGTCTCTTGTGAAGAATCCATCTTTGGCTCGTGCAGCGAGATGTCGTCCGGGTCGGACCTCACGGACGGGGTTGCAACAATGACTGGTGACGATGATGAGGTGTCGGAAAGCTTTTTGCTAGCTTTGGCAGGTAAGGAAGGTTTGGTGGAAGAATTCTTCGAACTGTCCGGTCCGTTCATGGGTCGTAGACTTGCCAAGATGCGAGGCTCGCTCTTTGCTATTGCTTAACTGTTGAATATGCTGCAGGAGATAGGGGCCTGGGAGAAGTCGTAACACCTAGACTTGGGGTCCGAGTCGTTCAAGAAATGAAGCAGTTACAAATGAAGCAGTTACAAATGAGACAGTCTCAAGGCTGAGACAAGAGGAGGACCTAGGTCTCACACCTTCTTATCCACAAACGGAGCCGCAAGGTGAAGCCTAACCTCACTCCGTCTCTGTTTCCGACCCACAGCACTCTCTAATCACATCTCATGCCCACACAACACCACTACTAGGCTGAAGTCTTGTATTACCGTTCCCGATTACCCCGCAGTGACCTAAATCAGGATCCGGCAAATGACGAGCTCTGAATAACGATTTTCGACAAGGCTGAACTTGTTGAGAGCCAGTGTGCTCGACTAGATCGTCTCCTTACCATATCAGTACAGGGTGGTGGTGGAGTGGAGGCCGCACCTACCTAATGAACCTCTTCAGCCGAATCTGCTGCCTAGCCACAACCTTCCTGTAGGAGCAACGTTTCGTTCATGTATTGGCCTGAGCAGGCTATAATGCATACACAGGCTGAAAAAAGGGCGATGTCGCGACGACCGGTGAGGAGGTAACCAATGTTATGGCGGAGCGGAGCTGGGCCTCGTCTGACAACGCTTTCAGCCTTGCAGGAGTGTGGATGCGCTCGCTTTCGCCGGTCCCAATCAATCTTTCATCGTTTATCTGCACCTCTCGATCTCGAGGGCATCTGTACGGATCACAGAACTCGGCCGTCCACTGCGTGACGCTCTTATACCTATGGACTGGTTCGGTGGCGGTGCGGCTGTCTCTACATCACACTTCCCTGCATTTCCGGTAACGCAAAGATGCATTGTGCTCTCTACGCACATGCATACTACCGAAGTGGCTCATCAGTTGGTGCTGTGTTCTCATCGGCTGCTGCTGAGATGCAGTGGTGGTCGTTCGTGTGTCGCGCTGAGTGGCCCGGTCGTACCCTGAAGGAATGATTAGTTGTATTAGCTAGGTATCGAGTGCATTACCGAGCACAGGTGGATAGCTCGCCTCACTTCTCCCATGCTGCACGAATATACAGTCGCGCATACATTAGGGTAATTGGTGTTGACAAGTTTCTGATCAGAAGTAACTCTTTTTCTCTATTGGATCGGAAGCAAGTGGTATATCTGAGAAACAGCGAAACCAACCTCGATCTTACAAACCCAAAACACTTTCTCATAGCGAAAGAACCGCGCTGTGCAACGCCTCATCAATACATACAGCGCATGCGACACGCGCAGGGCACGATTCGTGCGCACATGTGATACGCTGACCAGACGCCAACCGCAAGCTTCCGGTTCTGTCATGCAGCTCCAAATAACGCCCCGCATTACCGAAGACAACGACGCGATGCACGAGTTTTGCCGTCGCCGTAAGGGTATAGGCACCTACGAACTTGTCTTTTTCTTGCCAAAATGCATGTGTCCAAGCGCATGCTCCTTCGCGTCCTTCATCTCACTCTCAGGCTTTCCATCAGGTAGATCGTTGGTATGAGCTGCTCCCGAGACATGATACTTTAGACTCTCTGCGATCCCGCCAATGTGGCCCCCACTCTTATGTGACCCGGCAGGCTGGTCTACGGATCGCAAGTCGCTAGCAACATGACTAGAATTGTCAGGACGATCTGGTTGCGTGGGGTCTGAGGCTGCCGTTGTTGGCCCACTCCTTGTCGCGTCCGTGCTTGTTCGAGAAGCAGAACCGTTCGGCTCCATCAGGACTTTTTCCCCATTCGGGCCATGAGGTCGGACATGCTTGGTGTCACTGTCTCCGCTGTCCCTCCGGCCGGGAGCTTCGACAATGGTGGTGCCCTTCTTGTTCTCGCTTCGGACGCTGTTCGCTCGGCTGATGTCGGACTGCTCGTTGGGTGGGCTCGCTGTGCGGACACCTAGATCTTTGTCTTCGGACGGCTCCACGCCCTTGGTACCCCTCCAATCTGCGGGCTTGGCTTGTTGTACAGGCTCACCCTCCTTCGGTTCTGTAATGACAACACCAGGTCGGCCTTCTTCGCTAGAGAGCGCGCGCCAGACTACGGCTATGCGCTCGAAAGCTTGTGTGCCTTTTCGAGATGAGCCTTTGATGCCGTCCATGGCTTCCCATGCAATCTCAAAGATGCCCGACTGGTCAACATTACCATTCTGTTCAGGGCCGTTCCCTTCGAAGTATGTGTTGAACCACACGTGTGCGACAGCGGTGACCATGGTCAGATCGAAGGCGGCTTTGTTACGACGCTCGACGTCAATGTTGATATCGTTGGTGGGCAGGACTACGCGCTTGGCGGGACGGAAAACGACATCGCCTGTGCCCGTGGGTAGGCTCTCGCGCGATGATCTTGGCTCGCCCGTGGCGCCATCGACATTGCTCTGCTGCTGCTGCTGCTGCTGCTCGAGGGAGGAAGTCGAACCATTCTTGGGACCTTCGCTCGTCTTTGATGGGCCAAAGCCATTCTTGTACATGACTTCCTGCACCGCCTGTGCCATGCCGGTGGTCTTGACTTCGCCTCGTACAATTTCCCTCTCGTCGCGGGTGAAGGTGTGGAAGTTCTTGATGAGCTTGCCATCCTCGACGAAGCCCTCGATCTGGATCTTGACACCGTCTCTGAGGCCCCAGCAGTGTACTTCAAGTATTTCGACCTGCCGCTCGACATATAACTTGCCGTGCTTGGCCCAGCGATCCACGTAGTCTATCCATCGGAGTTGGCTAGGAATGCTGACGCCTTTGCCCATGTTAGGCCGCATGCGCCGCTCAGTGAAGCGATCCAGAGCCTTGTGCACCGGCCAGCCTTCCTCGCTGATGAGATAACTGCAACTAGCAGTTCCTGATCGCCCTTTTCCGGCCTTGCAATGTACTACGACGACCCGCCCCTTCTTCTCATGGAGCCAGTTGCGCATGCTAGCCATAATGTTTGGTATGAGTGCGAAAGGCGGCGGGTGATGATCGGGGAAGGGGTAGTGGTAGACGCGATTGTAGACCTCCGAGTCGGGGTAGCCCGTCCCTTCAGCGCGAAACTCCCATATGGCCCAATCGTCGCCATGTTTCGAGTCGAGAAACTTTACGAGCGAGTCAAGCGGGTTGCGATAGGCGCGCTGCGGGTAAGTGCCACTAGGGCCCGAAGTAGCGATGACTAGACGCTGTCAGAGGCCGAGTACTGGCAATCATCTAGGAGCGACCGTACTGTTGTCTGTCACATAGCATAGGTCGAGGCCAGCTTCAGCATGCCTGGCGCGAGGGCCGGCTACGAGTTGCCGCAAAAGCGACGCCTGCGATGGTCAGTTCGGTTTTCCATGCTGTCGTTTCTCTGTTATGCGCACCATTATTCCGGCGGTCGTCTGAAGTGTAGAGGAGCAATATTGCGTGTTGGCTCATGGCGGGAGTCGAGGCGCGAGGGATGCTGCCTCTAGGCGCGGGCAGGCGCGACCGAAAGGTGGGTACGTCACCCTGCCCGGGTTCTGCGCTAGGCTTCGGTCCCTGCCCAGACCTGATCACCTCCCCGCCACCATGACATTTTTTACTCGCCACACGCCTCACAGCCACATCATACTTCATTTGACATTTGGTCGCAGCACGCGAGTACCGCAATACTAGACTCCATATCACACATGACAAACGTCGTTTGAACTCAGTGACCTGTGATCTTGCTACTTCTCTGCCGACCTATCCGTTTCAGCCTGATCCGCATCCGGATGTCATCTCAAGCAGGCACACATCGGACTCAGTCTGGTCTCGCCGGCTGACAGATTATGCGAGTGGTCTTCATGTAAAGAATATCGCCTTAACACTACTTCGTCAACGCTTGCCAGTTGCTCCTACACCCTACTGCATAATGCACCTCCCCAATGCCGTTAAGACCACTCAAGACTGAGAGTTTAGTGAACTGAGACGTTGCTACTATCCGCTACAACTCAAAGATTATGATGGCGTAGCATGTAGCTTACAGGTATCAGTCAGTATGCAAGAGCTTGCACTAACGAACTGCTCGTTTTCCACATGGCTATATCACGTTCTCCGCTAAGTAGACGACTGTTTGACCTAATTCATTGCACTTATCTTATGAAGCCACCCTGTTTCATCCACCTCTCGCATATACTCGGCCACTCGCTCACTGGAAGTCCCAGCGTGTCCAATGCGAACCCGTGCGGCGCATCCGAAAAGACGTGAAGCTCCACAGGCGCACCAGCCTTCGTAATGCCTTCGGCCAGCCTATACGCATTCACCACTGGCACAACCGGATCATTTCCAGCATACACTATGAAGGTCGGCGGAACTTTGCTCTCCAACTGTACGTCTGGCTGCACGGTATCGTAAAGCGCCTGCTTCTCTGGCGGCTCCAGCGCAGGCTTGTCCGCAATGATCTGGCGACCTTTCGCGTTCGTAGAAATGGGCGCATAGCCAATAATAGCAAAGTCGAGTTTCGGGACGCCGCTTTTCACATCTGGTCTATTCCAAGTCGTGGGATATGTCGAAAGTAGCGATGCAGCGAGGTGCCCACCAGACGAGAGACCGCACACAGCCAGACCGCCTTCCACAAAACCCTTCTCTTTAATCAAACTCAAAGCCCGCCTTGCATCGTCTACTGGCGCCTGACTTCCCGTCTCTTTATTCGGAAAGCGATGAATCAGCACGAAAGCGTGAAATCCCAGTCCTGCCAGCCACCTCGCTACCTGCACCCCTTCTCTTCCCACCATGAGCTCGATGTACCCTCCACCACCTAGAATAAGGATACCTCTTCCATTTGGCGTAGATGTAGTGGGCCTAAATCCGAAGAGCCAGGGACGTGTGACGCTTGTGGCGACGGCTTTGTCGATGCCATTGGCGGTGTCGAGTTCGAAGGCTCCTCCGATGGGCTCGTCATCGTACAGCGGCCATGCGTAGTCTGCATTGAGAGGGTTTGAAGAAGACATTTTTTGCTTTGGAAGGAAATGGAATTATTTTGAGTATCGACGTACAGGCACACATGTGTTCTTACGCTCGGGGTACGTAGTGTGTCTCGCGGCATCATTGCTCCGAAACTACCGAGACAATGTCCCATTGTTCCAACCGATCTGACGAGACTTAAGAACCACACCTGTAACGCTTTCGTCCGGCGAACGTCTTAATATCACGCAAAGGTAATGCATATCTTGTCTCAGTGGAATTGCTAGGCAAGTTGAAGGTTATGTTCATATATTGCTCTACACTTCAATTGTCTAACCGCTCCTCTTGTAACCACTTCTACTCCTCAACGTCTCGCCGTACCTCGCCAACACAAACGGTATGCACGCACCCAGGATACTCAAACAACCCAACAACGTACACGCCCACTGTGGACCCAGTCGTCGAAACATTTGTACTGCGAAAAGAGGAAAGGTTCCGCCAAGTACATATCGCAATATGGCGTTTGAAGCCATGGCACTAGCGCTATACAGTGGTCCATAGGTGTCGGTGATGTACATCATGCAAGCCATGAAGATGAGCATGTTACCCATTCCAAACAAGGCTTCGGCGATGGTCGGTACAATCCAATGTACGCGGTAGGCTGCTGACCAGCCGAAGAGGAAGAGGCCGATAGTGAGAATAGGTCCACCGGCAAATGCAAGAGGCAATCGCTTTTCAGGAGCCAGCCGTGATGTTGCGAAGGCTGGTGCTGGTATCTTCTCTGCAATCGCTTTGCGTACGCGAGGCAGGTAGTAAAGCTTACTGAAAGAGACGATACAAATAGTAGCAATGATAACGCCAACGCCCAAACCGAGGAACGTGTAGCCTGTGGAGAGACTGTCGAAACCATACTCTGTCGCGAAGACGTACGGGAAAGCGGCGAAGAAGGCGTATAGCAGGCCGAAGTTAAAAGCAGAGTACGTATTGAACGTGGCAACAATCGGTTCGGTGAGGAGCATATGCATCGGCCGAGTAAGCGTCTTGGTCGCATATGTACTAACAATCTTCGGCAACGACATGCCTTCAGTCGGCGATCGCGGCAGTGGAAGGTCTCGCTTCTTTGCGCGCTGGCGCAGGAGGGCAGGCTTATACGACTCTTTATAAAAAGGCGCAGGCGCAATGACAAGCACAATAGTAAAGAAGAGTATCAGCCAGGATGTCCAGCGCCAACCACGTGTCTGTGTCACCGCAGCACCTAGAATGGGCCCTAACGCTGGACCCATGAAAGGTGTTGCGACATACAGCGACATGGGACCGGACCGCTTCTCAGGCGGCCAGATATCGCTCAAGGTGCCTGATCCCATGCTCAAGCTGGGAGCAGCAAAGAAACCAGCCCAGAACCTCAGCACCACCAGACTCGCCATACTTTGCGCGAAACCTGTTCCGAGGATGAAGAGCGCGAAGATGGGCAGGCTGATGAAGATCAGGGGTCGCCGTCCGAATGTCTCGCTCAGAGGCGCGGCGAAGGGTCCACCGAAGGCTAGTCCGAGAGCGTATATCGAGTATGCAAAGGTTGCGATGAGTTGGGTGGAGTGCAGTTCTGATGCCGCTTGTTCGATGGCCGGTGTGAAGACAGATGATGCGAATGTTCCTACGAATGCGATGCCTGATATGGTGTATGTTTGATACCACTTTCGCGCTGCACTCCAGTTGTGAGGGTTCAGAGAATCATCTGGACCGTCCCAGTCGAGCGTTGCAGGGCGATCTTGCGAGGAAGCATGGGGAGCGGTTGGTGTTGCTTCTTGACTCTTGTTTGGTGGAGGGCCTTTTTCGGGGTCGATACCTGGGTTGAAGTCTGCTATCGTCGACGGCTGGCGACTCGTGTCATGGTCCTTTTCGGTTTTGACAGGGCTTGGTGGTCTTGTTGATGCTGCTGTAGTATTCGACCAAGAGACGGGTCGTGAAGCAGCTGGAAGAGCCATGCTGTGTATCTTTCACCTCACTGCGACAAGGAGAGGAATAGCTGGCAAAATCTCGACAGAACTTTTGCAGGACATGACAAAAGCGCTCGCGCCACGATCTTAGTACGGCCCACCATGATAAGATCTCGATAACGAGATGTTCTTCGCACGGCATGATCGCCGCTTGTAAGTTAGTTTGGTGTTGATCGAATGTAGACGTGCCATTCTATGGATGAGATTGGTAGGTACTGAAAGCGTACATGGGCGATCCTGGCTCAGATCTTTCCAAGAATCGGCATGTTGAGCTTGGTCGAGATCAAGATGCGGCTGAATTTGTGGGTCGGGTCAAGCCAGAAGCTAAAGTTCGGGACCGTGCCGAGCGCTACACTGGTGAATCGTGCACAATGACGTCCTGCTTTGACTGTTGACAGTTCAGAGCAACTCATTGGAGTCTTGAGAATAGCCCAAACCCTTCTTGATACGTGTAGGGAAGAACAGCTCTCCCATATGCTTGCGCTCTATTCATCCTTTGGGTCGCCGAAAGGCATGCAGCTAAGTAGATTTCGTCGATACCAGACAGCTGGGAACGCGATGACGAAGTACACGCACGGGCCCGAGAAATGATCTGTTGTCGCGCTCTGATGCAATCTAGTGTATAGCTTTGAACAGCCTGTCGCGAATCAGCAGCGCGGGTGGCAGCAGTCCGAGGTGAAAGCCCTGACTCCTCGCCGAAGCGATCCTGCCTTGTTACCACAGACGCGTCCACCCAGTCAACCTAGAATTGCGGACCATCGCGACGAAGAAAGATCTGGCAGGTGTGAAGAAAATAGGATGGGAAGGAAATGCAGTCATCGCAAGCTTTGCCAAAAGACGTCGCTGGGGCCTGGCGCAATCCTTCATTGTTGATCTTTCGGTTGCTGCGCCCGCTAATCGCAGGTGCGACCCAGCCAATCGCGCAAAACACCAACACTCTCCCACGCGTCCGTCGAGGCTCCTCCGCAACAAAGTCCTCAATGGGAAGAAGTGAGCCTGCGTAATCATGCCTGAGCCACTCCTCCGCCTCGATAGACCTTCAATTGTTTGGTCCGCTCGCATTTCGCAAACTCCTGCAAGCAGTGCGAGAATGCCGTGACCAAGTATAATTATGCGCTCGTTCACGTCGGGACGAAATCCATCATCACTCAGCGATAGCAAAGACCCAACTTCAATCCACCTTTCCATATTCATCACTTGTACGACAGGCCTTGTTGAACGATTTTTTTGTATCTGCCATGTCCTCAGTCCTATCACTCGAGATCGCGCGCGCTCTCTTCCCATCGCTCACCAAGGACGCGTTGCCTAAATCTTCGTCAACCGAATCCATCCCTTCATCCACCAAGGTCGATGCGAAATCTCAGATCAAGATCAAAGTTTCTGAAGACGTCAAGTTCCCGGTTACGGCAAAGCCTTCGCGATCATTGCCATATCTCCCTACGATAGCTATGCAGACCCAAGCGCACACTGCAAACTTCAACAGTGGGTGCATCCAATATGCTGCACCGCTACCACATGTCGGTCTAGCCAGTTTCCAGCGACGACGAAGAGGATGATTAGAGTTTGAGCGAGCTGAAGGAGGGATGTCGAGAGATCACCAGCTAAGGTCTCTGTAGTATTCGGTCAAGGGTTACCAGCTCCTCTCTGCTCCTCTATGGACAGCGCAACAACTGGTGTGATCGGGGCCTGATACACCGAAATAACGTAGCTGCGGATAATCGAGGCGTGGACCGGTCAACCATTTGAGTCTACAGGTTTTTTGATTAGGGTGGCCGACGCACTGTATTTTGTCGTACGCAGCCTGACCCATCGCCGCGATCCCTCAATAACCAATGTCGAAAGACCCAAAGACCAGGAGATGGAGAAGCGTGGTCTTCTAGGTCAAATCGTAATGCACGCAGCAGGCTTGCTGACGGGGTCAGTTGCGGGATGGCAGTGAGAGCCTGCTTGAGCGTGCCATGTTACCTTCCCTTTGGAGGTAGGGAGAGAAGCCAAGTTGCGAAACGTAGGGTAGATGAATCTGTTGCACTACAACGCCAAACAAATGCTATTGCTCGCGCCTAGAAAGGCAAGAAAAAGAAACCCACTAAATAGTGGCCAAACCTACACTAAATAGACTTTAAAATCATACAGTACCACCGTCTAACTCCCACCCCTCCACTCTCCCCTCTTCCCCTGACCTTCCATCCATATCCACCTTTTACTGCACATCAAGAATGTTCTTCAACTGCACAATCAACTTCCACTCCTCCTGACTGACATCGCTCCTAAAGTACTCTTTAAGCGTATCGATACTCTTTCGGCTAATAGCAGAGTAGAGGATATCGTCTTCTTCCAGGTGGCGACCGTACATGGGCTGGTTGGAGCCTTCGATCTTGACGGCGACGGATGGCTGGCCTCGCTTGCAAATTTGCATGGGTTTGTGGTCGCGCTCGATGGATGTGCTGTTAAAGGGATTAGTAAAGTGATGTGAGAAGGAGAGGAAAGGTATAGGGGGACTTACACTCTTCCGAGGTGGACGAGTTCTTTGGCGCCGGTGGTAGCGTTCTTCTTGACCGCGCAGATAGGCGTTGTCATCCTTAGAGCACCTTCAGTGACATCCACACCAATGATGATGGGATCCTTCTTGTTAAAGACAGCGACAGGCTTGAGTACGCAAGGGAAGACGGCCAACATCTTTGAATCTTCCTTCCGCTGTTCCTCGAGCTGCTTCATGTGCGCCGTGAACTTGTCGAACAAGTGGTAGATGATGTCGGCTTCGAAGATCTTAACACCGATCTCCTCTGCGTACGCTTTGGCGTCCTTGTCGACCTTGACGTCGAAGCACAGCATGACGGCGTATTCCTTGGCTTTTTCTAACATAATACCTGCACGAAGGACGTCCTTTCTGAAGACAGGACCGATGGAGATGGTAGCGACAGGAATCTTCGATACACGCAAGAACTCGAGGAGCGCTTCGAGCGAACCAAGGGTAGACGCTTGTACGGAGACACCACGGCCAGTCTTGGAGACCTTGCTGAGCAAATGGGCTAGATCACCCATGACCTCGTCCATGAGATCCTCCTCGTCGTCATTCGGACCGACGACAAGCAGACGCGAACCTGCGATGGCTTGGTCGAGCCCATCGGCAGCGATCTTGATACCCATGGCAGCCTTGACTTCTTTGTTGTGCACGTATTGCGACTTAACACGTAATTCTTTCATCTCGGCCGGTGTCAATAGCGCTCGAATATTCGTCACTATAGGCTCTGGGTTGCCGCATAGCACTATCCGGTCACCTTCGCGAAGGACACCGTTGGACAGGATGACATCGATCGTGGTACCCAGACCTTCGATGACCTTGACTTCAAGCACAGTACACTCAACCTCAGAAAGATACATGAGATTGTTGGTGAGACGCTCTTGCGTAAGCTTGACGATAAGCTTGATCATGTCTGGAATACCCTCTCCGGTATGTGCTGATGTTGGGCACACGGAGACGAACTTGGACATGCTTGTTTCGGTTGAAGATTTCTGAGTTGAAACCATGCTCTTGCAGTTGGGTGCGAACAAAGGTCCATCGCTCCTCGAACTCGGACTGAACCGAGGCCTTTTGGAGGCTCAAACTGTCTTCAAAACCGTTGTTATCGATTTTCTTCCAGCCGAACAGACGATCGATCTTGTTGAGAGCGACGATGAAAGGTGTGCGCCTGTCTCGGAGGAGCTTCATCGATTCGATAGTTTGAGGTTCAAGACCGTGCATAATATCAATGACGAGGATGGCAATGTTGCAAAGTGAGGAACCACGGGACCGGAGGTTGGTGAAAGACTCGTGACCAGGTGTATCGATTACTAGGAGACCGGGGACATTGAAGACGAAGTCGTTGTCCTTGTTAACGACAGCGACCTTCTTCTGCAGTGCCTCGACAGGGAAGTAGGTAGCACCAATCTGTTGTGTGATACCTCCAGCTTCGCCTTCTTGCACGTTGGTCTGACGAATCTTGTCAAGCAGCTTCGTTTTACCGGTATCGACGTGACCAAGAATACAGCAAATGGGAGATCGCAGATTATCTTTTGACCGCGCTGCAAGAGCCTCCTCGTGAGCCTGCTTTCGTCGTTCTGCGGCGGCAGCTTTGCGAGCGGCTTCAGCTCGTTGCGTAGCAGTGCCTTCCTCGTCTTCCGATGAGTCGTCTTCGCTGTCGTCTTCGGAATCGGAGTCTGAGCTGGTATCCTTGGACTTGGAGGCGTTGTCTGCTGCAGCCTTCTCCGCTGCCGCCTTCTCTTCCTTGGCCTTCTTCTCGCTTGCTTTTCGCTCTTCTTCCTCGTCGGTATCGACATCCCAGCTGTCTTTGACTCCCTCCAATTCGTCGGCTTGGGCTTCCCAGTCTTCGGCAGAGTCACCGTCCTCTCCCTTCTTCGCTTCCGCGTCAAGTTTGGCCTTTTCTGCGGCCTCAGCTGCAGCGGCGGCTTGCTCTTCAGCCAGCTTGAGTTCCTCCAGCTTCTTGGCCGCCTCCTCAGCTTCCCGAGCCTCCTTCTCCTGTTGGCTCTCGGCTTGCTTCTTCTTCTTTTTCTTACGGTCGTCGTACACTGGCTTCTTCTTCTTGTCGACCTCGTCGGCAAGTCCAGCGACCTTTGTGCCGCCTTGCTCGAGCAGCTGCTGCAGACGAAGTTCGTTCTTTGCCTTGGCTTCTTTCTGAGCCTTTGTCATGTACTTGCCCTCTTTCTTCAGCTGCTCGATCTTTTCCTTTTCTCGCTGCTTCTTCAGAGCCTTAGCCTCTTCTTTCTTCTTCTGTTCCTCAGCCTCTTGTGCCTCCAGCGCCTCCAGCCTAGCTTTCTCTTCAGCTTCGGCGCGCGCAATCTCTTCCTCCCTCCTTTTGCGCTCTTCCTGTTGTTTTTGTAGGGCAGCTAGCGCAGGATTGAGCTTCTTCTTCTTGCCACCAGCAGCGGGGGTAGTATCTGCGGTAGGAGCTGAGGGTGTGGCAGCGGCTTCTGGCTTGGCCTCGGCGGCCTTCGCAGGTTCGGCTTTGGCAGGACCAGTGGCCTTCTTCTTTGCAGCCTATCAGGTGGTCAGTACAAATTCGTACGATGCGCATGTCAAATGCTGCGAACATACCAGTTCCTTCTTTCGCTGCTTCTCCTTCTCCTTCTTTTCTTTCTCCTTCTCTGCCTTGGTCTTTACACGAGGAGCATCATCCGTCTTCTCCTCGACAGGCTCCTCTGCCTTCGCAGCAGCGCCGCCCTTGCCCTTCTTCTTGCCATAGTTTCCAGCAAAGACATCGTCGTCATCGTCGTCGAAGGTTCCTTCTTGGGGTGCCTTGTCGTCGAAGTCTCCATTCGCGTCGTCGACAGGCGGGTCTTCGCCTTCAACTTCATTGTTTGCGCCCTTCTTGTTCTTCTTCTTGCCGCGCTTCGCAAGAGCCGCCATCAGGCCGCCGCCAGCAGCATCGTCGTCGGCGACAGCATCCTCAGGCGTGGCATCAGCTGCAGCGCCATCCTGGGGCGCAACAGACTCGCCGAGCTCGGCTTCCCAGTCGTCGTCCTGCGCCTTCTTGTTGTTCTTCTTCTTGGGCGGCATTGTGTATGCGGTGTATTACTTGGGGTGTGGGGTGCACTCGACGGGTGGCACTTGTAGTCCGTGGGAATGGACCGTAGAAATCGCAAGTGCTTCAGCAGGCAGGCGCGTCACACAGTGCGAGTAATAGCAGGTAAAACCGGAGCCGAAGGAGAATGGGTCCCGAATCAACCAATAAAGGCCTGGACCGCAAAAGAGTGACAGAAAAATGCAAACGCACACTGGCCGCTGCGAAATTCCGTTGGAGTTATCGATTGTTCTGTGTGGCGGCGGGCGGCGAACGGCTAGCTGTGGAGGGGTAGAAGGCGCTCGGACCAATCGCTGGCATAGCATTGATGCCTGCACTGAATCATCTTCCCACGTTCTTCATGCTTGATTTTGGTAGCATGACAACTTTTTGACTCATCTGTTCTCTAGGCTTTACTCGTGACCGATGACACATGTGATCAAAAGCATCAGCGCATGAATGGACGAGTCATGGGAAATGTGTGATGTGTATCCGTATGCGATTCTCATAGCTAGTCTCTCATCCTACAACCCAAATCTACATCCATGTTTTCCCTTTCGACGCAAAATACACTCAAAGTGACGACAAAAAACAAAACGTGTTGCTCCATTCAATCCCAATACATTAGACGCCGTTCCAGGGTCTGTAACTCCGACCCAATGAGAGAATGCAATAGCGATATTACAATAGTAGCGATAAAAGCCATGTGCTGAGGCACGACATGGCTGTATGAGTGACTGACAACGAAACGGTATCTTTTGGCAACACGTAGAGTCATAAAGCATCAACGAAGCCGTGACAAACTGAAGACACAACGGCCTAGTAGAGTTGGCCGCTGATCAGCAGTGACTCGACGGCTGAGCCGATGAACTGCTTCTTGAGAGTGAGATCGCATCCGAATCTGTCATGATGTTAGTATTGATTGTGTCAACAAATTGGGATCGACATACCTTTGCTCTAGTTCGCCCTTGATCTGTTTCTTGGTGACGTTCATGAGATCAGACTTGGAGAGGATGTCCTTGATCTCAATCAAGATGGCATCGTCACTTGGCAGGTTCGACATTTCCATGCTGTCCGCACCGTATCCGCTCTGGGCGAGGCTCAATCGTGAGTGGTTGTCGTAGCGTGGGAGATTAAGGTGAGACGCAGAGCGAGATGGTGGCATGCCTCCATACTCGGAGCCAGCGACAGATCCGCCTCCGAAAGGCTTCCTGGTGGCGTACGTGTATCCTGAAACCTCGGAGCGGTCGTCCCGGATGGTGTGCTGCTCCCACATCTCCGCTTGGTACTCCTCCCACCTCTTCTTGGGGATGCTGGCAGGATCAAACTTGCCTTCATCTGTGACAAGAACCTTCTGACCCTTCTCACCAACAACCACACGAGTGTTACCCCACGAGAAGTCGTCCATGTACCAGAAGGAGTACAAAGGCAGACCAAACGCGAAGACAGGTGTTGCGAAAATATAGATAATCATCCAACCAATCATCTCCCACTTGCGCCGGATGATGAAGATGATGGCCTGCAGACCATAGATGGCACCAAGAAGAATAAACGCAGTGACAGGGACGACGTCGGGCGACCACACCAGCGTGTAGATGAGATAACCGATGTAGACAACAATGACGGGTTGTACAACCGTTGAAAGAAGATCCATGAAGACGATGAAGCGCATACTGAAGCAGCAGAAACCACAAAGCTGAGTAAGCGGAATCAGTTCAATCAGGTTGTGAACAGTAGAGTTGATCCAGCGACGACGTTGAGACATGAAGACGGACCAGCTGTCAGGTGCAACAGTCCAGGCATGTGCTCGCATCGTGTACTTGGTCTTGTACTTGGGGTGGAACTTGAGAAGTAGCGTGGTCAAGAAGCGATCTTCTCCCAGATGCAACAGGTTCTTCGTGTGTAGAGTGTCGACCCGAATCTCTTGGTAGGCTTCGACGACCTCCTTGCTAACGAACAATGGCTTTCCAGACTCGGCAGCGCGAATGCGGTACATGGTGAAACAACCAGGAAGACAGGTGACGGAACCGAACAAACTCTCGAAAGCCTTGGTCAGGTTGTGGGAGATGAAGTATTCGTACACTTGCATCATAGTAACGAACGAAGACTTGGCGTTGGTAAGAGCGGTTTCACCACAAATAGCAAGAAGGCGGGTATCGTGGAGGAAGGCTGCAACGAATCGAGTGGCGGCGTCAGGTGCGACTTCGGTATCGGCATCAATTTGGAGGAGGAACTCGTAGAAGGTGGGATTGACTCCAATAATGTTCCGGATCTGATGGTGCATCTCGAGCTCAAGCGGTGTCATGGGGAGGTTGTAGTGCACACGGTTCAGGAATCGCATGAGGATGATCTGCGAGTCACGCTTTCCGCGGTTACCAGGCTTGGAGACTTCCGAAGGCTTGCCGATCTTGACGACGACCAGGAAAGGTACAATGTGACCCTGTACCTCATATAGACCCGAGTAACATTTACCCATGTTGTGTTGCTTTTGACCTTCACCCAAACTCTCGAAGCTGAGAGGCTCGGGATCGGTAGCCTCTGGAACACCAAGAATGTCGAGAACGATGCGAGGAGTAGGCTTGTCGTTGCCTTGACCTATAATCATACCATCGCAGACAATGACAAGTAGTTTGCGCTTGTCATCGTACTTCATCCTGGCGGCGGAATCGATTGCGCGACGGAGGGAGTCTTCGTCTTCGGTGTAGGCAGGCACAGTGCAGATGATGAACTTGTCGATGTTCTCCGGATCGGTCTTTCGGCTGAACTGAAGGGCCGCAAGGAACTTGAATCCGATAACACTAACCAAGAGAATGGAGATTGCGAGGAGGAAGTACTTGGCGAACAGGCACTTGGCCGAGTTTCTGGTGTCGAGATCGCCAACGTAAAACAGGTTGTTCATGCAGGTCTCCATGTTCGCCTTTGTTTGCTGATTCAAGTTGAGGTTCTGCCAGTATTTGGTGATGTCTTTACCGGCTTGAACTCGGAAGATGTCCACAACGCTTGGGTCCATGAAATCGGTATCAATGTTCTTGTCATCAGGCTCTTCGCCGACCTTGAACTTGACCTCACGACCACCAGGAATGTAATCCGTGAAATCGTATACACGACCATTCATGTAGGCGATCGAGTTACCCTTGTTTCCAAGTGTCTTCAGGTATTCGGGGCTGTATCCAACACGACCTTTCATGTAGTTGGCCTTGAGGAACATCTGTTGCTCGAACCACCAGTCTCCACGAGTGTCGTTTGTGAAAGATCGGAAGTCATGGTATTGCGCGTTGATGTCGGTGGTACTGATGAGATTGTTCACTGCAGAGTCGGTGTAGTTCGAGTTCTTGTAGTTCAGCTGCACGGCTGGGTTGATTCCTTTTCCGTCTTTGCCTAAGCACAGAGAAGAAACCTGCACAGGGAACAGATTGGTCGCATCCTTTCCAGCGTACTTCTCCAGGTTCTTCTGTGGCACGATGCTTGGGTAATGGTGAGGGATGAATTCTCCCAGGTCGTAGACGATACCACGAATGGCAACGTAAGCCTCGTTCCCATCCTTGCCGTTGAAGGATGTCAGTTCGGCAGCAGAGTAGACGTGTTGTTTCGGGCAAATAACAGCGGGGAAGCCGATCATGAGGAAGATGACGAAGGCACAACTCCACCAAATGATCATGTTAATAGCCAACTTCTCTCGCCACGCCATGCGTACGTCTTTGCGCTTGATACGTCCGATGTACCGAATAGCAAAGTCGGGAATGAGCCATGTCATGACATAGACAATGAACACCCATCTCTTTCGACTGCTTGACGTGGGAATGGTCTCGACCTCTTGTAGTTTGGCTTCAGCAGCCTTCTCGTCGTCAATAGCCTTAGGCTGTTCCAAGCCGTGGAACATGTCGCCATTCGTGATGCCCGATGGCGCCTCTGAGCGAGCATCGATATCCCTCTGGCCAAAGTAGTTGCCGCTCTTGTCGTCGTAATAAGCACCAGGCGAGGGCGAGAGGAGACCGGCGCGGACATCCCCGTATGAACGACCAGCATCAGGAGTAAGCAGATTGTCGTTGGAATCAGTAGGACCACGAGCGTAAGGAGCGATGTTTGAAACGTTGGCGATTTCGAGCCAGCACTTCTCGCTCAAGAAGACACCAGTGGCACCTACACGAACTTCATTCTCCCGCCACGGCTTGTGATCGAGAACCATCTCAGCCTTCTCCTTGTCGCTTCCAACAATGGCAAGATCAGTTTGTGCAAGCCCAAGGAACTCGGCGAAAGGCATGAAAATGCTGAAGTCAGCCACCCGAAGACGTTGACTGATCTCGGCAATGCCCAGGGCCTGAACTTGTTGACGGACGCATTTGCTGTCGAACTGGTTGGCGATCCTTCGGTCATTTGGTTTCAAGCAGAAGACGAAGTAGGCGTTGGCTTTGCGCATTGTCGATTCAATGGTCCTCAATGAGCTGATGAATTGGCCTGCGGCACCAGTCTGCTTCTGAGCTTCACCGGGCTTCTTCGTGCCCGAGATGTTACTCTCTGCATCACTAATGGCATCCTCGTCGAACACGTTCAGTTGACGTCCGAATCGACCAGTCTTGTCGGCCTTCCGCTTCGCCATGCTAGGTTGACGTGTAGGTTTGGAGCTGACAGTAGCCTGAACAATGGCTGACTTCTCCTTAGGGTGCGTCATCTTCTGAAGAGCCTCTTGTCCAAAGAGCTGTTGAACGAAGGGAGCCTGGGCGGACTTGAGCAGGTGCATCATGTCGCCAGAGATGAGCTCAGCGTTTTCCTCCAAAAGACCCTCCACACTGTAGTCGATGTCACCAGTGAAGTGGCGGATGGTAAAGGTGGGCGAAGTGTTGGGGGTGGGGAAGTTGCTGCCTGGTTGCACGACTGTCAAGCTTCCAGGAACAATAGCCTGATGCTTGCCGTCGAAACGCTTGCGAATGGCCTCGAGGAACTGCATGTCAGTCTTGCCACGGCGCATCTGGTCATCTAGGATGCTCAGGAGACCATT